AAAAAGCTCCAAAGACTAGCTGTATCTCGTCTTCCTGGAGCTCACTCGGATGCATTCGTTGACAGAAATTCCGGAGTGGCGCTCAAAGCAGAATCTGCAGGGCTGTCGCCAACCCAAGACCCACAACAGCACACTTCTAAGAAGCCTGCGCTGCAATTCCCTTGTGGAGCCTCTTCGTTTCTGCTGGCGTATTACTCGACCCTTCCAATGCACTCGTTTAAGCCGGGAAAATACTTGGCACAAGATGCTCTACATACAGGCTCTGACACCTTCGTGCTGTTACCATTTAAACGGCTGCATGCGAATTACAAACTAGAAGGGATCAAGACGTACCAATGGGCAGTGCTCCCCACGATGGGAAGAGCGGTGGCAGTTGGGGCATACGAATTCTCCAAAGGGACAGTTCGTAATTTTGTGTTCCATGGAGTCGCAAGAAAGGCAGAGGGTAGCTGCAAATACACCAAGATGGAGAAACCCATAGGGTCTACCTAAAACCTACTGCAGTGATGGCAGCTAATTGTCGAAGTAGGTCGAGCAAGACCAGTTGCACCAGCTTTCTCATCTATAGGGACTAGGGGACCCAGAACTTCTAGTGCTGCATGCAAATGTCAAAAGGGACGTGCAGCAGCGAAAACGTACACTTTGCATACGCCTCGACCATTTCAAAGCGGGTGAGACGGAGAGGACGAGATTCCCTTTGGCTAAGGACTTGCTTCGCTTGCCACACTTCGAAGCTCGCGGCAAGCGGCATTTCTAGGCCTCTGTCTTCCGCCAATGCTGCTCTCCTGGGTATTGCAAGGGCAGAAGCCTCTCCCGGCTTTTGAAGTGTCTCCCCAGGTGAAGGTTTAAGGGCTTCAAAGGGAACAACGGGGAGTGGGGGATGAGGTTCGACCTCTTCACCTGCCAGCTGACCGCAGTTCAGGCCTATCCATCTGTTAGCGCAGCCATAGCAACTTAGTGCAGCCTCCTGGTGCACGGCAAAATCATATGGCGCATGCTCTTCTGGCTGCAGGCCATGGTGTAGCTGTAATCGCAGTTCGCGCTGCATCGAGTATGGCTCACTGTACTGCATATGCTGTAACTGCTGTTGCTGCAATTGCTGCTGCAAAAGTTGCTGCTGGAACTGTTGTTGTACTTGTGGCTGCTTCATATGAAGAGCCTGGATTTGGTGCCGCTGCAGCTGCTGACGCTGCTGTAGCAGCTGCAAGTGCTGACGCTGCTGTAGCTGCTGGCAGAAGTGCTGTTGGAGAGCTTGCAAGTTATTGTGATGCATGGCGCATTGCCCCGCCGCAGCTTGCTGCATGTGCTGCTGCTGGTACACCCCAAGGAAATCCTCAGGCCCCCCCACCTGCAGGCTGGGACTCAATCGATCCAGAGAGCCTGGTGGGGTATTTGCCATGCGATTATCTGCAGCAGCCGCCAAACAGCACCTCATGCATCCATCTGAATCGTGCCACTGTCTGTCTGAATAGAAGCTGCTGGATTGCTGCCGCACCGCCCTGCATCACGCCCAGTGCCCGCTGGCTAGCTGCGTATAAGTGGCGGCCTAAGTCCATGTGACCAGAAACGCACAGGCAGGGCAAGAGAGCAACGACGCCTCACCGGCTGCTACCACGATCGTGGGCCCTGTAGCTGCACTCCTAAGAGTCGTGGAGGGAGAGCAGAAGCCTGCAGCTGCGCAGTCCCCTGCAGCTGCCCCCTCCCCAGCGGCACTGTGCGGGACCAGCTGACCCTGAGGAGGTGGGTTTGTGTTTTGCTGCATGGGTACCGCCGCACTCCTGACGCAATCCTCGAACGCAGCAGCAGCAACAGAGTCGCCAGGACCGATTGGGTGGTAGCGAGGTCCCTGAGACAGAATTCTAGGGCAGGATACCCCCGTGATGTTTGGCCACAGCAAACGAGATGCAGGGCTCTGGGCAGAGAGCAAGTGGGAGTATTCGGAGGCGCTGCCAGCACCAGTCTGTTGTTGTTGCTGTAGCTGCTGTTGTTGCTGCCGTTGCTGATGGTGTGGCTGTCGTTGCTGATGGGGTAGCTGTTGTTGCTGCTGCTGCCCCTGCTGGGGATGCATCCCAGCGGACGACGGACAAGAGGGAGCAGCCTCGGGAGCGAGCTGCTCTCTGCCAACGGGAGACGGATCAGCTCTAGGGGGGGTCACCGTGGCGCTCTTGAGCATATCTGTAGCCATGGTGAGGTGTGATATACTGGAGGCAGCCGCGGCTGGGGGGGCCCCCGAAGGTTTTGGGGTCCTCTGCGCTGCCGGCGCCCAGGGCCTTAGGGGGCCTCCTCATGTACAGTGCTTTCTGGAGCTTGATTTTGGTGTATTCCTTGTTACGCCTCGAGCCGCCAGCTTCTTTCTGCGTCCGTTTTAGAGGCCCCGATGAGAAGACTCAGGCATCTCGCGCTGCTTCAGGACTGCTGTCGCTCCGACCTCCCTAGATCTACGCCACACTGCAATGCACCAGCGGCCGCTGCTGCTGGACAGAGCCCTCAGCCGCTCCAAACAACGCACAAACCGAATGGTAGGCCTTCGAGAGAAAGGAGGCACGCGAAGGGTGCGAGATCGGCCTTTAGAGATCAAGGGCCAGAATGCAGGTATGGCTGAAGATGAGGGGATCTCAAACAGGGACCCCACCCGCCCCAACGCGGCTCGAATATCGCCCTCTACATCGGAGGCAGGCAGCACACAACTGCCAAGAACGCGCTGTGCGGCAGGCCCTGATGTTGACAGCCTTCACCGTAGTAAAAGTTGATTCAGCGTTGAGCACGTCACTAGTCCTCACCTCATGATCCCTGGTGGCCTGCAGTTCCTCAGGGTGCCTTAGCGCAATGCGAGAAGGATAAAAACTATATTTGAGATAGGTACTTTATAGTTGGACTGGTTCGGAGCACCACGGTCGCCCCACACAGCCTCCTGCGATAAATACAGAAAGAAAAAATAGGACAGGGATGGCAAGCGCAAATGGGTGGATGCAACAATCCGTGCTCCAGCCACAAGGGCAACAATGATACTTGCATTGAATGGGTAGTGGGGAGCCGCAGTCGTGTGCACAGAGTCGCCATGAGACAGACAATTGGATGGTGTGTTAAGGGACCTCAGCCGTGCCCAATGTGCATTTTCATTACAGGGAGTTGGCGTTCTGTTCGGCAGCAGTAGCTCTTACTTGTATTGGTTTGCACGTCAAGAGGTAGTGTCCGCCCTGCAACAGTAAACCGATTAGAATGATCCAAAGGAAATGGGTTAGCCTCGAGAAGTTGCTGCCTCTGTGCTTTCTTATTGTTTGGGATTTGGGAGTCTGTGTTTCGCAGTAGCCCAAAGAGGAGAGCAAAGACATAAGCAGAAGGGTGCATCAAGGTCCTTTCAAGTCCATCTACAAACACACCTCTGTTATGTTTGACGTCTTAAAGGCACCCAGCTGCTACTGCGGCTCTTAGGGTCTCTTCATAAAGACGCAGTAGCCAAGTTGTTGTCTGTCGCCGCGGGCCCCCGCCGGTTGCCTCTTCGTGTTATTGGCAGGGGTGTCTCGTTGTTATCGCTGCTCCAACAAACCAAAACAAGCAGTAGATAATTGAAGACAAGTAGGAGGGCTTGTTTCTGGAGGAAAAAGGGCACAAGAAAGAGCCTAGGCCTTGTGTCGCACGAGCACGAGCAGCGGCCCCTGCACTGTCTGTTGCTTACACCGAGATAAAATCACAAACAACTCAAAAGAGGGGGAAAACATGTAGCTTATGATCGGCTTCAAAATAGTTTATGAATGATACAGATAAGCTTCACAGCAAAACAACCAAGCACAAAAGCTCACTGCGCAGTGCCCGACCCCCAGCCAGCGCCGTCTCCCCTGCCGTCTCCCGGGATCCAGGTTTGTTGGCTTTGTTTGTTAGGATGTGTGCTTGGGGAGCTAGCTAGTTAATAGAGATCTAGTAGGCAAGCATTCGAGGTCCTTTGATGCAGAGAGAAGAAAGAAGAAATCGTAAAACTGCACAGAACATCAGGGCCTCCTTGCTCGCAGCGGCCGTGCAGGCGGTGGTTCTATGGGTGTTACTCTATCTTATGAGACAAAACAAAATGCTCTCCTCTAATTTCCTAAAAAGTATTTACCTGCGCTTGGCTGTATTCTTAATAGGGGTCGGAAGTGCCCTCGCCACTGCAGCAGTAACAATGTAGCTGGACGACTATGGGCTAGAGCGCTTGCATACTGAAATGGCTGTATTACGCACACAAAAGCCTCTCGCTTTTTGTGCCAATTAGTTGAACAGCTAGTGCAGTACGGAAAGTGCCCCTTCGAATACCTCCCGTAGCTCTCCTCTGAATCCTCGGCCGAATGAGAAACAAGTGTAACCGGCAACATAGGCGAGATGGACCGAGCAGTATATTATTTGGCACAAGGATTCAATGTTCATTCAAGCCGTGCATGCTGTAGGGTAGGGATGGGAAGCCTCAAAAAATTAGGCCCGGCATCTTGCGCTCCTTCCCAAGCAGTGCTGGCACATTCCCGTATAGGACCTGCTTTTCCAGGGGAAAAAGGAAAATTGAGGATTAGAGACAATAAAGTTTTGCCAAGGCTATCATCATGGGCTGAATGCTTCTAGTGCATCAGCAATTCAAATCAACAAAATGCACCACGTGGATGCTGATGTGTTTTAGCACACACCCCGAAATTTCACAACTCAAGCCCGTAGCCGTCATGGGGAAACGACGTGTCTCCAAACACATGCCACTCGCTAACACGCATCTTCATTTTGTGCGTCGTCAAGTCCTTCACAATACGCTGCCATCCACACAAGACGCCCTCGCATAGATATTAATTGCCTATTCCAACTATGTAATAGTTTAAAAGCGATTTGTATTCCTTTCAAAGTATTCTTTTTACCTCTTTATCCCGTCTCTGTTGTGTTGCTACATTGTCTTTGGTCGTCATCTTGCTCAGAAGTGTATAGACCCCGTAGTTTGGTTCCTCTTTACCTCACACTCGAACACGTCTCCACTTGATCTTTTATCATGATTATGCCATCAGCGGGGTGTATTCCGATGCAGTCTTCGCATGAGGCAACGCGTTTGCCCCTTCCGCAGGCGGGTTCTCTTCAACAAGCTTAAAATCATCTGCGGACATCCTCTCCCTGCCAGTGCCTCCCTTTTTAAGTACGCGGTAGTATGATAAGAACACAACCATGGCCGCGGAGTTAATGACTAAATGCAGTGTGGTCATTATGAACTGAAACAAGCTTGGCTTGCCGGAAATCGCGTTTGTTGCTAGCTCGGCCCCATCGCAAATCATGGTGATGATCGCTACAATTAAGACCAGGAGAACGAAACATGAAGACTTTGTTATGGTGGATAATACTCCAAGGGCACCCGCAATTATCGTAAATGACGAGGAAAAAAAGTTGAATGCGATCACAGAGTCAGAACCGTTGCCACAGGAGTTTTTACGCACAGCCGCGCACAGCTCAACTGTTGAGCTAAGCATGTTATACAGGGAAAAGAGCACAACGCAAGCAGCCAAGCTAAATGGGCCAATGCCCCGGATGTTGCATTTACACTTCCCCATCCTCGTGTGGTGCGACGTTGGTCCTCTGTCGACAACACCTCCAGATATATGGCTGACAGTGGTATCACGGTTGCTGGCTTTGTGAAATAGCTCTGAGTAAACTGAACGGCGGAATGAAGCTGCCTCCACCCTTTCTTTTGTTTCAGAAAACCCTAGGAAGCCACGCACCAACACTTGCGGGCTTCGCAAAGCTGGCCTCTCTTGCTCAAGTTACTCAATTGCACGACAATTTACTGTTTGAAATACACTGAAAGCCAATCGGTTTACCGCAAATATTTCGGGATGCGTTGCTGTATGACGAGCAGCAGTCGGCAGCCGACATTCAAGTACCAACGGTCACGAGGTCTCAAATCTCTTAACCATGAGAGGATACGTCAAAAGTATCCCCTTGATAACCGGAATCAGAATGTTGTGGAGTATTTCAATGGGTAACTGTTGCACAACTACAAATAGAACAAATTGTTCTGCCTGGACAGACGAAAACTTTAACGGCGGCGAACGAGTGCATGCCTTCTCGCCCATGAGTAGTGCATGCCTTCGATACATTGCATTTTCTAAAAGCTCATAATATTCTGCCATCCAGCTATACTTCGCAAAATCAGATAGCCTGTTATCAACTCTGGCGAGACTTTCTCCAAATTTGTTCACTTAGTTCCGCCGGCCCTGTACTATCAATGCCTCTCCTGTGGCCTCCTTTGATGAGACCAATTGCTCTAAACCACATCGGCGCATACAAAACCCTAGTAAACCTTCCTCACGAAGAACTCCTTCGCCTGTTTGCCATCGGCCCCTACGGTTGCGGCCTAATGGAAGAGGACAGCTACGCTACGCGCTGCCGCGCACTTTGAACACTTCGGATATCCCCACCTAGTTGTGCTTAGAAGCTTAGCACACATAATTAGCATTCACAGGCGGCAACACTGGACGTGAGTATGATCTCTTCCGTGAGCCCGAAACCTTCGCGACCGTTTGCAAAAAATTACGCATGAATGCTTCCTGACGGAGAGTCAATGATGTTTTCTCATGTGCCAATGTGCTTTCAATTCGGAATCAGCTGCACTGTCCAGCACCCATTTCATGCGAGCGCACAACGCGCTCAACTAATACATGGCGTATCCCTTTTGAGTATACTTGTGTAGCGCTTCGTCTGCAATCTCCAAAGGATGTACTAGGCCCCAAACCCTGTACAAAGCTTGATGGAAAATTTTATGCGCTTCTTCAAGACAGCTAGCCTATTTCCTTGCCGACCAAGCCAAATTCGAACGCTAAGTATACGTGCAAGTTGCCGTGTGATGTGTCACGGGCTAAACTACATTTTGGCAATTTTCTACTGCACTACTTATATCCAATTATTATTATTACTGGATAAGTGTACCCGGTTTGTTTTCCAAGTTTACTTACTGCAGAGTAGTGTTTGCTCGATACTTAAAGGCTGTAATGCTTCATCTGTCTCTGCTTCGTGGCAACTCGAGGCTCAATACAAACTCAACAGTAAGTTAGTGAGTGTTTTTCGAAGTGGTACCTTCTGTTCACGGTTTTCAGAGCTTTCGATGTGTCGGAAGAGCAACATTCAGGACGCCCGTAGCATCTAAACCACAAGCCCGCAGCACTGATTGTTGTTCGATGCAATAAAAAAAACTATTTTCCTGATGAGCAATCCAATTAATCAATTATTTCTAAGTTGATATGACTAGTATAGAAGAACGTGTGTAAGCCTGGGTTATCCCCGCCAGCCTCTTCCCCTCCCCCCTAATATCGAAGCACATGCCATTTTATGTTCTGTGCCTGTATGGCTAGACTTAGAGGTTGCACGATAGGGAAGATCTCTACCTTATCATTACTCCCCAGGCAGGCAAACACCTTAAGAGAGTACAATTGAGAATAGTGAATGCAACATTAGCCACTAGTGAGATGGAAGCGAGAAAGAAAACACACCAGCCAACGACGAAGGAGGGGCTACATCAAGGGGATGATGGTGAAGCGATGCCCCGATATCTCCGGAGGGATGGTCTGTCTGTGCCTTCGGCTACGAGAAGACAGAGGAGAAGTAAATTATGTAAAAGGACTCTAAGTGCAGAGTCGTTCAGCCAGTGCCCCCCTCCCCGTCACAGCGCAGTTTCTGGATGCAAAAATAATCGGTGCATGCGGCAAAGTCGACTCTAAGGTCCCAAAAAAGCTACAAGGAAAAACGAAGACACACCATACCTGAGAGTGCCTGCGCATAAATCTGAAAGTGAAGAAAACCCCAACAACTACTGGGCAGTTTTCAAGAAACTTCAATGTATGCACGTAGCTGTTATAGGCAGAACATTCGTGAGGGAAGGACAATTGCCAAGAAAGACGAGGGTAACTGTTCATAACCACTAGCTTTGCTTACCAGAGCCACAAATTATTCCTCTGACAGTTATTCCGCATTAGCTACTCCGACAACCAATGAGGTTGGCGTTTCCAATGCCAATTCAAATAAAGCTCGGGTCTAGTTGGTCTTCGGCTCCCCACCATCCTAGAGTCCAACATGTCTACGGCTCCCTGTGAATCTTCTGCCTCCACATGGATTACTTCCTGCTCAAAAATTCCTGATTTTACTTAGGAAGTTGGGCTTCTATTCAGGGAGCCACTGCTGATAGTTTCGTAGTACTTCCAACTTTTGGGGAAATCAATGGAGCAGGAAAGAGCATTAACTCGTGAGAGGCTGGCAAATTGTTCTAGCAACCTGGCCGTGAGCTTGTTCGTCTTATTACCTTCTATCGCATGGACAGTGTGTAGATGGGCCATCAAGCATGCCAGAACACACTAATGAACTGTGGAACCGTGCTCGGATGCTGCTCCTAGGGGGACATGCATTAAGAGTTACTGAGCGAAGTATTGACCAGTGACAGTACTGTGGCAAGATATGCAACTGGCACACTGCTATGCACGATTTTCTGTTTTGTACAAGGTTAGTTGTTTAGCGCCTCTTAAACAAGGGCCCACTCTACCATTCCAGGCGCCTTTATTGAGCTGCAAAAAACAGCTACTGCCTTGAGATTTGCAAAAACGCCGTGTTACTCCGCTACACAGTGACAGAATGGCGTCCGATTGGTCAGATGTACTGGAAAGGAGTATTTACAGCACACTTCCTGGGCAAATCGATGTTTTGATTTTCTCCAGTCATCTCATATGCAAATCGTTGTAAGCTAACCAGTTAAGGTTCGTGGTAGTGATTAGTTTGGCAATGAGCCGTGGGTTAAAAACTGCAAAATTGCGTAGATTTTCCAGCCACCGGTCATCGAGACGCGACGCGCCAAGAAAAGGATGGAGTTCACATGCGCGTTAAATAGCCTCACGCTTAAAGAAAAATATTAACATGTGTTTTATTAAGGTGCATTCACCTAGGAATACAAGGTGTAAGCAAGCCTCTAAAGTTCAGCGGAAGAAAGACCAACAGGACACTGGAAGTTATGATATGTCGTCGGATTCTGAACTTGCAGCGTACCTGAGACTTTACCTGCATTAGATTGCAAAGAAAGCCCACAAACCTAATAATATCCTAATTTCATGCAGTGTTGGATAAATTTGCCCTTGTTTTGTGACTCCAAAAGGATGGAAATGACACCAGTTTGTCAAAGTCTACGCTGGAGATGGAGGTCACACGTTCTTATCCTTTCGAAATTCTCCTTGTTTTTCTTATTATTAGGTAGGTTCTGACACAGTAAGCGTGCACTCGGGGGCATTTTTTACCGCAGAGTTCCTGAGAAAACCTATTTTTTTTCCTTTTGCTGTTCTTGTGTACCTACAGGGTGTGCAGGAACGCTTTCTGGCCCGTCAAACGGTAATTACAAGAAAGAGCGTAATTGCAGCATTTGGCTTAACCCCGTTCACGTATAAATGCGTGCATGAGCGAAAGTGACATGAGTGAAGGTGAAGGCGTTGCTTTTTGTTTGCCACAGACCAGCCTCCTAGCCCAAGTATGAGCGCACCTGGGCCAGATGTTGATATTGATAGTTTCAGCGATGGTATGTCAGGCTTTTGTGCCGGAACTAAAGCCAGCCGAATATAAGCATGCGTAGTCTTATCAAATTGAGTATTTTGGGACGCCTAGTGAATACGAGCTTTAGTGATTCAATTTGCTGCCACCTCTAGAGGCCTCTGACATCGTTTTTTGCCCACTGTCAATCCACAGACTCACGTGTATTCTGGTTGCGCTTGTGCGACTTAGCCAAGGCTTTATCTTCTTACTTGGCAACCCTTGTGCCTACAACCGAAGGCTATGGGAGTACGTCGGCATTCACGTAGTGCACTTGCACTATATGGCATTAGGGCGGCCATACGCGATTTTTCTTCGCTGATGCACTTCATCTTGTTGCGAGCCAAATTGTATGTGTTTTGCACCTGTGTACCTTGAAGCAGACCCAGACAATATCTTTAAGTGGGTCACTCACCAGGACATATCAACAGATGAGCACATCAAAAGGTTACGCGAGGCACTGAGTGGTGTGTGGAGGAAATTCAAATGGCGATCGGAGGAAATCCCCTTGAACAGGGGCTATTTCTTTAAAACAGCTGAAGAACGGCGGAAAGCCAGCGACAGTAAGGAATATTCGGCCTCTCGTCTTTTCCGTAGAGCATCGTAGCGTCTTGCTACCCTTGACAATATTAGACAGCAGCTCTTCTACCTCTTTTACTGAGGTGTGCTCATACTCTATCCTGTGCAAACATCAGAGATTTGAGTGCTTGCCCGTTATGGTGAGTTCAGAATCGCCCGCGGTGTCCCGTGGTGCCTCCACGAGTACACGCAACAACAATGGGCGTAGAACCACAGAACTACTAACCCCAGGACAGTCATTACTCAAGTTAAACAAAGAAGAGGCTCAGTATGGTTCGTCTTCCTCCTTGTCTCCTCCATCTCCCACGGAAGGCCAGGACTCCGGGATAAGGAAGCTTGCCACTCTTCATGATTCCCACACTTTAGTGCCTGCTTCGACAAATAGCTCCCCAGTAACGAACAGCACTTCCGAAAATCGTTTTAATGACCTGGAGACTCCACAGACCCCCATCATTCCACAGGATTCAGAAACACAGGAAAAGTCGGAACAAAAATCCTCTGTAGGCACTCAAGATGTGCCTGACGAAAATTCTCCTTTGGAAGCCAGCGGGACACTCTCTGATAGCATGAACAGTCATCTACGTCATTCATGGTCCGATCTCGTTAATCACGTTGAAGACGTTGAAGATACGAATAAAGTGCCTCAGGGAAAACCGGAGCTCAACTTGATCAGCAGTGAAGACTACTTCAAGACAGAGTTTATACCATTGGTGAACAGCATCATTAAAGCAGTGGAAACAGGCGACGGTTGGGGGACAGAAGATCCAGGAGTTGGTAAAGATACAGTAACCGAAACCGCATGCCACGACTTACCGCACAACTCCCATGATGAAGGAAACACTGTAAGCCAGGCCGCTGAGGAACAACAGAAGTCACCGCAGGAAGAGTACGATGCAATCCAAGAGGCGGTGCATTTGGACCCCACCGCAGCTATTCCTGCTTCGGAAGGTGGGGAACAGGGCGACAAGGGCACTCAGCCACGTGCCTCAACACCAGACCAACAGCACCTTGTAAATGAACTACCTGTCACAGACAGCAGTGAGCAGCTGGTGAGTGACCACGGTTCCAACAAATCGCTGACCAGCAGCAAGGTTGGAAATGGAATATATCCGAATACAGCAAGTTCGTCTCAGAATAACATGCATATAGGCTTTCCGAAACGTGCTTGGTACGTAACAAAGGCGGTAGGACGGAAACACAAGGGGAAGCTAGAAGTGGCTGGAGCACTGGCTCTCACAGCTCTTATAGTAGGTGGAATTGTGTACGCATTCAAGAAGATACGGCGGCGCATTCCGATTTCGAACCCCTTTGTAAGTACAGTAGACCCAAAGAAGTGTTTTGTGCTCGTAGACTTCGAGAAAGCCCACAGGTCTCAGGCTATGGGCAAAGTGGTGAGCATTCAGGAAGTATTTGCGAACAACGCCTATCGGATTCTGACTGTACGCTACGCCGAAAAGCCAGCACTCCGGAGCTCCAGGGGGAAGGAACTATTCAACTGGATAAAGTACCGGTCTTCATTCGCAAAACTTCTGACACAGCGAGAAGAAAACCTGTCATTCCCGGAATCCTGCATGGCTGGGATGCACTCGGGCTATCAGGTGATAGAACAACTGGGTCATGTCCAGTACCTAATGGTGGATTTAGACCTTAACCCCGGGCCTTTAACTGTGCCGAGAGAAGTAATGGAAAATGACCGCATTGACGATCTGCTGAGTGACTACGAGAAAGACCCAATATGGAAGCTTTACGAAGACTGTATAATGCATATCACTATCAATAAACCATTTAGCGGCTCACTTGTTGTGCAGATAGAGCCAGCGAGGGAGCGAGTAACATTTCAAAACCCCGAGTTGCATGATCTGATTTCTTTGCTGCCGAGGGAATGTGAATGGAGCGAGCCTTGGAAGTTGCGCGTTGTTTACAAGAGTGGTGGAATAATTCCTCTAGATTTGCTGCTAATGATGAGCGCTGCTGACACTTTGGTGCCAGAAACAGTGCCCTTGAAAAGATTCTCCAGCAGTGCAAAGTCAAGCTGAAGCTTCACAGAAGAAGAGTCGGGGAACGACATCGTGAAACGTACTCCTCCACAAGGAAGTCTAGCTGCATGATGAAGCAGAGCCTTTGTCTCGGGGAAAAGGAGAATGATTGCAGAGGTAAATGAAATAAATGGTTTGTCATTTTCTTGGATGACCCCTTGAGCTAGTGCCGCGAGGTTACAGTTGTAAATCACCCATATCAAAGGCCGTAACCAGTGTGATGCATTTATAATGTGCTTCCACGGAGCGCAAATATTTACTGCCTCCGAACGGACGCAGTGGCGGACGTACTCTGCCAGGCGCCTACTGAGGGGCTGAGTGATTCAAGCATCTAGGCAGCCCCGTTGTAGGCTAGGGCGTCGCAAGCCTAGTCGAATATTTTAGATGCTAGAGAGCAGTGCAGTGCGCCCTTGCGGGCAGTTCTACATGTGATGACGGCTAGACTGCAGCCCTCTCTCCTGCATGGTGCACAAAAAAGGGTTGTCATGAAGTAAGGTGGGGGCCACCCGCCCTTGGAACAGCTTTCTTTGGGGGAAACCCCGCCCAGTGCTTTTTTAAACTTAAGAAGTGTCCTCGTTTTTAGGCAGGAGTTTTCCGCGGTTAGCTCTCCCGTTCCAAGATTAGTACGCACCGCCCAGGTCTTGCTCACGGGCTCGAGTAAACAATTAGTGATCTCTCAATTCCATTTGCCCCTAGGGTTTCTACTGCCTTACGGAGTCTTTCTCATTGACCCCAATGTACTCGAATAAGAGTGCGCTTTGCGTGCCCGTGTAGTGCGCATGCCGACTTTTCCTGTGGTCAACGGGTGCAAACTAATTTAATAAAACAAGCATTGCTCACATGTTGATGCGTCCCCTTAAGGCAGAAAATGCATCAAAAACCATATGCGCCCGAAGGTAGCTTCGTCTTCTGGCGGGATTTTCGTCTCAGTAAGCAAACAAGGAAAGTGGCAGTTCCGGAAGAATGCAGCGATCAAAGTCTGGTACATGGGGCTGGAACGTATCTCTCCTATAGTTCGTGAGCCTCCTCCTGGCTTCCCAGAATTTGGTTTCGTTCACCAGCAACTCATCCCTTTCTTCCCTTGAGGTCAAATCATCGAGCACAGGCCTCTCTGCCCTTCCACTATCCAACTCGTCCTCCAGTTCTTCCCCTGGATCCTGAAGTTTTGGATTTTTTGGAACAGTGTCCACTGACATCATATCGCCCTCTGATCTTGTCTGTTCACCATAGGAAGACATTTCAGCTATGCGATTTTCTTTGATTGAGGACTCTAAAAACTTGCGGTCCATGTCTAGGCTGTATATTGTGCGCTGACCGAGCTCCAGAAGCGCTGGGCGGAAGTCCCGAATGAGGAATTCCATTTCTTGCTCGCAAAGACCAATGGGCAGGTTCTTTTCGTCGAGAACGACGCTCACCTGCTCAACCATCCTTCTATACTGCTTTCGAAGGGCGTTTTGTTGCTGCAGAACTGCGGTCAACTCGTTATTACTCACTGGCACACTCTGTTCAACTTTAGCGTGTAGGGCATCGCATGCATTTACGTACGCAGAAAAAGCAACCTGTCGTATATGACTCTGCACCGCAAGGTAGAAGAAGGCAGCGAATGCAGACTGCTGGGTTGTAGTGTCTAGGCTCCTGTAGTCAGCAAGACTTTTTCTGATTGCAGTTGCAATTACAGGATTGGAGAGCTGGAAATCTTCTGTAGCCCACAAGGACTCCCCCTTCAATCGATACAGCTCAGCGAACTCCTCTTCCACTGATGAATGTGTCGGTAAGGAGTTCGATCTCTCAACCCACAGCCACCGACAGAGGCCCCGTAGGCACTGCTGGAGCCGGATGAAGAGCGCAGGACACACCAAGGATAAAATAAGTACATATGCTCCAACCACCCAGTGACGCTTCCCCGCAACCTTTGCCCCTTCAGTCCCTTTTAAACTCCCGGGGAATGCTGCTGCAGTTGATTCTGTTGTTCCAGCGCCAGAAGAGCCTGAGGAATACGGCCGTGAGCTGCTCACAGAGACCATATTGTCTGCACCTTTTCTGAGAAATGGAAAGGCGAAACGCAGCTGGTACACCGCAATGATCAACGCTATCAGGCTTCCCAATAGAGTCAGTGTGCTTGATATCCAGTGGCGACGTTTTTGGTCTGCGTCTAAACGGTAACTCCGCTTCCGGAAATACGTTAGGGAGAACGGCGTGCTGCTTCCCATGTCCGCTTCCTCCCACCCTAAGTGCACTGGGAATCGATGCGAGGAAGAAGAAGAAGACCGCGTGACAGGGCTGCTGTACGAAGAGTGCGAGCCGCTACTCTCGTCCGCCGACAGGTTGTTCTCATCCAAGTACAAGTTGTCATCTGGAGATGTGTCTTGAATACCCATTTTGAGGCCATGTGAGGTCGCCCTTATCTCCGAAGACTTCGCGTCACGTCATCGAAAGCACAGCCTCCAGTTCGTTACAAATATGCTGCAAAGCGACGGGAGCTACCACAGTTTTGTTGGACGTCCTGACTCCATTCCTCCCTTCGTTGGATTTTCCCCGTTGTGCCTCACCCGCTTCTACCCCTAACTGCTGCGCCCTGTTATGTCACTACGTCATGAAAGAATCTGACTATTTCCCACCACACTGCTATGTTTTGGGGTACTGTGTCGAGGTTAGAAGACAAATCCAGTCCCTTCAGAATTCTATACAGCTGCTGCCTTCCTCGCAGACACCCACGCTATAGACCCAAGGTCTAGCAGATTGATGGCCTTCCTGCTCCATGTGGATCCCCAACACTAGCTCTGCAAGACACAAGGCCTTGGTCCGGTGTCTCTAAGTTTTGACCCACACTGCTGCTCACACATGTGGGAAGCAGCGGCCGGCCGAAAGAATTCTTAAGGACCACCCTCTAGCGCCATGTGGAGCGACAAAAACTTCCACCGAAACGGGGTAAATAGCAGGGTAGAAGCGGTGCGGTAGCTTTCTGAGTATGCGCGTAGATAGCTCCCCTGGACCTAGGACCGCTGACGGCTGCAGCACCTGCCGCTGTGCCGGCTGCTGGTGGGTGCTCAAGATTTCCGTGAATCGAACTCCCCCTTTTTACTCAGAATCACAATATTCTACGGCAAATTCCACGAGGAAAAGGCAAGATATATTTATTGACAGCAGGGGTGTCTGTTATGCTCGCTTACCTACTTGAAACCACCACTTCAGAAACAGCTGCGAGACGCTTAACGATAATCTGCTATCACTACGCGGGGAATCGCCTTTCTGGGGGGAGATCTAATCGATAGTTGATATGGAAAAAGGACTCATTGGACAATATCTGTGACCTTGGTAATACAGACGAGTATATGTAACGAAAGCAAATGCTGGTAAGGTTTATTGCCGTCGGTTCTAAATACTGGAGGATGGCACCCCTGCACACCCTACAATACACAGTGTCCTTATATGTTGAGGAGCGAGGGCGTCACTTGAACGGAGACTTGTTATTTGGGTTAGTGCTCTACGATTATGTGGTCCTGTTCCTCCTTGCCCAAGTATGATAGTGCTCCCACAAGGCGAAAAAGTGAACTTACGCAGAAACCCACAGCAACGTCGATGGCCAGTGGAGAATGGTTTTGCTCGCTCTATTTCACGAAATTTCCGCCAACGTGAAATATCCGAGATTCACTTAGAGTGATGAGCTTAGTGTAGCGTTTCATGCAAGGTTTCCGCGGAAGACTCTTAACTCCAGACTCTAAGCAAACTGAATAGAAATTTATTGAGTGCTTTCAAAAGACTTCCTACCTACTTTCCCCTGCCCGCGCCACTCAAAAAACTTCGATGTGAGGGGAAAGGGAGAGCCAGAGTGAGCGTAGCTGCATCCTACACATAGACATAACAACATTACGCCTTATTGTATCGAATTACCAGTACTCTGCAAAGTAGAGGAGCCACTGGAAGACATGCTAGTTATCCAATTCCCTACTAATTCTTAGTTGAGTATGAGTAGAGCAGTAGAAGCTTCCAAGAGTAGCTCAGCCCACTGAAAAGATGCAATCTTGTAAGCGTGTGTTGTGGTAATGCTCTGTGTAACTACCTCCGAACGCTTTGAGTGCTTAGAGAGTACAGTAAAGTGCTCCGTAGCTGTTCCACTCCCCTCAAGTCGGGGACTCTCAGGGGCTTGGGCGGGGGGGAGAGGATACTCTCATGGAAAACATTTGAGAACTTTTGGCGGTCTGTTTTGATTCCGGGGTTACGTGTCTTCGCACAGAGCATTTGAATTTGAGGGCTTCAGGTCGGGTGCGCGTTTATTTACGTCTGAGCACTGCACCCATTTGATCATGGTTTGACGGCATCTGGCGCATCAGCATCCAAAATTGATTCCTACTGTATTGAACGAATGCTACTCTACAGCCTGTTAGATATGTGAACAGCCGAACCAACTAATCGATTCGTTGCTAGTTGGCAATTGAACATATCTAATTAGTGGAAGGTATTTAGTATGTCTAAGGCCGCTGCATGCACCGCGGGTTTCGGCAGTAAATTGTAATGAGCGACTGGGTGTGAGTAGTGAGGCTACTCAAAGCGTGTAGAATGGTGCACGCTAGCTATCACCCATCGATAATGCTTATATTCCTATAAAGGCCTCAGTTGGAGCACTGCATTGCGAATACTCCACGTAATCTCACTCAGTGGTATCCAGTAACTTGGCGTGTAGGCACATATCATGCGCTTTTCATGGTGTGCAGCTAACCCTTCACTGCAAAAATAGAGCCTAGGAGTATCGAAGTCATATAGCTCATGCTAAGCAGGAATTTTGACTAGTGGAGCACATCTACTATCCATTGCCCAAGTTTTCTGTGCCTCCCGAAATACCCCTTTCCAGGTACCTTCCAGTCAGACTGTCGTGTGGTCGATCTCTGTTGTGATTTAAGTGTTAAGCGGCCTGGGATTTCTTATTTCTAAGTTTATTCTCACAACACGCGTTCAAACACGTGGTAATGTACTTAAGAGCATCATATTGTGTGATCATGCATTCGGGTTGGGCTAACAGGTGGCATTTCCCTGTTGCCGGGGATATGTGATATAATTGTTCTATAAGCACCGCAGCAAATACAGGCCAACCCTAATCAGAGGTTTTTGTACCTCATTTTGGTTTTACAGCTAATGGTGGGGGCGTCTAGCAAGGAGTGCAGTTTAGGAGACATTCCGGGCAAAGGAAAACCGACGCTGGAATACGAAGAGAGGCACAAGAGTTTACATTAACAATAGGGCGCAGTGAAGAGGTGTACATACAACCAAAAGATCATACAGCGGATGTTTACCTGTTTCATGTCCTAGAGGCTCACACCAAACGCATAATGTGTTGCTTATTTAATTGATTCCGTGGATCAATGCAGGCCTTGGATTCATCACGAAGAGAGAAACAATCGACATGGTGCATGCAGTAGTCGAGACTTGTTCCCTTGTGTCCTACCAAATTTAGTGCCTGCATGTTCTTATGGGGCTCCCTGCAGTTCTATATCTTTTGTACGCGCCCCTTCTTACAGAGGAGCTAGGGAGAGTCTGCTGCTCAGATGCCTTCAGTGAGCTACTCAGGTGTTACTGATGATCAGTACTAGATGTAGGGAATTAATTACCTGCCTTTTACGAGCATAAGGGAAATGTTTATAGGGCAGTGGGCCAGAATGAGGTCTAAAGCATTTCAAAAGCTCAAGCAGTGGTTTTCCTTGGTTTCGCGGGCTGTTTAGCTGTGCATGTGTACCTAAGTGGGACCACTTCGCTTTATTCATTGGGCGTATCCCTTCCTCCTTGGTGGAGGAGACCGCCCATCATGTACCATTTTTACTCTGCCGTAGGCAGTAGATTTCCTAGTGCCCCTGTCCCCCGCACTAGTTCTTTTGTCGCCGCTATTGTTTCTATTCTTACTTCCATGAGTTGGCTGGGCGGGCCTGAAGTCTGGAGGAGAACCCCCACTTGGCTGCAGAGCGCATGCACAGATGTCCACAGATTACCTATCGGTCGCTTAGCAGAGCTACAGGTACCAAGCGTCCACCTCCCCGGAGAAACTCTCAGTCTGTGGCTTACTGGTTTGGGAGAAGGAAGGCAAGTTCGAGAAACAGGTGTCATGCGATGACGCCAGCATAGCACACATATAATTGCCGCAGAAAGGAGGACGCCTAGGAGGGACACTACCAGGACGATACCTATACACATGAGCAACGGAGCGTAACACTGAGAGCTTGTTTTTCACCAGGAGCAGAGGTACTTCGGAGAGCTGTGTGTTATGTTTGGGCCTATTTACGAGCACCAGGTAAAGACGTGCTTTTGCATCAACCTCTGAAGCATTAATGAATCAAATTGGTTTAAAGACGTATGCAAGGTAGGAGAATGCAATACAGTTGGATCCATCCATCATTCCCTGCTTAGCTTTTTCTCAAAAAAGTGTGGACGGCTACTCGTGCAGATCGTGCGCTGCTCATGAGTGGCTTACTAATTGCCAGTGGCTTGTTCGTTGGCAGTGTCTGATCATTGCTCTGTATGTCAGCCGCTGCACGCAGCAGAGCTAATCATAGTGTTGCATCTACTCTTGATAAAGTGCTTTCTGACGCTTTTTCAAATTCTGGTGTAAGGGCGGTACCATGTATCCAGGCAGTTTGCACTATGCAGCATTTTATGCAGTGCGAGGACTCATCTGCTCCTCAGCTAATCTATTATAACTTCTAACGCGTCACCTTTAAAATATGGAAGAGAGTAAGCACCCAGCACTTCTGTTACCCGAAAAGCTGGTGTCTTTGTAGATGTGCTGCTGTATGGTTGCATTAGAACCGATGGTACAGGGCGACCTGCAGAGGACACAGAACAACAGAGATGCGCGGATCCTTCGTCCCCATCCTCAAGGCGAAGCTGCTTGCGGAATATGCCATGAACTTTCCTGTGCCGCACAAAATGTGACTTATATTTGGTAAAACACACCAAACCTATCTTTGTTTTTAAGATTGTGTGGGATTAAGCAAATTCTAGGGGGATATCGGCGCACCAAATAAGCTCCTTCCAGCACAGCGTATATCAGCATACCTGTCTGAGAACTGCGAACTGCTGGAAAGTTTTCAGCAAGCCATGGGACTTTCCGTGTGAGCGCTCCAGTATCTAGCGCCTGCTGGCACTGCTTAAGGTGCTCCTTGTGCTTTTCAGTATCTGGAGACACGGGGCTGCAGGCAAGGCAATCTGATACACTTATCCACGATGGTGAGATTAGTTGAGTTCAGGAAATATGGCAAACGGGGTGCACCGCTTTTGAGGTATCTGTATGCTCAGGGCAACTGTGCTCTTAAATGCTGAAGAACAAGCAGATATTTTAAGACCACTCGTGCCTCCTTACGTAATGCCTATCGCCGTCCCAACATCAGTTTGGAAGTATTTGGCAATCTGAAGAGCTCTGGGATTCACTAATTCAAGGGTTGATACTAATGCACTTCGCAACCCCAGCAGTCGATCCTCAAAACGGGACACATCCTGGAAAAAGCTCCATAGTGGAACCCACATGCAGAGAAGAAAAAAAGGGAAGGGCTATTTGTACCTCGAGCACTCATGAAAGTTCCTCCAAGAGCTGTCTGCCGTAGTTTAAGGCGAACATAACCCTGTGTTTTACTGGTGCCTCTAGCACTACGCCTCGAAATTGTGCTGAAATTTAGACTTTCCTTTCCCCCGAAGTTTAAGCGATTGTGTCACTTACGTTCTTCATATCATCTGACCAGTTGATATCGAGCAGTTCCAGCCACAGCTCTTCCTCCTGATCCCACTTTGCTTCAACACCTGAAAATCGTGATCCCAGAGAGCAACTGATACAAAAACACCATAGAAGTGACTAAGAAACAGTGCAAGCAAAATGTTGGTCACATGTCATGTGGTTCGAGCATTGCACTATCGGAGGACACTTCGTGAATCCCGGGGAATTTAAACAACGATGAGGCAGGTGTTCAGGTACCTGGGCGTTGCCATGTCTTTTGCAGAAGTGGCAAAGAAACGTGGTCAGATACTCCCGCAGAGCCAGTGATCAGCGGCTCCACCAAAACCTAACCAGCAAAGCACAAGGCAAATAATTGAAGGACGAGCCAATTACTTTTTCGGGCACGTTCCTGGGAGCTCCTGGTCCGCCTGGAGCAAAAGACAGTAACAACGACTGATGTGTTGCGGGGCAGACCTTTCTGCTTCCAAAGTGCCACTGGCCTAACGCGTCGGGAGATCGCTGAAGGATTTCTCTAAGCTGACCCAACTGGTCATGAGCAGGTATGTCGCGAATCCTGTAGATTGCATGAATGATCAAATACACACTTTGGCAGGAAAGATAGGATTTGTCTGGCTGCCGATACCTTCATCACCCTGACTGTCACACATTCCTGGAAGCTTTGTATTCCGTTTTCGACCCATTTCGATCAGTGTGCAATAGAATGCAGTGGAGCTGGAAGGCATGGGTAAATATGACTTTTACAGTCTGCAGTCAAACTGGAAGCTGCTCACAGGAAAGTCCAAATTGTGCATTTTGTTGGTTCGCGGTCGTCGGGTCTGAGCTGCAGAGGAACGACCCTTTGAGAATTTACTCCGAATGCGTTGGCCACTTGCTGTGCCGCCTCTCGAAGAAGAATTTGCGACTCGTAGTAATGCTGGAAAAGAAATAGCAAGACACAGTGCGGATATCATACTACAATTTACGTCCATACATTTTTAAAAGACTAACACCTACTGCACAGCTGTCGGAAGCTTTAAAGAAAAAAAAATTGGGGGAACTTTGACCCACTATTGCAATTTCAGAGAGGGAAACATTGAGCAGTTTGACAGCCAAAGCCTGATCAGAAGCCTGCAGACTCCTGCTATTCATTCCAGGATCCAACCGGCCAAAAGATACGGCAGATCCTAGTTGGGGGCCTCTGCTGGTATATTGCATTCTGCTTTATTCTATTTGCCGGGAGGTTTCATGAAATCATGGGCAAGCGCGTATGTTTGTGTAACTGAGGATTTTTGTAATTTGAAAAAAACTGATGGCGCATGTAATGGGGCCTCCCTCCAAATACTCGAAGTGTAGTGCAAATGACACGTGATTTTGCAGCCCTTCGTGCTGAGCTGTCATTCACGGGGGAAATTTAGTGGAAAGTACTACCGTCGCATGGGACCGGCTTCGAAGCGCTGGGCCATGAACACGACGCTGGTGCAAATAGGCATCGTGAAAGATTCCGAGAACAAAGAAGTATAAAACAACCACAGTGATGCCGCAATTGCCATAAATAGCGAAAACTATGCCTTGTCACCGTGGGTCCCTGACGAGACGTGACCCCAGTACATCCCTGACTTGGTGCATGCAACGAGACGTACGCAAAAGTAAACCATTGGGGGAGTTCTCCACTAGTGATATCATAGGTATTGTGGTACGTTTAAGAATTCGGGGAGATACAAGCATCATACCTAGTAGTTTCTTATGCTTCTGTTCACCGCGAGAAAAACAACGGCAAAATTAGTCCGTTAGGAGAATGCAGTGCCTTGAAGGCACATTTTGTACACTAGAGGGATATGAGCTCGATAGTTTAGTTGAGGTTCTTCCATTAGTCCATTAAAACATGGAGAAGGCTAGCCGCATCCTCCCACATCGCAACATCTATTGGTGTGTACGAGGCGACGTCCACATTCACATTCATGACTGTAGACGCCACCTTCCAACTGGCAGTATCCCAATAAACTCTACACTTCATGCCTGCTTATTCCTAAGATCTAAGTCACAACTCAATTTTTGGAAATATGTAATAATTGTATGTTATTGTGGAATGAATTGCTGTCGTGCAGCTTGGGCCAGGGCATGGATCTCGCGGATGAGTTGATTCATGACCAGTCACACAATTTCAACCTCCAAAGATACTAGGCAAAGAGCAAAAAACGGACAAAAATGTCCCTACTGCTCGATGGTGGGTGTACGGTCAGCACCAGGGCGGTTCTGCACGGGATGACAAAGTCGATTGCTCGCCAGCCAGGTCATTGTCCATGCCGCTATGCGCCCCTTCCGACTTGAATGCCCGATCCGCCGGTTTTCCTCCATTTCACCCTCTCCCTCCTCAAGAATGCAAGCTCTTTGTATAAAATGTTGATATTCTGTCTCATTTTGCAATATACAACATGAAGATGCCGTCTTTCAGCTTGAACTACTGAAGCATCTCGACTGCGGTGGTCCCCGCGTTGCTGTTCGACAGCATACAAAGCACTCCACGACTGTATCCCGTGCATGTCTTGACCTGTTGAATGGAATAAGCCCAAACATACTCCAAGGTACACCAATATGATGTCCGTGCTCGATGACCTGCGGTACCTCCACTAAGCTGACAAGCCGCTTAAAAGCCGGAAGCGCAGCTCCTCAAATTAATGATAGCCAAGGCTCCGATTGCTCTATTCCTGCGCACTCCATTGTACACCACGGGAAAAGTTGTATGGCTTGGATACTATTTGCTTGATACATGTGAGGCGGGAAAGGATACTCCATTAACAAAATTCCGCAATGGAATTAGGCAAATTTGGTGGGCTGCAGCTACCGTTGGGGGCTCCACTTCCCCACCCAATGAGTGCTGATCCAAAATCTCCTCTTCCAGAGACCCCCCGCCTTGAGGGAGCTCTGCATGGGATAACTGAGGCTGTACAGGGACCGAGCAACACCACGGATGGCGATTTCTTAAAGCGAAAGGCCCCCGAGCACATTGTCGTGGGAGAAATTCGGCAAAATTTGGACGACTTGAAAGCTGCAGTGCTGAGTTACTATAGTAGGCTGTACTCTCTGGCTGGCCGCTCTATCAATGAGAGACTTGATAGACTAGCAGCTCCCCCCTTCTCCAACAAAGCAAGCACTCGCCTACCTCTCGCTAGAGGTTCCCGCAGCACATCAAAGAAGCACCAAGGACTTTCAGTTCCTCCCCCGGACACGTGCTTTGACTTTTTCGCGGAGGAACATCAGGGTTAGTTTCAACATCACTTTTGACCTTGGAGAGTAACTCACGTTCCTCTCAGCACTCTAGACAACTGCCCTTTTGTCTAAAACGTCGTGCTTTTATGAAGGGTATATCATATGTTACTGCTACTCCCTATTAGCCTTGCGCATTATCAATTCAATTATTGCTGTGATCAGGTTCAAAGGAACCGAAAGATGGGGACCTGGTTTCAAAAGCCGAGGATCCTTCCCTACAGAGGCGTTTCTATGGCATATCCCAGCTCCCAGGGGAGAAAATCGACAGGGAGATGGTGGGACATGACAACTTCCTGGGCCGGCAGCTCAAAGAAACCCGCGGAGGTCACATAAATGAGTTGCTAGGCGACTTGCGTTCTAAGTGCTCCGCAGCCACCAGCAGGCTCAACCTCATTGGCGACCAACTGGAGAGAGAATGTGAAGACCCAAACCTTAGAGAATGGGAATATACAACACTACCACAGGTTTGTCAAAGCCCTCTGTTCTTCTACAAGGAGTTTGTTAGCAACGATGATGCTGGTTTTACTCTGCCGCAGATTGCTGCTCCCACTGCGAAACGTTCTCTGTAGAGTAATTGCACCACATACGCTACCGACAAGTAGGCAAGAGTCTTAACATGTATAAGCAACATATATTGGTCTTTGCTTCAGGTTCGCCGCAAACCTGACTTAGGCCGTGATCCCCAGCTGCGACGCCATTTATTGACATTGTATCGGGACCTCTCCCACCAGTCCCAGACAAACCAGTTGAAGATCAACGCTATTCAGAGCAAACTGAAGGTGTTGAACCTTCACACACAATCAGACATGATCAAACTCAAGTCTGATCCCAGAATTGCATTCTAGTATGGTGTATGTGGGCACGCCACAAATCTGTCCCTCCATCCAATGTAGCACAGCAGAGGAAGATCTAATTAGAGGTGGCTCTCCGTAATTTGGAACATAAACTACTCTCCGAAAGGCGTAAAAAAACACTAGCAGCCATGATTCGCTTCTGCTTTTGATTTCCAGAGCACCAACCAGTTTTCCCTATACTGCTCATGGCCATGGAAGATAGCAGGTCGTGAGATGCATTAAGCCAGAGATGCTAAAACTCACGAGCACTGCATGTTGTGGGGGTGAACTAGCGCGTACTGTGTTTGCAGACAGTAATTCTTAGTTGGGTTTTACAGAACTTTGTTCTTCTGTGTGCTGCTCGTTGCATGTTAGAGGACTGACTAGTTACGCCACAGAGGAAAGGGTTTCGAGATGCGTCGGAATCCTTGAAGCAGGAAGGGGCAGGGTGTACATCGAGCGAAAGGAGCTGCCCAAGCAAAAAACTAGCTGTAGGATCAACCAGTCCGACACAAATATATCCACTTTGATTCGTAACAATACAAGCAGCGTCAAATAAACCTAAATGATCACAGCAATGAGTCCCACAAACTAAAACTACTATCCGCAGTCTTTCTGGGCGCCATCAACATTTCGGCCACAGGGCGTTGTATGTTGTTGGAATCGTGCGGTGGGCAGGTAGACACCAAAGATGGAATAAGACAAAGCATATTTGCTCCTGCCTGAGGATTCGCCATATAGGACCCGCAGCGGTCAAAAGCTACTGGGATCTTCCAACATGTTTATTTTAAGCGGCATTTTATGTAGCTCAAGAAAACCGAAGCGGGTGGCTTCGGCGTTACAACAAAGCAAAAAGGAGGAAACGAGGAACAGGATGATTGGCAAGATTTGAGAGAAACGAGAAGACTCAGAGGTCGTCGAGATCAAAGGAGGCGAATTCGAATTCCACATGAATCAAGTAGCGAATTTTGACTTGACGCTGCGGCAGAAGCCATACACAAAAGCTGGGTTTTTCCAAAAGTGTGTGGGTAATTCCCCTTATGCAAGAAGCACTTAATAATAATATTTAAAATGATCATTTAAATTGCTGAAATGCTTCCACATTGGTGGGGAAATGAGTGGTAGTACTGATAGCAAATAATGACCACCACAGAGATCAACGTCGGAGGCATAGTTCCATCAACAGGGAAACTGCCTCACCTCCCACAAACGACTTCAATAGGCTGTTCAAAAGCAAACAGTGCACGGCCGAATCTATATGGTACTCTTTAGGTATATAGAGCCTCTCACCGGGTCGTATACTACGTATTCGTTGTACATAAGGGCGGCCTCAGGGCTTCCTGGAGTTTTTGCTTTCACCTGTGCCAACCACAACTTCAGGAACACCTCCTATTGCGTAACCATCGAATATTCTAGAGCGTAGAAGCTTCCAGAGCTGACACTCAAGGTTTTGGCCTAGCGTCATACTGTTGAGCCACGTGGCGAGTGGATGAAGAATATAAGGATAACTATTTGGCCCCTGAGCATCTAGATTGTAAATCACACTACACTGCGCATAAGATACGGCCCAAGATGCAGAGCCTACAAGCCAGCGACGACTCATTCCTCGGGCGGAAATATGGTCAAGAAGAAAGCGTACGAGAAATAGGACATTTGCACATGTGGAAACTTACAGATTTGGATGAGTGAGTGAAGTAATTAAGTGTATGCATGCTATCTAGCTTATTCTCATTTTTATTTTCTTTAGCCGCATGTATAAACCAGCACCTTAAAACAGCCTTCTTTCTGCTCTTCATTGTCGTAGCACAGTTTGGCATCTATGATAACTGTTCTATGCGTACAGCACATAGTGGCTTAAGCCCTTCATGGTGCTTACAACATCAACCGCCTTGGAGTTGTTCCAGCTCTTCCCACCACAGACTCTCACGGCCTTGCCGTCTACAACTGAAGGGACCTCATAGTCGGCTTCTGGGTTAGGACACATGCGGCCTACACCGTGAACACTGTCCTCTCCTAAAGTAACAGAACCACAGACAGAAAGGAAATGACAGAGGGAAGCAGGTGACGAACAGACTGAGGTACAGGAGGAGAGCAAGCATATTCACACAGTTGCACGGCAATCACCGCAGGAGGCACAAATGTAGGTAACACATCTGAAGAGGCACCATTTCAATTCAGTTAGATAATTACATCGCACTAATAGGGTAAGAGCAGCTGGTTGGCTCTTCCCCCGTCATATTCAGCAATTATGATCACAGATAACATTAAATGCCTTCGGAAAGCTGCTCCCTATTGTTCCCTTTTCCCTATGTGCTCGGCAAAGGCCCAAGTGGCAGCATAGCCTGTACGCCGTTTCCTGTTACGGGTGAAGCCAGAGGTTGAAAGGTGTTCTGTTATTAATGTATTTATCCGCCAGAGTACCGCCAAGCATCCCAAGCCGTGGATTCTGTATTCTGGTCCCCACCATCTGCTTTGCATTTGGCTGCCGCTTCGTAGTCCGCCCCGAGGAGCTGCCTTTGATTTCCCAACGCTGCCTCACACAGAACCAGGAGACCATGAGGCTGCTGCGATGAAGCGAAGCAATATTGCGAAGCCTTGCTAACCTGAGGACATTCACGCAACCGGAAAAATCAAGCCATTCATTTCCTATCAATAAAAAAAGTAAAAAGGAAGACGCTAGTGCAATCGAGCAAGTACAGCATGTAGAAAATGACAGGTCGAGGACACTATAGACTGCTACCAGTCGCAGAGGAGCCCAATTAACGTAGTGGAGGGCATGCTGCAATGTAGGCGGTTGAGCGACTATCGTAGTTAAACCAACGCCTCTTTCCGCGAAGTGCCGGGTATTCCTAGCCCTAAGAGCTGTCGTTAGTTTTTTTATGTAAACTTAAAAGGCTTCACATAAACGTTTCTGTTCCGCTCCATCAGTCCATTTACGTTAACCATTGTTGCTGACCATATCTGCAAAGTAGATCCCTTTATCAAACATGTAGCCTGAAGAAGGCGCCTCAGGGGGTGCAACCTGCAGTCCTTTTGCGAGGATGCTTGGCCAGTTCGTCTGAGATGTTGCAACAACTCACAAAATACTTTCATGCATTCAACCTACATGGATTTCCCTCCAAAGCACCGTGGGAAGGAGAGAGTAGGGCGGGACCCAGTCACTTCACAGTGCCCCTACAATGATCGGAGACATGCCACTGCACAATCAAATTTCTAAAGTCTGCTCTGTCTGAGCTGGTGCGAAGACAAAGAACCACTGGGCAGGCAGAGCCCAATATAATAACAAGCGAATGCCACCCAAAAGCCTAACCAACAACATATTCTGCACGTTGCGGCATAATGTAGTCTATTGGACGGAGGGGTCCTGCTTGGGAAGATCACGAGTGGAGTCGAGCCCGCCACGATGCAATTGGTGTTTGTTCTCTCTCCCTTACCAGTCTCGAGCCATGCCACAAAAGCATTCTGTTGCCCATTTCTCTATTAAAGCGCTCTGTCTCTCCTTTTCTGTCGCATTTAAACACACTTCGTTCCTTTAGCTTCCACGTATTGTGCGTTGGTGCATGCGTATTGGAGATTAGACGGCAGACCAACTGCCGCTCTTCGTTGCCCTCCGGCAGGGGCTGAGACACCAAGACTGAATGGCATGCAAGACCATTTGATAGTTTTATACAAGCCAAAAAATGTATACAGGCAAATAGGAGTCACATAGAGGAAAGAATTCTAGCAAGGCTAATGGCGACTGCAGAAGAAGAGTTGACAGCAATGGAACGGCATTAGTTCAGGGAGAAACCTCGCTTCTATGAAATTCCAAGAAGTAGAGTTGGAATGGGGAACAGGAGTAATGTGTCATAAGTGGGGTGTTTTCTCCTTTTTAATCATAAGAATACTGCGTGCATCACCTCCAATTTGCAGCAGAGCTGGTCGTATTGCGCGTCAAGGGGATGCCTGTCCTTGGCGTTTAGTAGGGCGTCCGTCAGCAGCGACTGGGCCACTGATACCTGAGAACAGAATAATAAGAATGAGAGGAGAGGGTGCATAAGTGCCTTAAGAGGTAGATACAACTGCCAGTAAAAATGACAATAGTTGGCGAGATTCACATAGAGAAAGACGTGATAGCAATTGGGAAACGCCAAGAGGGTGACACGGCCAGGCAGGGGGGAACACAGTAGGTAGCCAATTCATCTTGTGCTTGTCTGCTTGTTCTGCCAGCGCAAAGGCATAATCCAAAGCAAACATTCTTAACGAAAGAGGCTAGAGATGCCACGTTACAGCTGCTTTCGCACTTCAAGTAGCTGTTCCATCATTTCAATCTTTGTCCTCAGCTTTGCCAAAGAATCCAAGATCGGCGGCTTTTGGGCATACGTAAACTGAATCACAAAGTTGGAAGCAAGCACGGTATGGTCTTTCTGTCTGATTCTTCCGTCAGTCCCTTGGTGTGCACCAGCTCATCGCGCATCGTGCCTAAACGTTCCCTGCCCAATGCACAGATCCGTTAATTCATCGTCCGCCATAGACACTTTAGCTGTCTCCATCTGCTTGCAGAAAAATCCTCAAGTCCTATAGCCGTACAATGTGTGGAATCTTGATATAGAAGCGGTTGGTTGCATCGGCCAATTTGGTTCTGAGGGAAAAACACAAAGGATTTTTATCAGCTTATTTTGTCTACTCGGCAAAAGGTGGGGGGGGCAAGAAAGTGTGCTACTACATATAAACGAAGAAAGGAAACGAGCAGCCAACAAATTAGGAGACGGAAGTGCAGCTTACTGATATTTGAGTGTGCTGGTCTGGACAGCATCTTCGCGAAGTAAATTTTGAATTTCCTGAAGGCAAATGATGGCAGAGAAGGAAGGACAAACGCGAAACACAAACGTCACTGGAAACACTTCACCAGCGCACATGCGAGGGGCAGTCAGTACCACACAGTCACATAGTCAAGCTCAGAAAAGAGAAATGCGCAAGGCTTGACAGCAAACGAACAGAAACCAATGAATTGAGGTGCATGTGGGCCTTTCGTGAAAAGAACCTGTTAGCAGAGAGCGAGCAAGAAGCATCGCGAAGATAATTAGATAGATTCAGTGCATAGGATTGGGCAAATTGTCGCTTCTTGGCCTTTAGAGAAGACAGAGCTTATGAACGAAGGCATGCTGTCCTTTCGTTTGTGGGGTTGCCAACAAACCTGAAGGACTGCGTAGCCTTCTTGCAGTTGTTTTTTCGAGATTGATTCGATTGGCAATTTCTGAAGATTGAGATGCTGCTCTTTCAACAGCTTCTCCGCCAAATTTCCTTAGAGAAAAATAAACAGACGAATGAACTACGGATAGTAAGCCGCAGAATTAGATAAAGTCGCGAACGTAAATGGTGAACAAGACACGAGATTGAGCGGAAGAAGAAACCAGATGCCAAACAAAGGATGCCTGCGGTAGGCACGAAAGGAGGAAAACGATGGACGAGCGAAAAGCGAAAGGGTATACGGGAGAGCGACGACGCCCCCATACGAAAAGCAGCAAGAGGCTGCCTGGAAGACAGCGACGCAGAAAGAGCCATGGACTGGAGAACAGTCACGTATGAAATGCGCACATAGAAAGGTGAAGGCAGAGGAGTTGTGACCAATGCAACACATGCAGCTACCATCGGCATGAAAAGACTCAGAAACATGCGTAGCTTTTGGATGCCCTTACTATCGAAGATGAGTTCAATTACCACCTTCACCTCGGGCTGCAGAGTACATTCCGCCAGGCAACTACTGGCACTGCACAAAGCAGGAAAACAGCAGGGGTCCTAATCCCAATGCGTATGCGCTCGCGTCTGTCTGGCTGCTATGGCGCATCTTGCCCAGTCCGTTAATCGGTGTGCCTCTCTACTTTTCCTGGAAGCAGGACTACGAAACACCAGCTCCCTTTAGTGTCGATGATGGCACACATCAAAAACACGCAGTGCTGATATGTGGAGGCACGCAAACGCTCTTCTTTTGGTACCTCGCTTCTTCTGTCTTAAGGCGCTTCTGCAGAGGCTCCACTTTCGCCTTCTGCGCAGTCTCGTACCCCGCCAGCTCCACAAACCCATACCTTTACAGCGAAGAGGCAAGAGGGAAGACATGCAAGCGGCATCGCCGGAGGGAAAAGGCAGCAGAAACACACCAGGGAGCGCCTATACATGGCGGGAGAAGGGCTGACGCTTGCATGGCTGGACAGAGGCCTCTGCCCAGTGAGCGAGGTGCAAGAACACAGGCGAGACAAAATCAAACATACAAAAAAGGCGAAGGGCACAGCGGCACGCAGACACACACACACACACACGCGCAGTGCACGAAGGGAGGCCGGAAAACACACTGCAACATGACCATAAATGATGAACTCATGCATATATATATATATATGAACATAGCAGTGGGGAGACAGAAAGCAGGAGCTTGTCGTACCTGCCAGGTTGCTGGACAAAACTGAATCGATCGTCCCAGTGCGTACCGGTGAGCCCCTGAAACTTTGTCTCGAAGGCCTCTGCAGCAACAGACTCGTGATAAGTGGCAATTATTCTCAGGCTGCCTTAGAGACACATCGGGGAAAAAGAGCTGCCACTTCACCCTTTTCCGCAAAGACCAAGGAAGAAAGCGCAGTGCAGAGAGGACAGCGAGAGGTGCAAGGATCTTACGGATGGCGCTGTCTACGTCTTGGCCAAAAGACTGCTGCCTGCGATTCAACACGAACGTTTAAGTAAAACAGGGCATGAGCCAAGGGGAGAAAAGAGGAATTTCTCTGGGAAGACGAGAGGAGGAGGCTGAAGGAGACTGACAAAGACGCAATTTACGTGAAACGTTGCGCATGCTCATCTCAGCGCGTGTTTTCGGGAAGACGTAAAAAAACGTGTTCGCCATAATGGCATTCCTTTTTTTTACTTCAATCGCATGGGATGACTGCCACATACAAGGGTGGTAAGCCTCTAGCCACATCAAAAGCTATCCCTGTGCGAGGTAGGAGATTCTTGCATCTGCCAGTGCAGCACCCTTGGCTTCCCTTGTATCCACAATACTCGAGTTCGTGAATGGCGCAGAAGTGCAAGGAAGCCATAGCACTTGCGGGTGCAGCGGTTTCTGGGGATGATGTATGCATGTACGTGTGCATGTATGCATGCTTGTGTGAGTGGGAGCTTACCGATAGTCATTTGTGAGTTTATCATCGGCTCCCAGGCGCCCCCACTTGGTAAAAAAATGATACGTTTTGCCTGTTTGAACGATTTGCATCGCGTAATACTTGTTGATGCCTGCAAAGGAAGTTGCACGACTGAGATGATGTAGGGACACAGAAGCAGCGAAGCACGGAAGCATTGATACGAACAAACATTTGAGGGTGTAAGCGGCGTGTACCGGTAGTGATGTCGGTGAACTGGGTGCAGCAATTGAACGCGTTGCCTAGTTCATCGATGAAGATCTTTCCTCCTTTCTTGCTGAACAGTGGATCCACCTGTCAAGAAGATGCACCACACGCACACTGCAAGGCGGATAAAGAGAAATGCCGAAGCGCGCAAAATGTGAAACATGAAAAGACATGGAAAAGTAGGAAAGAAAGCTGGTGAGTGAAAAAACCCTAAGGACCAGAAAAATCCCATTGTAACCTCCTGTACTGAAGACGGCTTCGTGTTTTCTCAGATTGGCGCGTTTTCAGCAAATTGCACGGAGGTACATTCCACAGTGCCCCAAGCACAAAGCAGCCACAACCAGGCGCAGAGAAGAGCTTTCTCCTCTTTGTGCCTCCCAGCCACACCCCCAACTCCAAAGCCGAACGCACTGAAGCCAGTCCAAGCACTGGCTTTTAGTGCGTTGCTTGAGGGAACTCGCCACGGGAGCCTGCGGACCTGCAAGATCGGTGCATCTTTGGCAATTGCTGGCCTCTTCACCTTCGCGCTGCTCCTTTCCTTGTTTTTCCTGAGTTGGCGGAAGCCCTCTGCAGCGCTCGGCAGCTCGTGGGCCAGTTTGCCTTCGACGACGTAGTATTGTGCATACTTCTTCTTTCGCAACAACAGGCCCTAGAGGAGACAGTGGCACGAGCAAGCACAGCTCTGGAAAGGCAACCAAGAGAGTAAAAGACAAGCTACCGTGAAGGAAAAACAATCAGGGGGGAGGGCTGACTGTGGGTCTGGGGTCTGGTCCGTCATGAGGCCCCTTCCACTTTCGGCAATCCGCCAGCTTGAGTTTTGGTTCGGCATCTTTTCTTCTTATTAGGCCTCGCACGAACGCGCACTGCAGCAGAGCGCCAAAAACGCACACGATATACAAGGCTGAAACGACGAACCGGGGAAAAGGATGCATGTCAGGTGTTCTCGCGACACCCCTTGCCATCAACACACGCATGCAGGCATGCAGTGCTGCACTGATGAGGAAGATCATACCGCAGGCTCGAAGATGCACTGCTTGCACGTGTTGGCTGCGTGAGTCAGCAACCAGGAGTGCAGTCATGAAGTAAAAGAATAGCAAAGGTACATCTCTATGCGGTGTAGGGCGGGGACTATGTGCAACGCATGCTCACACAAACACCCACACCGCTCCTGGCTCCTGCGTTTATAGAGCCCATCTTTTAGCAATACTTGTCGCGGGTTCCTAATTACTCCCCTTTAATTACTTCGTAAAGAGAGACGTTGCGCTACTGTGAGACCTTTCTTGCAGGCCCAGCGCAGCCCGCTTACGCACATGTACGATGGGCACTCCTGCCGCCTGTGCATCTCTATACTTCTTGGTAAATTGATACGCATCTCCATCTCCCACCAGCAGAAAGGTCGTGCGGCTCTCGAGGTGATCCCTGCGAAAGCGGAAACGGAGGGCAGAGGCAACGATTAAGGACGCCCCCCTCTTGACCGCACAAACACAAGCACTCCACGTGAGAGGAAAAGAGGGCAGCTATGCAGCTGTAGGCTGTCAAGAAGGGTGGAAGAGGGTGCAGCAACAGCCGCGAAAAGTCCCTCTGGCATTGCCGATGCCAGATAGATGGGCGAGAAAGCCAGATCCGTAGAAAGGCGACAACCCGCAACGCATGCCAGTCGTTGAAAGACGCACAGGCAGCAGCACAGGAGCGGTAGGCGAAAGAGGGGAAAGTTCAAATAAGATATGAGAAAATGCTCACGTATACTCCCCTCCGTGGCGCTCTATCGAAACTTGAAGATCCTGCCTGCAATCCAGTCGCGAGGAACAATGGGAGGCAGGCCATGCACGATTACATGCACACCCCACTCGTGGCGGACGGAAAAGGGAAACACAGCGCCCTTTTAGAGATAAGAAGTAAAAGGGAGAAAAGCAACAGGGGGAACACAGAGTCACGAAGATAAGTGCAACGGAAGGAAAGAGGCAGCATCCAGGTCTGACTTGGAGGGGTCCGTAGTTCCGACAGACGTAAAGCTTAGTCCCACAAGCTCCATGCCCGGAGGAATTTCGACTGCGTCGGTTGCAGCATTTTCCTCCTTAAGGCTGACAATACAGACAGACACTGCCTATAAATATATGCGGATATGCATACGTATGCACCTACCGACACGATGAGGTGCTGTCACTCTCTTGCGTTGGGAAAATCGGCCTCAGGGTAGAGGAGAAACAAGAGCGTGAAAGCAATTGGAAGCCGTAGACGGCAAAACGGACGAAAGCAAAATATAATGCCTGCTCCTATGGGCCTGACCCCAGAGGAGAGCAGCAGAGTTTATACAAGGGCAGAGCTCCCCCTGCCTGAAATGCATCAGCAGTTGCGGCCACTACGCAAAGGCAGGGTGAATCCAGTCCTGAGATTCCAGCACCTGACCTTCACGAACATATACATGTGTGTATGCATGCAGGTAGAAGACAACGTACACTTTGGGAGAAGGAGAGCCTGAGAGATAGCACCAACACCAGGAGACAGAGCATCCGCGATGAAAGCAAATAAGATGACGAGGGAATGAACGAAGGACCTCAACCATCCGGTTGCCACTCTGTGCCGAGGGTTGAGAAGAATTTTACACCATCCGCACTGTGTAGCAGCTTTTGCTATTTATTTAGGCCCTTAAAGTCCACAAAATTCGAGGGGCGGAGGCGTATATTGGTAGGGAGTACGACGGACTTAGAGGGTTGCCCAATTGCATGCATCCCTCGACGTTTACAGGGCATTTCCATTTCTTGAAGACTGGAAATCTCTTCGCTTCGTCCTGAGCGGCAGCATCAGACAGAGACGGGCAGTTCCAGTTAAGAAAGGGTAAGGAGGCATCAGAATTGAGTGCAGGACAGAGGGAGGGACGAGGGGGAAATTTCTGTTCGACAAGAATTGCCGAACAGAAATGAATAGATTAGTTGAATTTGCTCAGCACTGAGGTGCAGATGTACACATATGTATGCAGGATTTGATACTGCTGCATAGTAGCCTTTGAGAATGAGACAGGATAGAAGCAAGTAAGGGCCTCCTCTGGGAGAAAAGCGACCATGTTCAAGAGGTGTCGAACCGCATGGATGCACTCACTGGCAGCACCAGCAGGTCACGGCGCTTTAACTCCTCCACAGAAACTCCCGTTGCCGAATTGTCGCAAACCTCATCAGGTCGCAAGATGTCCGAGAGTACAAAAGAAAAGACGCATTTTGTGGTCGCCGACACGTACCCCTTGCACCGGACCTCACCCCCATACTGCACAGCGCAGGCACACGCCTGAACCGCGATACCAACAAACGCTCTGAATAAAATTACCCCACCCCTCCCCCTTCCGTTGTATTATCCTTTCGAATGGTTCATCCCATCCAGTGCTTTCCTCCGGCGATTTAGAGAGAAGGGGGTTTCGCTTTTTTGGGCGCCACCCCCGCCGCGCCCCCCCAGCACGCACTTGAACGAGTGTAGAGTTGCTGCATATCGGACACGGAGGAAAGCGTCCGAACATGAATCCGTCAGCCACAATATGAGCCGCCTCTCCGATCTGAGGCGAGACACCCACAGATGAGAGTCTCGTCTACAGCCATGACACCCAAGGGAGCTCCCCTACCGCTACTGTACGAGACATGGAGCGGCCGCGCTTCGCCGCTCGGCGGAAGAAGAATCCACAGCAGCCACGCCACGCCACACACACACACGGCAGACGCTGCTATGGGCAAACACAAAGATCGACTGCCAGAAATTCACAATACGGCCTCAGGGTTCTGGTTGGCAGATCTGACTGATATTTTTTTTTCATTGTATGGAATGCTATTCGCGTCCAGGATCGACAATAACTGCTTCTTCGGAACTTCCTGAAAACACACGAGTTTAAGGGCGGAAAAGACCGACCGCGTGGGCGTGCGGCCACTCTGTAATTCAACTCCATTGCATGCAAATAGAACGGCAACCTTTGCTGCAAACGCTGTTGCCGCGATCTCTACTCTCCCGTACCATAAGCATCGCCTTTAAGCTCCATATCGCGTCGCTGCGTCTCCTCACTGCCTGCACTGCCGGACTGTGCACAACAAGCACCGCAAAAGGCATGGAAGCGGCGAGCAGAGGGATGCATGCTGCACGAAGGGAGGGGGAGGGGGAGGAGGGAACGAGAAGATGGGTATTTGCATGATCGCAAAGGGCGTGCGTGACCCACACGGCATCATGTGCATTTGCATCCTGCACATGTAATGGGCAGGAAAAACGTTTCGCCTTGGCCTGTCAGGGTCGCTGGGTGGCATGAAACGCATGCATGCATGCCATGTAGGATTCAGGGTTTGACGCAAAACGATGTGCACACGAAAGCTTCGCTTACTGCTCCTCGTTGATTTTCACGTTGAAGCTCTTTGATACCCTGAGTATGTCATTCCACCGGAGGGCCTGCCACACTGCAACAGGCAAATCGCAACACACACGCCCGTGGAAGCACATAGGTTCTCTTCTTCCCTGCAGTGCATCTTCTGTGCCCCTTCTGCCTGACCCTTTTCAGCGTCTTACAACGAATATCCTCCAAGTTGTCGGTGAACTTCTTTCCGCAGCGCAAATGGTACTTAAGCTCATCGAACCCATCGTGGAATCGGCTCCACACCTTTCGAATGAAGCGGAGAGAGTCTAAGCCAATTCGCCCATCGCAACCCTGAGAGGGTAATCCAAGGAAGCGAAAATGTGCACACATATATATTGCAGTGGCGAATGCACCCTCTGCTGTGGTGATGCTGCTCCCTCTTTGACCATAAACACGCTAGAACCGCAGGGAAAAGCCAGCCGTCCTCTTAGTCTCGCAAAGACAGGCTCTTTACAGAGCCTGTCTAGAGCTGGAGTGAAGAGACAGAAACATACCTTGCAGATGGCGCGATCTGTGGGTGCATAGTCAATAGAAAAGGGATTGGGGATGGGGGCCGGATTTGTTCTTGGCGCCATCCTGACAGGCGCTAAGGGGTTGGTTGCTCCTTATTGTGTGCAAAGGCTAGAACTCCTGGGGCAGAGCCCAAGCAGTGTTCTGCCCCCGTTTTTCGTATGCACACGAAAGAAACAAGAGGGACGGCAGTAGAAGAGGGAGGAGCTGGATGGGCAGAGAACACTTTAATGGCCAGGAACTAGCCCTTTAAGCCACCATTTCAACGTATTTAGGGCCCTGTATATGCGCTTGTGCCAATCAGCTGGCGGAACCACTCGACACACTCGCCTGTGGGAAAGAGGGCAAGGAGTCAGACCTGTTGACCCTCCGCATAGCCTCACTGAGTGGGCTCTTGGATAAATAAAATGAGAAAATTAGTCTTGTTTCAATGTAGACTAATTGCCTGCATAAGAGAGATGGCAGATCGAGGTCCCGGAGGTAGAAGAATGTGGGGTTGTTGTTGCCCGACGCCACCAACAGAAGCACAAAACTGCGTACACCAGCATGCAAGCATGGGCCTCCCTGCCAACACACTGCATATCATCAGCGCACCCATTTGTTTCGAAGCAACCTATTCCTTCCGCCAGTCACAACAAAGTACGCGCGTTTTGAGTGAGCAGCTATCTTCGCCAAGAGCTGCGGAAATGCCTGCGTTTCGTCCAGCCCTACAGAAGATCCACATTCTTTTAAGTGTATAAAATTAATGGAAGCTTTTGAATCCAAGTTGCAATGGGAAGTTTAAAGCACCTGTTATTCAGGTCTTGCCCCCCAGCGCCGTACTTCATAATATGCCCTCAATAGACACGCACCTCAAATTTTTTTGGTTTCACAATACAATGGAGCAATTCCTGTAATCGTTAGATTTAGTGACGCCCTTAGAAAGTGCAGATCACGTGCTTTGGCTTTTAAATACCCCAGTTGCGGCAAAGAGGCCCACCCCCTCCGTACAACCCGAACACCGTGAGCCTGCGCACGCCGGCATGCGTGCTACCGTGCAAGGGCGCTCTAGATGAAGAGAACGAAAGAATGCCTAAACCTTCTTCCCCGATGGATTGCGGGGAAGGAGTGGGTAGCGCTACTTCCCACATACCCCATAACTTGCTGCAAAGCTCCGAAAGGCTCTGGAGGTCCTAAAGGACACTCTACAAAAAATACTACACCTGGCCGTGCCCAACATCCTCCACAGCACATCCTAAACCCTGAAAGCAGGGATGCCTATTGCTGCTGAGTGTGTAAGGGCTGGGCACTGCATTCTTTGTCCATTCCGTTCGCCGAAGCCCCATGTCTCTATACCTCCTAGAAGGGAAAGCGCTAAGCACAGAGCTTCTATCGAAATTTGATAGGAGCGTAAGATCTTTGCAGTGCCCTGAAGGCCCCGGCTACCGTGAAGCAACGCCTATATACACAGCTCTACTGGCAGTCCACGTGAAACAGCTTTCTTCGCCATCATGTACACACATAAATACACGTTCCGTAGATATTGCATTTTTGTAATGAAATGTTCAACACACTGCCCACTACGTACATGGTTCTGACCTGGCTTTTAAAACCTCCACTTCGCACTGGCTTGCGCTACTGCTACCCCGTCTAACGGCGTCACCGTTCTTTCGGCGACTGATCGCATACAACTACTCGTTGCGACACGACTCCACGAGGCTACACAAAACGGCAGATGTATTCCAAAGTAAGGTTCAACGAGAAACCAGATAAATGCCCCTGGGCATTCCTATACCGCGATCCCGCCACCGCTATGGCCCGTAAAGCGGCAGTGAGAAACCCCAGGGCCCCCTCATACCGTATCCGCTTAGAAGCGGAGCTTCTTCCTGAGAAAGAGGACATCCTTAGACACCTTCCCTGCTTTCTCGTTGACGGGATTCATGAACTTTTCGTAGAAGATTCCGGCGAGGTCCTTTCTTGCCTTTTTGCGAGCCGCGCTGTTGTCCAGTGCCCCTTCCGGCACGAGTGCCTTGATGTCAAAGTCGTTGCTCACAGTATACCTGCAGTACGCACAAACGAGAAACAGGCATTTATATGACTCACAGTGTTCACTCATACAAGCCTTGAAAAGCTGTACTGCCGTTTCACTCCAGCATGGACACCAGATCCTCGGGCAGGGCTGGCTGGGCCTAAAACGGCGGCGTGGGCACGAATAGCTGAAGGCGAGATTTTCTCACCTGGTTGGCATGAGGTGCCTGACATTGACGTATCGGATGAATGTTTTCGGACGCATCCGCTTCTCAACTTTCGTGGCGCACATCCTCTTTGTGACGTGAAGAGGAGCACGCTCGATCCCAGCAATTAAGCAGTAGCAGAAATGACGCTCCTTCGTGCCCTCGGAAGTGCTCACCACCACCCCCTTCTTACCGGCCATGCGGCCGTTTAGAACCATCACCACGCGACCCGGTTTAAGCCTGGGGCGTAAAAATGCAAACAATGAATAACATTTCTAAAAGCTCTAACAACTCACATATGAAGGCGATAGGGAACTTTGCGCTCCAGACACCAGCAACCAAAAGTAACTGGAACCAGTGCACAGCGACGCATGACGATAAGAAGATCACGCATACAAATAGAATGCGTCCAAGAAAATTGATGAAACACCATGTCCTCATGCATTCGAGGCAGAACAGCGAGAAACGCGCATGTACGCCATTCGGTAAAACACAGTCTAACCCTATGCTTAAAACCTAATGCAAACAGGTGCGAATGCTAGCTGAGCCATCAATCAGGGCACCTCATAGCGTTAAAGCTCCCATGCGCCAAATATCACGACGCGCAGAAACAATAGAGACTGTAAATGCCTAGAACGCATTGTACGCACGGCGGGCAAAGGCCCCTGCAGGCTGTACTTCAAAATGATCCCCCGGTACGTCACAAGCATCTATCTGCATCAAAGTTACCACTAAATATACAGCCCTTGGGGTCAATGCAGCACAAGTGCAGTCACGGTTGCTCGTTATGAGAAAGGCATAAAGGCCCCCACAAACTGAGCAGGGGCCCTTGCGGCCGTTGGTACTCTTCGAGCATCAAACACTATTTTCAGCTAAAATGACGAAATGACACATTTGTGGACACAGAAAAGTGCCAAAGGAACAACAATCGAACGACCCCCACACAGTAGCAGGTGCTGCGGCGACGGTAGTGGGGCGGTCCGCGAGACTCACAGCTTCACCATCTTCACGGCGTTTGGTTCCGAAAGTAAAGAAACTGCTGCCTATGAATCACCGGGAAACTGATTCTTTTACCGAGGGTCCACGAAAAGAGCAACCGGGCTCCTTAGCAAGGCGGCTGCCATGAAGTGCGGCTGCATGCACCCTCAATCGACCAGCGTGCGACTTTGCAAACAGCCCCAAAAGACGCTGGCAGAAGGAATGCATTACCGTAGCGTATGAATTGCTGTGCATGTTCAGTACGATTAAATAATAAGATGATTCCTATATGATAGCCTCAGAACGAATGCAAGATTACTTTTCTTTTTGTGGTTCTCCACAATGCTCCCCACGTCAGGCTACGGGAAACACATATTGTAGGGCGCTTAGAGAAAGTCGACACTTTTACTATGCTGGTGCTGCTAGCAGCAATGACTACTTGGCTAGCTTATGCAATCAATTTAAAGCAGACTACTGTTCACTGGATACAAGAAAACACAATGCCGTGTGGGTGTGCGCTAAGTGCTATGGGCAGCTAGTTGTGAATGCTGTAGGTGCTTTAAGGGTGCTGCAAAGCACATTGTAGCTCTCCCTCCCCCTTCATGTCGGAACCCTAAGGGGTGAGAGCAGGTACAGGGGAAAGATCTTCTGGAAGTTGTTGGCCTTCTATTAGGTTTGTATTGCGGCTGAAGTCTGGTACCTTAAACGGAGACCTAAGATGGAGTGAGATACTTGGTAACACCGCATGGTTTGATGTAGCTGTTTCCCCGCTCATCCATGAATGTAAATGCAGCGGATATGGTTCCCTGCTACACATGTCTGGTTTCGCCCGAGCTCTTTGGAACTGAAAAATTTTTAAATGTTTGGCAGCAGTCTGAGAGATAAAAGCTTCCAGAATGGAAGTCTATGTGGTGTGTTGGGGCAGTATAGGCCGGCCTGCAAGCTGTAATGAGCGTTGCAGCTCCACAGTTAGTAGATGGGCATGATCTGTCAGTCGATGAAACGCTTACGGATGAGTTGATCAGATTATGCCGACCAGAACAGTACGACAACATCTAATATGGGCAAGCACACAAAAGTTTCACCAGCTGCTCAAAGAGGTATTTTGCTGTGTCGCTCCAAGAAAAGTGCATGTGCTTGCAGTGGCATGTTTATTAGAAGCGTGGCATTTTCATAGTGACTCCATGCATGCGAAGGATCTCATGTGCCTGCAGGGACTACTACAGCCTAAACATTTATACAGGCCTTGATATATCGGTTACACCCATATAAGCTCTACGGCAAGCTTTGGGAGATTTGAGAATTGGTAAAGCCAGGAAAGCTGGCAATGTATCCGTCTATCCAGGAGTGTGATACTTTGGTTTGCAAAGCCACAACGTAGACAAGCAGCTCTTTTATCATTCTTGATGGTACAGCTCGGCAAGATTTGAAAGTATCAGCAGCCATGGTGCAGTACGCATAAACGTCTCTCGGGCTTTGAAAAGCAAACATATTTTTTGAGCAGAACAGCGTTAGATTGCAGCATAACCCGATAAACCGAAGCACTGTCCGCTACTTTGGCTGAATGCATTCCAGAATTATAAATAATCGGCACTTAACTAGTTTGGCCCTTCTTATGTGCCACTTGTTGCAGAGTGCAGCTAGTTAGCACAGTACAGAAGGATTCAGCACTGTATCCCTCTGCGCTATGTGTAGCAGGTTATGCTGTACTTTTCCATTCTTCGCTACACCAGTTATGTCTAGCTAAGAATCATAAGATGATGAGCTACATGGTTTGGCTGGCTGTATATTTCAGTGGCTGCAGAGTATATGTAGCACAATACAACAACAGCCGATATTTGTGTGTGTGCCTTACTTGCTTTGAGCAAGTAGCTGCCAAATCTTGGATTGCATTAAAGGTTTACCACCGCACACCGTATTGATTCCTGTCTGCCCATGTCGAAATCCTGAGGAATGAGGGCAAGAAGAAGGGTGTTCTTCTTTGGAACGGCATGCAAGTACTTTGTATGAAGCTTTGTGCATTGGGTGTGGGACGAGAACGCCTTCCTAGGTGGGTGCTGAGAGAAACGCCACAGCATAACCTGCTATGTTGAACTACGTATAAGTGCTCGGGGTAATGAGAAGGCAGAAAATTGCATGGACTAGCTGCCTCTAATCCGTCATGCCGGAGGTCTCCTTAGGGAAGGCAGAGAGAGGTGAGAGCTCTATCGGAAAACACTTCGTTACTTCTGGAGAAGTTTTGCATTGCGTTAAGGGCTAATAGTGTCTCTCTGAGCCCCAGTAAAGCGCTACAATTTGTTTATGGTAGGCAAAGGTATTCCTTTAGTAAGAATACAAGTGAAGAGACGTCGGGTAGAGTGTGCGTGGACGCAGTACAAGAGCTCTGCGAGGATGTTGCACATCCGCTAAAAACATGCGTGGCCGGGTTTGCTTTCCTGTGGGTCCTGCGAAAATCGATTGGTTCTGCACTTAAAAGCGAATTTAAAGGCCCTTCACTGAAGACATTCATAACCCAAAACAGCTTTTCATTTTCACTTATCTCTCACCACGTCCAACTTCGTTGTGTCTTTTACTTGGGTCCATCTTCCTCATTTTTGGTGGAGTTCTCGTTTTGTGTCCGGTTGTTCCTGCTGCCCGCTCCCTCTCTGAATTGCCTCCAAAGCCTCTGAGCCCTTTCTACGGCGTTTGCCGCTGCCTGCGATGCGACGCCACCAAAAGCGGCCCAGTCGGCTGATGCGCTGTACGAACACACCCGCATGCATGCATACGAACGCTGCTTCGCGCGGCGCTATCACGCTCTGATCTGCAGTTTTCTCGTTGGCCAGTACAACAACACTGTACGAGAAAGCAACAGTGAGCAGATCAGCTCTTGCTCTTAGGGTGCATAGCGCTTGAGAGTACACCCCACTTCTGAAGGAGCTGCGATGTGGCGCTTGACAGCTGCGCAATCGTCTCAGGTGTCTGCCGCAGGGCATGCAATGCGAAGGACCCCCTAAAATAACCACAGGCCATGCACAAATTTGCATAGTTGCAACGGAATAGCCTTCCAGTCTCTCAATCGCTCCTTTCTCTCTCATCACCTTGGGCAGGACCGTCGCAAGGTTCTTAAGAGAGAGGCACGGCCAGAATAACGCGCGCATAGCCACCCATCTTTCATCAGCGCCACATTTTGGCCTACTCACATGTCGACACCGATACGGCTGAGGGCCTCTCTGTTGCTGAAAGTCTCTCGAAGATTGTGAAGGGCAGAGATCGCGAGGCCAGAGGCCGCTGCAGAGAGAAGCGCACAACTCGAGCACGAATGGCGAGAGCTCTAGAAGCGGCATCCAACGCAGTGAGAATGCGCAACGGCAGCTGGACTGCCGAGCAGCTGTGCTAGGACCTTCCCCCCGATCCTTTGCGGGAGGAGACTCCTGAGGGCAACTCGCTCATAGGAACGAGGCCCATGTAACTCACAAGGGGAATCTCCGACGCCCTCCTTTTCCTCCTCATCATCCACATCCGAAAGAATCAAGACAGGCACGCTCGCTGGCGCTTTAGACGCTGCAGGGAGTACTGCCAGCGCTGTGCTTGACTGCTGGTCCTGCAGTTGCTCCGTCGATTTTGTCAGCCGCATGCGCCGCTCTGCGGACCACAGGCTCCTACAAGCAAAGAGCAGCGGCGTTGTCGGATGCCAGAGCAGCTCTCCTGCAGCGCATGCCGGCAGAAGGGCATGAACGAGCATGTGGCATTCGCCTGTGGCCACTGAACAGCGCAGTGACACATTGGGGGCCCCCTGGTGCCCTTCCCTCCCCACACGCCCCACTCCAGACACTTGTTTCGTGCATGAAGCGTACCGAAGCACAGCTGCATCTCTTCCAGATTTTCTTCCGTGTCGTCCTCCTCGGAGGGCGTGTGCTGCATGACTAGGAAATCGCCTTTGATGTCCTTTAGTGCCTCCGTCTCAGCCGGGAGTGACGGCAGCAATAAAGCGGCATACATAGCCTCACTCCCCTTATCAAGGTCGACTTCGCCTCCACCATCTGGCGCCACCTCCACTTCCACAGGGGCCACGTTGTCGAGAATACTTAACAAAGGGTCTCGGTATGAGGCGCGAGCTCGCGACATCCCTGCTGCAGCCGCTCCTGCGCTGCCACTGCTGCTGCTGCTACCGAGCGCCCCACCACCAGTACCAGCGTCAGCAGTCCCAGCCGAAGAAGCAGCAGGAAGAACAGAATCCGCTGAGTAAGCTTCGCCCTCCTGCTGCACGAGCTGCACGGGAGAGAACACAGCTGCAGCACGGCCGGAGTCCGTCAGCCCCAGGCAGCCGCCCCTCTGACCATAGAGCCACCCAACGCCTCTGCAGCGCTGCACTGGCAGCCATAAGGGCACTCTGGCGACACTAGACTCAGCGGCAGCAGCCCCTCTCCCTGACGTCCTGGCAGCCGCCATCGGCTCTGCAGAGAGGGAAGCGGGCAAAGAGAGCCTTAACAGAGCGTTCACGGCGTCATGGGATTGGCAGTCAATTAAATGCAACCAAGTAGTTGGAATACCGCGAAGACGCGCTATTGTGGGAAAGGAGGCGAGTCTGTTCCTCCTATGCCACCAGGCGATCTAGGGTCGCACGAACCTTGCGCCAGCTTTTTGCCATCTACAAGTGCCTTCCGCTCAATTTTTCGCTTAGTTTGTCCTCGGTAGTCCATCCAGAAAATGTAGACACTCTGGCTTTTACCGCCCACAGCCACGAAGTAGGTGCCTTCGTCGGCAGCCACGCACACTAGCTCGAATTGCTTCGAGGTGCAGAGCCGGGGAGAGAGAAGCCTCGATTTCCTTCGCGCTGTGCTCCGCCTTAACTCGTTCATGGAATACTGCTGAAATGCGACTGGAGGGGGACGCAGGCCTGTTTGAAAAGGAAGGACCCATAGGTACCCCGGTATGATGGAGGGGCCCCGTGGGGGCCCCTCCTTTCGAACGGGCCTGCGCCCTCCAGCAGGTCAGCGGATACTGGAAACCACAGATTAAGTTTGGCCTTAGTAATGACGATCTCTTCTGTTGGATTAGATGAAAGGAGAAGCATTCTGCCAGCTTATCGTCATAGCCGTCTCCCCACGCTTGCTCCTCCATAGTGGGGTACTCTATGGAAACCTATAATTGCACTTTTCCTGGTTCCCCAAATATATTTGCCTGCAAATCGATTCAAAGCTGGCTATATTTGGCTTGGCCCCTTGTATGTGCTGCATCTTTCAGAAGAGAGCTGGGAAGCTCGGAGGGCGACAAGTCAACGTTTATCTGTGCCGAAGCGCTTGAGGTTGCAGCCACGTGCAGCCGGGATTAAATAATTGGTCGAAGCGCCCAAAGTGTATGTCAACGCCCATGCACAGTAGCTGGCCCTGCTTGGCCTCTCATGCTCAACGGTACCCTGTGTGGAGAGTGTAACAACTCCAGACTCAATACCACCTTAATAGAAAGGTGTTCCGGGTTTTTAAAAGGGCTCTCGCCTTAGTCTGCCCTCGCTCCTTGAAGGTCCTGATTAAAGGGAGAGAAGGCGTAGAGGTTGCAGCTGGCTGCAAACTCTACGCATTCCAAACATTTACAGCTAGTTGCACATAACATCTCGTGCACGCGCATACAACACTGACTCCTCGCGTGTCTACGTAAGTACTACACAATAAACAAGATATAGAACGGCTAATCAATTAGTCACTCCGTCAATATTGCTAGTTGATTACAACGAATGTAGTAGAAATTCCCCGAATGTAGCTTCCTGTCAGCTTTTCAAGAATCATGATCTCCGGCTCCGTACGTTACATCGAAAGCGATTGCGTGCAGGGCAGCTGAAGGCTCCCTTCCCCTAAAGACCATCCACATGCGGGCACAAACGCAAAATAGCGCAGATAAAAAAGCGGAAGTGTTTCCAGCCAGCAACGTGGAATCAACGGTAAGGAAAACACGCATACTAACCAATAAACGAGCGAGGGAACAAATCAACACGCCCGCGGAGACGCAATGGCTCGCTGTCGTCGAAGCGCCTATATATCTGAGTCTCCTACTAGGATCAAGCAGAAGTAAGTGACATCAAGGGATCCAAAATGTACACTTGCTCTGCAGTTGCAGTGCATTCCCGCCTAATGGAGTACTCAGCTGCATGCTACTATAGCGGGCACATGCAGCATAGTCTATTTCAGCTCCCCAAACAAGGCTCAGAGAATAGTGTAGGGACATCTAATATACCTGAGAGTGCTTTCACATATAACTTTTAGTGGATAATACCTTTGCAACAAGCAATGGTAACGCTTCAAGCAGCACACATAAATGAAGGTAGGTGTTTCAGGCAGAGCATGCGCTAGGGATAGGCAGTCAACAAGGAACGCGAGCAGTGCTGTCTATGGCGGCCCGCGTTGCTAGCCAAATAGCACCACAGATTATTCTGCAGGCAACGAAGCCCGCATCTGCTCCTGCGCCGGCAACTAGGCTTGCGCTGTCCACCCCAGTTCACTAGAAGCTCTCGCCCAGTGTGTCGTCAAGGCTCAGTAATCCTAGAATTCTGCACTTCTGTGACCCCCCATATATCCCCCGCCTAGATTTGGGTCATTTGCTTGCGTTACAAAGCCCGCGAATACTTCCGAAGCTTTGAAACTTTTTCAAGGAGCCATTATTGGTGGTTTTGCGGCAACTCCAACTTTTAGGGAAGTCGACAGCTAGAAAGGGCAGTGATTGTAAGAGGTTGGCAAAATGGTTGTATCCACCTGGCTACAAACCTAAAGGTCTGGTCACTTTCTGATGCACCTCATGGGGCTTGCCGATACACCAAGACCGAATGTCGAGGCTTGAAAAACTCAGCCGACCGCCGCTTACCACAATATTGTCTTGTCATTTCTGTGCTCTGCGCACACATTCGCGTGGCATTGTCAGCTATTTTTTGAATCTTTCTACTGCTGAGGGTGGTTGCTGGCCCTGGACCGCCAGGTTTAGGTCCGCATCGAAGAGGGGCTCCTCAGTGCAAACCAGGGATGCACGAGAGCAATGAGTGGACGAGGAAATACGTGCAAGCCCACTTAGCACAAGGAAGAAAATTAAGTAATGCAATAAGTCTGTTCTAACCAGAGAATAGCGATTTGTTTATAAGAGTGCTGATGATTGTCTTCGTGAAATCATCTGTTTCACGGTTTTCCCCAAGTGGTCGTATTATGGTCAATGAGTAAGCGGCGTAGAATGGCACGCCAGAGCGAACTAACGAACTTCGGTTCCCTATGGGTAATGTTGCTCCAGGGGATCCTGTCAACATTCTAGATACAAGATTAATAAATTGAGCGCCATTCTGAGTAGAGTTAGAGCCAAAGCAAAGGATGATTTGGGCATATTTGCTGAGCCTGCCGACTACCACGAGGATGTTATCCTGATCCTGGTCCCCCGGCAGCCAAACAACAGACTCATTGGCCAGAGCAGTCCAGATCCCTTGGGGAACCGAAAGGCTTTACAAAAAGGCTACGTCCAGAAGAACTGCGCGGAACCAAGTGGTAGTGATACTGGGCATGGAAAAAAAGCATCGTCCTCTGTTGCAAGGCGCATCCAAAGCCACCAAAAACCAGTTATGAGCTAATTTATTGTGGTGAGGGTCCCATTGTATCCTGAAGTTAAATGAGCACCATGCGCTTTATGCAAACTGGCACTGCGGAGCGAGGTCGGAATACACATGCACTGCAGTCCCCGCTTTGCTTTCAACCGCAGCAGGCAATCCTCAGCATTGTAATGCTCCAGCCTTGTTTCATTGTGGATGAGACATAGTGGCATATCGATGGCTGCCAAACGCATAAAACACACGCAGCTTAGACTGAAACCGTGAATCATCACGGAAAAGAGAGGTTTTGCTGCACGATAGTTAATTGCCGTCGCATCGCCAGAGAGCGTCTGCGACCACGTTTGTGGTGCCCTTAGTATACTCCCGTGCAATGCCGCGCTTTAAAAATGCCCAGGTCAGCGAACAAAATTAGGGCTTCCAAACACCTGAAAGCTCTCTGTGCGGGAGGTACGTAGTGGTGACCGGCCCTTCTGTAGCTTGGCGCTCCACTTGAAATTTTCCACTGCACTGTGCGTGACACTTGCTCAACAATGGATTACTTGGCGTGTCTGTTCATATACCTCTTTTACTGCAAAGTAGCCGAAGCTCGAAAGAATGCGTCGCAATATTGTGTGGATGTGCGCTAGGTGTTGTGTGCAACTAATCGTGAATCCTCCGAATGCTTGTACAGTGTAGCAAGGCGCGCCGTTGCTGCCCTTCTTATGTCAAAGCCCTGGGGGGCACGGACAGGGGGAGGCGAATGTTCTTCCGGAAAATGCGGAATAACCTTCTATCAAGTTTGTTTTGAGTCGCGCTAAGCATCTTGATACGGAGAGAGATCGGGTGTTACAGTGAGAAGCAGAAAGGAGGGAGAGAACTCTTCTGAAGAGACACTGATAATTTTTCCCATTCGTCTTGTATCAAGCTTAAGGTGGGAAGGGTTGCTTTAGGGAGAACCTAGTAGAGGATGAGCTATAAGCGTGGTAGTCCCTGTAAACCTAAACTCGAAATCCTGCGCGTATATATGTGTATGTATATGATAAATACGAAGCGCTCTCTGTACAGTGGAGCACCCCGAGGCGCTTACAATTGTATGCACGTGTTTGCCGCACCCCTCATTTGCTTGGCTGCGGGATACATGGACGCGCCCCTTGAGGAGTCTTCCGTTCCTAGGGGATACTCGGCCTCGCCCAATATGACCAACTGTTTCTGTAGTACCCTGATACTCGCTGGCAATGTTGAAGGTGGTCTCATCCAGACGAGCAGCAAACTACGATTCTGCAAGGTGTGGAGATCCATTCGCTAAAAAAAAGCGCCTCTGGTGGAGCACTTCCTTGACAGTAGTAGCCACTGCAGGATAAACGTCGGCAAGGGTTTTTTGGCGGCGCATATGCTCATTTTTGTAATCTAACAAGCTGCTGAGACTAAAAGAAGCCGCCGTGGAGGCCTCAAGACGGAGCCCCGAAAGGGAGCCTACCAAGCTGCTCCCTAAAAGGGGTGCAGGCTTTACTCTAGAAACCATAGAACCCTACTGTTTCGCTCCCTTTGTTTGTGCTGCCGCAGGAGCTGCTGCCTTTCAACGAAGACGTCACTTGGTTGACCCCACCAGAGCCGCTCGAGCTCGGCCGCCGCAGCTGCGCTTGCACCTCCGGCAGCTGCAGCAGGATCCTCTTCATCTGCAAGAGCATCGTCCTGCATGCCAAAGACTGAGGCTGCAGCTGCCAGTGCAACAGAAACCCCAGATGGTGGATCGAATGCATTTGCGAGTGCAGCTGCAGCCGCAGCGCCTGCTGCAGCTGCGGCTTCCGCTTCTGCCTGCGCACTTCTGCATGGACGGGCTACGGCAGGCGTCTCCAGTCTTCCAGCGGTCGTTGCTGCTGCTGCTGCCGCCTCCTGCACGTGCAGGAGCGCACCCAAGCCCCAGTACTTGGAGCTGGTGCCCAAACGAAGAGCGTACTGTAGCCACAGGTCTGCAGCCCTAAAGGCCTCATCCGACTCCGCAGTTAAATCCGCTGCATGCGTGGCGTGTGCAGACAGATACAATGAAACGTCTTCACGGGCTTCGCGCAATCTGAGAACAAAAGCAGCATAGAGAAGCGGGATACGACAGGAGAACGGGGGTCCCCCCACTCGATCGCATACCGTTCTTTAACATGAGACTGCGGAACCCCATGCATACAGGAAGACGCGACGTGACTTGCATACACGCATCCGCAAATAAAAGCGCATGTAGTGCGTCAGCAACAAATGCAGAACGAAATTCGCCCTACTGAGAGTGCAAGCACGCAACAGCCTCCACATAGCTCTCCCTCTCCTGCTGCAGTCCCTCCGCAAGCCTAATCAACTGCTGCTGTTGCTCGACGCTTTTTTGGAGCAAATCAGGAAGCGGATAGGTGCCCGACGCCACGCAGGCTTGAAGCTGGTGCAGCCACGCGTACTGACCGTCGGCCCTGCTGCCGCTGCTGTTAGGAGGGGCTCCGCTAGCATCCCGAAACGCCTCTTGTTGTTGCTGCTGCCGAGGCATGCTGCTACCGTTGCTGTTGCTGCTGTCGCTATCCGGATTCCACCGTCGCTCCGCGCCTTCCGCCTCCGATGAAGGACACGGCGGCGATGCCGCCGAGGCTCCTGCAACAGCTGCAGCCTCTAGCTGTTGTTGCATGCTATCGTGTCGCCGCTGGTGCTCCGAGTGCTTCAGGGCTTGCGTCAGGTGCTGCTGACGGCACTCAAGCTCCTGCAATATGCGCCGACACATCACAGTAAGCAGCAAGCGGCACTTGGCTCCCGCCGCTTGGGTGCGATCTTCGCCAGCATCTACGCGTAATCAAAGAGTGCTGGCTCTGGTTGGCGGTCCGTCGATCTATACCGCCAACGGAAAGCTGCAACGAACTAGCAGCCTCTTTCTGCTACAGCGCCTCGTCGGGGGGATTTGGCGACTCCCTGGCGCCTCGCAGCTGTGGCTCGGGGCCCAATAACAGCACATACAACCACGAGCTAAAGCGTCTACAAGCATATGGGCGAGCAGTACCGTCTGCAGCGGGAATTCTCCGCACTCCGTACGAACTCAAAGCGTCTTGCCTACCTTCAGCTCCTCCTTTGCTGCACCGAATGCGGCCTTGTACAGGTCCCGCTCCGCCAACAATTGTTGAAGCAGCTGCTGCAGTTCACCGCCGCCTGCAGAGGTGTCTTCTGCTGCAGCAAGGGCGTTGATGAGCCCTCTTAGCTCGCCCCCAATAGAGCTGCTGCTGCAACAGCTGCTACTGCTGCTGATGCCGCGACGCCCCTGTGCGGCTGCAACACAAGAGGTCCCTTCCGACGCTGTCGGTGCCGGAGGGAGGCTGCAGCTACTACTGTCGCTGCTAGCGCCTCTGAGGGCTGCTGTAGGACAAGGAGGAAGAGCGGCCACATGCAGAGAAAGCCCACTCTGCTGTTGCACGTGCTCAGGCTGTTGCTTCTGGCGGTTCTGTATAGGGGCCTCTGAATCCGGCGATCTGGAGCTCTCAGGCTGTATTTCGGTGTTATGCGCAGAGTGCTGCATACTTTGCTCTTCCTGCTGTTTTTGCGGTTGCTGCTGTTGGCTGCCAGTGGGTACTGATCCTTCCGAGCCTGACACGCATGTCGACGCGCCGGCATCTGGAGGGGCCTCCCAGGTAGCATGCAAGCCCTGCTGCTTCCCTCCTGCTGGCGACTGCGTCACGGCTGCTGCAGCTGCGACCTCTGAAGGAGGAGCCGCTGCCTCAGACGACGCATGCTTCACCATCATCCGCAGAAGGAGCGTATATCCAGCCTGAAAATGTGGCAGATACAGCGGCGGCTTGGGCTGCTACCCCCAACGCGGCAAAACGAACGCCGACCAACTGCAGCAGCGGGAGAACGAGGGTGCGAGCGGGAAGCTGCACTAGCGGGAGACAACGGCAGCCCTTAGATCGTTCCTGCTGTTGCTACGCCTCGATGAATGCCGGCGAACAACAAGGCCACCGTCCTTCTTACTGCCGCTTTGAGTATTCGGACAGAGGTAGCGGGAGGGCAAGACAGGGGCTCCCTTCGCCCAAATATGTCCAAGAGTGGGCGAAAAATACATGGGAATGAGCAAAGCGAGAAGATTTAGGCCCAAGTTGGGAACTATACGGTCTTGGCGCAGAAGCAGCAGTCCTTGTTCTTCCTTGCATGTGCCGCCAATCAGACGGTCCTGATAGTGGAGGAGGACGGAATCTGGCTCAACTGGGTTGCAGAAAACAGAGGATGGAAAGCAAGACGTGCAAGTTTATTTATTTAGAAGAGAAACGAAGGAGATGCTTCGGCGAGGAGAATTGGAAGAAGACCATCAGATGATCAGACACGCGCGGGCGACCTGTGAGGTCATGGCTGCACCAGCAAACACAGTAGCAGCCAGTAGGCTGGCCGGGCGAATACAAGGGTGAAAAAAAGGTCCTATTCATTTTATTGCTTTGGCTTTGGAGAAAGGAAGATGCGCCAGAGGTGGTATTACAAGGTGGTGTTCGGTGCTTGTGCCTATTGCTTAGAAGGGCACAAGGATTCCGTAGCCAGTCATTAGGTAGATATGGAGGGAAGGCCAATGCTCGCGCATGTGAAATTCCATGCAGGCAAAAACCAGCGCTACAGCGAAAGAACGAGGCTCTCCTATACTTGAGCTGAGACGTACTGATCCCTCGTCGAAGTTCAGCTCGCATGTCAATGGACAGCTCGTTCATGTTTTCGCTCCTGCGTGCCCCACCTTTGGCGGCTACACACATAAAAATAACCCGCAAGCCAGCAGTATAGCTCACCAGGTGCTACTTAGGCTATTCACGGAACTTTTTTGCCGATCACCGCCGAAGAATGGACCCATCAACTTGAGGATTTGCGGCACTTTTTGCAGCTGTGGATCGTTCATGTTGATAGTTTACGTTGCTAAGTGAGTTGTATAACGGTGTATGTAAATATGCCCATGTGTTTGCATATGCCTTGAGCCTTATCCGTGGAGTTTGTCGTCACCCAAATGCCGTCCACGCATCTGCTTTTTGCAATACCCCTTCCTAGGATAACAAAGATAGTGCTGTCATATGCCTCTGTCGGAAAGTGCCTACTCCTCCTTAAGCCCTCAACCAACAAGGTTCCGGCATAAAGGAACGGAAAACAGCTAAGGTTCACGTTGCTACACCAAGAAGCACGCTGAATGCTTCTACCGTGCTGCATGAAAAGGCTTGGTGCTAAGGTACACGGTGTTCATTCTCAATAACATGAAGCTAGATAGACCGTTCCTTGGGGAAAAGAAATATGCCGGCGACCAAGTCGACGGCGAATAGTTAACGAGGCCTGATTAAAGTGTGACAAGTATAAAGGAAATGCTTTGGTGTAGTGCGACTAGGTGCAGGCTGCCTGAAGCCTGCAAGGTCGACTTCGCGTGCTACGAAAGGTCTTTTGAATGAGAACAGGGCAAGAGGAACAGGGGAAACGTGTTTTCTTCTCCAGTTGCTCGCTAAAATTATCTGCGTTTGCTTTGCTCGTCCGTTGCCCTGTTTACGTATTTCCATATGTAGCTCCTCATGCTGCTATCTACCCTCCGAAAATTCATCCGGTGTAGCTGTTTCACCTCATGCCCCACATATCCTTCAACTGCTTCATGGTGATCCTCTTACCCCACCTGTCTCTCGTTCCCTCGTATCATCTGCAAGGACACCTGACGTAAAGGCGTTGGTTCCCCGAGCCCTCACTCGGTTGTCAAAATCCTTGTAAACGCCTTAGGCTGAATTTTGGAGCTACAACTGCGGTGTTATTGCCTGGTGTTTGAGCAATTCCTTTTGTCGCTGCAGTTCTCTCACGCCCGCACACAAACCAGCAAAGCTTCATATAGTGCGTCCTGCATCTGCAATGCCTATACAGCTCTAGTCGGCAAAGCGAGAAATAAGGCGTGAATCTATATGGGTGCTCGTGCTGCTTACAAAAGTACGCTTTCCGATAGGGGATTTCCAGCAAAAGTAAGCGAATTTCTGGGTGATGCGAAACGGTGTCATGAAGCATGGGAGGCAAAAAAGCAGCTAGCGTTGTTGGAATCGGATTTTACTGTTGCGCACATATTCTAGACTTCGAGCTGCAGAGTGCTCAGAGCGTCAAGGCACAAGCCAGTGTGGTGTACGGAGGGCACATCTAGGGTCCTTTGCTTTGTGGAGCCAATTTGTAGTTCCCGCTGAGTCGGCAGACCGAATGTGCAATTTGATACATATCCACGGAGAAATTTGAGATCTAAAAGTATCTTATAGGCTCCTTCTTTGTTTAGGAAAGTATGGCGGCCTAAGGGGTCCTTAGGCATTAGCTATTATACCCCAGCTCATGGGATTTAATGGGGGTTGACCACTTGGCACAGCCGTTCGTGCATTTCCCCTTTCATAAGAACAGGGGTAGCTGCATGGCACGAAATCGCACTTTATGCCCCTGAATGCCAATTTGCTGCTTGCGGCAATGTGAAAATACCTAAACTGCTCAGTGGGCGCAGCTGTTGGCACGCGTACATGGGACCCCTCCGGCCAAAACTCCTTCGAGTAAGCGCTGATGGATGATCCTATTAATGGAAAATTAGAGTAAAATCCTTTATATGTAAGTGCGTTTTTTACAGTGCGTTGTAAGAGTAGCCGTAGGAGGAATGTAGCTTACACTCCAGGATCTCCAGTAGATGGCCATTCACCTCTGCACACTACCGCTTCGTAAGTGAAAAAATGTTAAGCTCTTCCTGAATCGCGGTTTTTAGGGGTCTGTAGTCTTTTGAGAAGATTTGACAAAGGGGAACAAGGAGACGTAAGATGCAAGTTGCTGCACCTCGAGTACCCTAAGGCAGTCTAACCCACTTGTACGTATCAACTTCGGGAGCCGGCACACTGCTTTCATCCTTACGTAATAGGATTGTTCTTACCCTGCACCAACACTTCGGACAAATCGTAAATAATTCGAAATAGCTTGGTTAAACTTGAAGCCACATAGCTCGGCCTCCTATAGGTAGAGATTCAACGGAATGCTGGCACCCGGGCACATTAATATTTACGTGGTAGGTTATTCTCCACAGTAAATATGGGTACAGTGGTGTCCCTATGGGATTGAGGCTTTCAGGTGCATCTGAGCCCTCGCCTTCGCCTTTTCTGGCTTTGTAGTGTGCACAGGCCTCGACTAATTCGTGGCTGGCGCATTATACCGCCCAGCAGAAACCTGCACACACTTTAAAATGGCATGGGATTCCAAAAAAGTCAATTGAAGTAGGTGTTTTTAGTTTACGAAAGCACAGGCCTGCTGTTTTCGAGCATTGGCACTCAGCTGATCCTTGCAGTCGATGAGGACGCTGCTCTCTCTGTTCTTACGGCACACTTATTACAAGCGAGGAAGTACAGCGTGTCCCTGATGAACTGCTTTACGTCGCACTTCAAATATTAAGCTAGAGAATTGTGGGGCATGTCACTATAAATTGCCCATACCGCGCAATGCCGGTCTGCATTTTGCGCAGCGAAACCACGGCCTTCCTGCTGCCCCACTGTCTTCCTGCAGCACTTATGCAAAGGCCCGTTCGTATGCTCAGCTCTTTCTATCTGTGTTTCCACTTATCGAACGTTCTCCACTTCACATCTGACTATCCATAAGCATCATCCGCCGGTCTTCAAAGAGACGGTGTTCACCTTGGCGCACAGAACCGTTGGTCAATTGATTGTGGGCCCACCCACCCCCTATGCCACAAGTCCCCCAACAGTCTCCTTTGTTAAGCATCTATCTGAGCAGCGTTGGACTTTGACAATGCCGAGAAAAACTGGTTCATACGATGGAGACCATAAGGGGCCCTCTTCCACTGAGGGTCTCCCAAGACCATCAGAGCTCTCCATGGAGGGAGATGGACTTCCGGACGTCCGGAAGGGATCAGAGGAGAAGTCTCAGCAGGTTGTGACGCGGGGGCAGCGGTGGATAATGACATTTGCATTTTTCTTTCTGGGGATGTGCTCTCTCTTTGCATGGACAAACGTCCTTTATGTGCTGCCCTACATGACGGAGCATTTCCTCGATAACTGGGACGCGGGAAACTCGCTCTTAGGGGTTTTTCAAGTTGGAAATCTGATTGTTCAGGCTTACATGATGGCTGTTGGGGCCATGTGGGAGCGGTGGCTGTACCAGGGACTATCCTTAACAGCTATCCTCTGTGCGATATTTACCCCTTGCATTATGTATGGGAGTGTGACACTTCGTATTGCGCTGCTGCATATTCTCTGCTTTTTTCTGGGGGCCGCCAGTGGGTTTCTCCAAGGTTCCGGCTACTCATTTTCTTCGGTAATGCCCGTCAATCAAATAGCGGTATACACAACGGGCCAAGCTATCGGTGCCGTTTTCTCCGTTGTCCTTATGGCTGTTCTCTGCTTCACCGTCATAGACCTGAGGATGCAACATGATGTGGTGATATTGTTGTATGTAATTTCAGCACTGAGTGCTGCCTTCTGCATCATCACACTCGTTCTTATATACCGCACCATGAAGCAGCCTGCAGCAGCACGTGCAATTAAAAATGCACAGGCATCCACCCCAAAGCCAAAAAAAACATCGAAGACGGGACCCACGGAAATCACCGAGGTTACCACCGACGTAGCACCATCTCAGTCCCCACGGAGCTTAGAGGAGCTGGGTCCTTGCGATACTCCGTGCACGGAGGAAGCAACAGACTTGGAAGTACCAGGAAACAAGGCCTCCCAGGCCGTCGATGGGTCGGAGGTTCGGAAGGGCGTCTGTTATAGAGTTCTTAAGATATCTGGTACAGAGATCTTTTGCATTTTTGTTGTATTTTTCATTACTTGCAACTTATTCCCTCGGGTCGGACCCCTGCAGTGGAGGATTACTGACCCCCCGAGGAACTACTATGTATGGATCCTAGGAATTTTCCCATTTGGCGACTCCTTTGGCAGGTGTCTCTGCACCTTGACAATTTTCAGGTGGCTTACGAACATTATCTTGTTTCCCCCAAAGCTACTGCCATGGATGTGCCTCGGACGATTCCTGCTCTATATTCCTTTCTTCCTCAGCAAGCATCTGCAGAATAACTCCGTATTCAACTCTTTTTGGTTCCAGATGGTCGAAATGGCCGTCTTGTCCACGACTCATGGATGGTTTACAACGCTCGGATTCATGTATGGTCTTGGCAAGGCCCCAGATGATGAAAAGAAATATGTGGGGCCTGCGGCAGTCATCAGCCTTATCTTAGGGATCATTGCTGGGCTCTACCTCGCCCTGCTCTTCAGGTGATCGCAGGCACTGAATCGCAAAGGGGGAAACGGTTTTGGACGAAGCGAGCAGCGGGGGGTTGAGCAGGTCGTGCTCATTGCAGTGAGGGCTATTGAATTGGATAAATGGCGTGGCCGTAATCGTAAGAAGAAGGTGTACACTCATGGCCCTCTTGCGCCCCCTTTCCATACTGTACGTGGTCCCGCGCCTAGAGGAGCACTGGAAAGGACCCATCGAATTTATGGAAAGAGCGCACCCCTACACGGCTGTTGGAAAGGGAATGGAAGAAAACATGTGTGAAATCAGTACAGACAGGCACGACTGTTGGAAAGGGGGGCAAGATAACATGCCTAGCCCATTGGCAGTTAGACGACAGAATGGTTTTACGTGAAAGGGGGCTGCACGGGCACTTGCGGTGCCGCGTGGTCGCCGTCTGTAGGTTGCCAGCGCCCCATCTTCGGAATGCAGGACGCGTCTGATCCCGTGCCACACGTGATGAGAGTCTAGTCTGCTGCTTGGATGCCGTAAGAAGAGCTGAAAAGCAACTAGGGTCTTGCCTTCCGCCCGTTATTGGCAATTGCAGTTGCTACTGGAGATTCGGTAGCAAACGCAGTACACAATCGTTCCCCATATCAAACGCGTCGTGGACGCCCAATCTTGGCAAAATTATAGTACGTTGTAGAGTCAGTCTCATAAATGAGCAGCGCGGGCGTCACCAGCTGCGCCAGTTGACTTGTATTCTGCTGTCGGAGACCCCTCGACTCTGGAGCGGTGGACGCCACGCCTAGAGGCCCAGACTGTATGATTAAACTGCATTAACGGCCCATTTGGCCTTGTATCACCTGACCGGACCTGCGTTACTGGCTAAAACGCGCTGGTTACGAGTGTGTGCATTATTGACATGCGAATCTTTCGCGACCAACTCAAGAACGACTGTGCCCGTTGAGCACTGGCATTTTTCGCCGTGAGCTTGTCAAGATATCCCTTTTTAGACAGAAGACAACTGTGGCAGTCGTTGCCTCGCTCTCTTCCCCGCTACAAGCGAATGTAGATAGAAAGGAGGCAGTTCTGCAGGGAGACAAGGTTGCATCGGTTCAGAACTTTCTGGGGCCTTGATTTTGACGGCCGCTAGCGTGCGCCGCAGTTCCGCCGCAGTTCCTTTTCGATTTGCACCGCCTCGCGTTTGGGATGCACTGTAGTGCTGTGGAATAAAGGGCTGCGTGTTGCACGTGTCCACGTTATACTGCCAGCGCCTTCTTTGCATCCTCGCTCAGAACACAGACGTGGGGCCCCTCCCTGAACAGTCCGTTGTAATCAATCCCATATCCTACAAGCCACTCCCTCGGGCCAGAGAACCCCACAAAGTCCACCGAGGGCAATTGGCCTTCGCTTCTGTGGATGAGCACAGCACAGGACACCTTCCCTTCACCATTTCGTAGTGCTGACGGGGGGGGAAGGAAGGCACCACGCACCCTACCGAGCATGAAAGACATGGGGCAGCCAACTGCTCCTGCATACGAGAGCGTACAATGGAGCCAAGTGGCATGGAGCGCGAAGACGCTCCTACAACATCTGCAAGAGCCGTCCTGTCGACAATAGGCACGAGTCCCATATTTCTCTTTTCGTATTAGCCCATGAACAGCAAGAGCTGAAACGCTGCATACCTTATTTGCACGAGGCATGCAGTGTGCACACTCTTTGGCTGCATGCCCGCTAACCAATCGGAGACGTATCTTAGGGTGTTGCCTGTCTCCACGACGTCGTCAACTACTAACACGTTCTTCCCTTTGAGGCATGACAGGTCCTCCGCAAGGAACTTGACCTGTGGGAGCAGCGAGAGGGACGGAGCAGATTGGTGCTGTGTGCCACTGTCATATCCACGTACGCATATACCTATAGAATACATACATAAGCTGCTCTTCACCTCGAAAGGAAATGCACTTGACGTAGCCCAATAAGATGATTGACGCCGTACTCTCCCCACCGCAGCAATTCACCAAAAGTCGGATACAAATCAGTCAACGGATTAAGAAAACAATGTGGCGCCGAATCCATCAGAGAATGCGTCGATAGTGAGCCGTTAAGGCGGAAGAGAAGACAGACACAGGCTCAGGGACAGCAAAGATAGGCAGAAGGGAAGAGGTAAAAGAATAACTGACCTCCCCAGTTGCGCTGGCATTCCTGTAGGTGCTCATATGTATGAAGTGCTGGTAGAGCTGAACGCCCTTCGCCTCTCCCAAGGCGCTAAGCGCAGCAGAGTGACCGCACAGAGGCGATTCCACAATGTTAGCGCCTTTTGCTTTGCTGATTTCGCTTTCTGTGTGACCGCGCATTGCTGCCCAAGGGGCACTAGATGCAATTGCTGCACTACACGAAGTGCAATGAAGAGCATGGCTCTGTTGAAGGAAAATAGCCGAGGCCGGGCGCAGGAGGGGAAATAAAGCGAATGAAGGCCAGAAGAAGCGGCACAGAGAGGTAGCTTACGTTTGTTGCCTGATTATGGAAACGCTCAGGTCACCAAAGAAGGTATGGGCCCCTTTGAGGATGCATACCATATGCAGCTCGCCCTCTTTGAAATGTTTTCGAATATCATGCGCCTAGATACGGGCAAGCAACAAAATAAATACAAGTTACAGCAGCTGTGCTGAATAAATCCTTGCAGACTGGCAAAAATGGCGCAGGGTGCAGGGGCAGTATACGGCAGGGTGTTCTACCAGTTTATCGACTCGGTCCGCAACGACGCCTCCTGGGACTAGAACACCCTTCACGTAGGGTGCGCAGTTATCCGGTATTACAATATCTTCTGCAGTGTACAAATGGCCATCTGGAATATGAATGGGGGCACTGCTGGCCTTCTTTGTCTCTCTGCGGAGAAAGGCACAAGAAAAAGGCAAATCCGCTGTGGGACCAGGAATTTATCAAACCAGACAGCCAGAAACTGTATTGCACTACGTGTTAAGGGGTATTGCTTTTGATTCGGCCACAGGTACTCTGCTGGGCGGATTTCGGGAAGCGTGGCGTGGAAGTTTACGTGGCCATCTTTTGAGGGCGGGGCAGGTGGCTCTATGGAAAGCACGGTATCGGTTCCTCTCGATAAAAATGAGACAACGAACAAATGGAAATTGATATTAGAGATACGTATATGGCAAAACCATCATACCACGAGCACGAAGATGCACCGAGATTGGGACTAGGCCTCCACCCACTGCATAATCATTTGCACCATCCGTCGGCGGCTGGTGCCTAAAAGGGAAGCTAACCGTTGAAATAGAGTAAGAGGGGATGATGAAGCACACCATATTTTGCAGCAGAATCGGTTGGGTTATGGCCGAACCAAGGTATTGTGATGATTAGCGCCCCTTGCTTTGCACCTCTGCCTGGAGCAGGAAGCCGAAAAGGAGAGGAGAATTTTTAGTTATCCACTATTCAGAGGCTGCATTGCCTTAAATGCACTACGAATCCAAGGGGAAGGTCTCAAGGAGTGCACGAATCCCTCGACAAAACATGACACTAGGCTACGCAGGATAAGCCGTCTTCCGGGGATAGAAGCCGCAGACATATTTGTGATGATCATGCAGGAAAAGACCGACAACAAGTGCTCCTTTGAGCAGAATCCGGTTTTCTGTTCCCCGGAACAAGTGGAGGCAAGTGAAGAAGAGTAGGTAAAGGGTCTCATAGTGCACACCGATATGACCCCACAAAAAGGATTGCTTGGATCTGGTGATGCCCTGTCAAATTATGTCTTCATGGAAGCTCTACGCCGAAGCTTCGGTCAGCTTTAAGCCACACAACAGATCATTGATGTATTTTGGCTCCCAACACTGTGCGCTATAACATTTTTGCGAGACTCCACGAGGCGTTATGTGTGCGCACAGCTCGTAGCCACTTTCTGCTACCTCAGTTATATAGAATGAAGAATTAATAAAGAATGGGCAAGTCGGTTTGGGCTGTTCGTATGTAATATTTATCACGGAGTAGCGTCATTTGAGTGCGCAATTACTTGTTTGCCTCTTCGAGCTCGGTGCACACATTCGCGTGCACTAGCCAGCCACTCTCTAAATCCATCCTGTTGAGGGCGGCAATTGACCTCAGATAGCAAAGTTCAGACCCGCATCGAAGAGGGGCTTCTCATTGCAGACAAGGGATGCGAAAGAGCAATGAATACACGAGTGTACTCCTTAATTTTATAGCAAACTCAATACGATAAACAAATCCAACCCTTGCATTAGTACAGTTGTTTAAAGCATAGAGTCACAACTAATGTAGGGAGTTCATTAGACGCTCTCCGTCTGTCCGTGTTACTCAGGGAAGTTTGCAAGTGGGTTGGTCAAAATATAGGCGGTCTCTGATGGAATGCCATAATGGACTAACGAACTTCAGAACCCTATCCATCATGATGCTCCTGGGGATCCGTGAAGTTTCCAAACATAAATAATGAATAAATTAAGCGCATTGCTGATCATTAAGAGTCCTGTAGCAAGGGATGAAATGGGCATATTTGCTGAGTTTGTCGACAACGATGTAGATGATACCCTGACCCGTGACCTCGTGTGGTCCAACAACAGAGTCCATAGTTAGATCAATCCAGATCCCTTCAAGGACCGAATGGCTTAACAAAAGGCTGGAATTAAAAGAATTGCATTGGATCTACTGGCCTTAATCTGGGCATGAACAAAGCACAGTCCTCTGCTTCGGGACGCATCTAAGGCCACCAAAAAACCGTGAGAGCTTTTTCACTGCAGTGCGTATCCTAGCATGGCCCGAAAATGAGAGAGCGTAAGTTTTTTGGAGATTAGCACTGGGGAGTCAAGTCGGAATGTACGTTTAACGAGTCCTTGCTTTGCTTTAAACCACATGAGGACACCGTCAATATGGTAATGCTTCACCCTTGTGCCATTCTGCATGTTGGTAGCAGAAGCGGACGTACGAGTATTAAAAGCATGATGCACACACAGTTTTGACAGACATCATGAATCGTCACAGACAAGAAATTCGAGCTGCACTATAATGAATGACTATGGGGTAGCGAGACTGCTTAGGCAACCAGAGTGGAAGAGCCCTATATACACTTCACTTGACTGTGCTTCAAGAGATGCTGAAGCCAGTGAGCAACCTTAGGGCTCTTAAAGTTCTGGAAAAGCTATGTTAGGTACAGCAACACTGGTGATCCGTTTAAATAGTAATTTGAAGCTCATTTAAATAGTGCGGGCATTTTAAATGGCCCATTACGCAGCACCGCAGCACCGAGTTCCTTTTCCTACAGTGGAAATCTGATGGTCATTTTAGTGAAGGGATCGGAAGACTAAGAAATAATTTGATATTTTAGAGAGGTAGTACTCATTTGGAAGACAAGAGCACTCACCGTTCCTGCACTAGCATCAATTGTTAGGAAGAGACGGCATTATTCTTCGGGCAGCGCAAGTACCGGAGCAGTTGCTGTGCCGTCAATAGGCACCCTTGCCACCTTCCTGGCCTCTTCTTTCCAGGGTTCCGACCACGCTTTCTTAAGTGAACCAGTCAAAGGAGTAGCGATCCAATCAAACCTAGGATTCAAATATCAGTAGTAAGATGCAGGTACATAGAACTCCTTACTCTCCTTTAGGGCACGTACGGGCAAAGGCCATGCCCTGTTTGCTGCAATTTGTGCTGGTGCTGGGTCAATTCTTGCAGCCAAATCCAAGCTTCCCATATGAGTAATCGTTCGTATGATAAGAAAACACTTGCATGCCTATGCATATAGCCGCTTGTCGCGCAACAGCTGAAGCGCACGCCGTATGTGGTTTACATGCACTCGAAATTTCGGCTGAAGATTCAGGCGCCGTCCATCTAGAGAGCCATCCAGCCCTCCTTCATAGACGCATGATTTTTTCCATTACCTTGCCGTAGCACATCAGCTGGGGCAATAACAAATTCAAACTAGATAGGCGTATATTTAAGCTTGGAGTGCGGGTGTCGAGCGCCGTTGGGTGCCTGGCATCTGGATGACTGTGCTATTGTACGCCGGCTTCTGGGGGGGCTATATGTTGGTTCAGGTGTGCATTCGTGTAGTTTGTCAAGTAGGTAGCTAAAACCAAGGTACTAAAGTTTCCGCTTGTCCATTATCTTGTTCAGATGCCTAAATTTAACTCATATGTGCCCGCTTTTTGCCGGGTTGTGCTCCAAGGTGCTTATCGATTCCTGCGGCTTGCCCTTTTCCAGAAAATCATCGACATGCCGCTCAATTTCTTCTTCGTTTAGCTTGGGCAGCCAATACCTTAAGCCATAGCTTGGAGGCTGACACACGAAATTGCACCATACGGTGCACCGGATGGCCAGTAGGTCGAGAGCCTGCTAGCAGCTCGTCATTATTAAGCACATCCACGAATCCCCTCTTTGTCCTGACTTATTCCTGATGCTCCTCAGCAAAATGTTTAATCGAATTTACTAACAAAAACGAGCTTGTTGGAAAAACATGAAGACGGGATACATGCACAGGACCAAATTTTCTCATTGCTCTGCCAAGCCGCTCACACGAAGTGTCTGCCTCATTTACCGCGTGTACCATAAAGGAAATGAGCGTAGTTGAAGAGTCTAAGATTCGCTCCTGTCTAGTGCATCCTGGGTCACTAACCTCCACCGCGCGCAGCTATGGCCGCATGTGCACCTTTCACTGGATTTCCTATCGCATTCTTTTGACCACGTCGTGGTGCATGGGTCCAACATGGAAGTCAAATATCCTGCTAACAGGACCCGTTTTCAATTCGGAGTTGCTTCTAATTGTATTGAGCCTGCCAATCTGCGCGTTCTGACGCCAGTCAGCAAGCATGAGACCAAGGGACTGCGCTGAGTATTGAACGGAAAGCTTGCTCCTACGGCGCCTTCTCGGATATCAGATCAGCTCTACATCAAGGGCGAAGCTACGGCAGCAGTTCTTGATGTTTAACGCCAGCTTGCATCGGCACAAAACGCTCTCTGGGGAAGTCCCTACTAGGGGCTCCATCCTTCAATGCACCGCAGCCTACTAATTTCTGTTTCCCGGGTGCACCTTGTCCGCTCTCCAAGGAGCATGTATCCGGTGTTCCAAGTGGTCCACCGCTCAAGTTCTTTGGCCTTTTGGCATTCACTTGCAGTTTCGTACTATTCGGCTCCAATCCTCACGATAGAAGCAGATGCTCTGCTGGGCGGCTCTCTGGGGTAGCTTAGGAGAGCGGGTTCCGTATGGTTTTCTTACCTCCTTCACCTCAGACTATAGACGGAAGCCGTTTTACACAGCCCCGAGGACCATAGATTTATATCTTGATCTGGCTCATCCTTTTCAACTGAAGAAAGAGGAGCTGCGCTTAGTTACCCATATAACCCCAAGTAGTCCATCTTCTGTGGAAGTCTCACCGGTCGTTTAACTAATCGCTCGGTCACTGCCCATCATTCCACCTGTTGTAACACTTAGGGCAGACCTGAGACAAACCACTTATTGAACAGCTCTTCGGCTACGTTGTGGATTTTTCGAATCAAAGTCTTATGTTTGTTCAAGTCTTGATGGAATTCTTCGCTCACGCTTTATCAGTCCCTTTGGAGCTTGCTGAAGAGCTGATCTCGGCATAAAACGACGAGTCCCCGCTTTTGTGAAGGCTTGAGCTGTAGTAATCCCTGCAGGCAGACAAGAGTTTACATGCATGCGTCCACCTTTTAATGTGCCTCTTCTTTAAGAAACATACCGCAAGGGGATTTCGTTTCTCCTCATCTATGGGGCATACAGGAAGATATTCCAGCACGTTTGAGGTCTTAAAAAAACTTGCCCATTCTCGAGGTCGCCGTGCTAATCTGGTACGCACAATCTCGTCGGTGCATCCATAGACAATTGTGCGAATGCAAAATCTTGGATGTCCACCACTTATGGATCCCCGGCTTTTCCATCAGCTTGCAAGCCGGCCTCTGGTACCTCAAGACGCTTTGGACCACCATTAGCTTCCCTTGTCGGATGGTCTTTTTCCAAACTATTGGCAAAGACTATTAGACTATTGAGATATGGAATATTTTTCTCAAAGCAAGACAACTGTGGTAGAGAACTAAAATATCCCACTGCGTCCACGGCCAGTGGGTGAGCGGGGAAATGCTACACTGAACTATGCGATGCGGCCAATTGTAGTCTTGCCTCTAAGATGTGCGTTCAGGAAACTTGATTGCAGCTCAAAACAAGTTCAACCAAAGCTCCACGTGTGCCGTTCAAAAGCGCTCTCGCCCCCCCTTATTCGCAGCCCTCAGCGATGGGAAATCAAGGGAAAGTGGCAGCTAGGGTGTAAGCGCCTGCACCCTCAAAACACTCCAAGCATTAACAGCCGGTTTCACATAACCCCCCAGAGCATGGGAGCACACCAATACGTCTTTGTTATCGAGCTGGCAGCACAGTCATTTGCACTGAACAAGATAAAAGCAAGCTCATCAAAAAATGATTTTTTTATGGATACTCAGTTGAATAGGGCCAGCATAGCAGAGAGTGTTCCCATGTAGCATATTTCGCAATAGAGTGCCTTTGGAACCCCGCTACACCACCACTTGCGAGGGTTTCGAGTTGTCTTTCCGCGGCTAAAAGGGTCTACCTTGGGGGACGTGAAAGTAGGGCGTCGCACTTCTGAAGTCTCGCTGTGGGTCAGTGAATTCATGTTACAGTTTCAGTGGGCTTTCTTCAACTGCCTGGGATTGCTCCACACACGGAGACGAGAGCAGCGGAACATGGGGTAGGCATACACGTGGGATATTGCGCTCCCCCGAGAGGCGCTGCTTTCAGGGGCTCACCTCGGATGTTTTCTACGAGCAGGCAGCACCATTTGGAGCACTTTACCGAGTGGAACCGCCTACTCGGAGCATATGTGGATAAATTATACTCTGGGAGAATGTGGGTTATTCCATTCAAGCAACCTACTACTACATATGCTATCATCCTGCACACCCAAAAAAATAATTTCGAAGCCCCTGGACGACTGGAAACTGGTCCAGTGCGGCTAATTATGAGAACTCGTGTGGCCCCCTACGACTATGTAGCCCCCGAACGGCAAATTTTCCAGGCGTTCAGTACGTGGACTTCTAAAGAAGTGCCATCTGACTTGACTCAGAAGCTGTAAACCAGCAATACCCCTTATCTATCTACTGGGTGGAAAGCTAAGCCAATCACGCAAATGAGAATGCCTGGATCTGAGCATAAGCCCATGAATCATCGCCGCTTCCCCTGGTGGGGCATGACACGCGGGTGTGTTGCTGTGTCTATAAACCTTGAGAGGAACTGCGAAATGCACCGTGCTGCAGCAGGGTGCAGTGAAACGACAGTGGCACGGAAATCTCAGCATTCCCCACGCCGAATGGCAGGCAGGCCATGGCATCCATGCGCTGCTGCTCTACCTAGGACTTCAGTTGCCTAGGGTAGCCTCTCTTTTCATGAAACCGCCGATGTATGTTCACGGGGTGGGGTTTATTTGTTGTGTTTTCGCTACCCAGCAAAGGATTTCTAGAGCTCGGCTTTTAGGAAAGCTTCTGCGAGAGTGTCGCATTGAGGAGCCCAGCTTCCTGCAACGTCGCGTCACGGGGGGCGGATATGGGCTTAGGGGGGAATCCGTCTAGTAAGGAGAAGCCCCCTGGTGCAGGAGCCAACCTGGAGGCACAGAAATACGAGCGAAAAGTGGTGAAGTGCATTGCCGAGCCAAGCATTGCCGCAACAGGCAGGCCACACGGGCAGTTAACGTTTAGCTTTTACCTCCCCCTTGCCTCCTAGCAGATACAGGCACAAAGAGTTCGTCAAACAAATGTAACTATCAAATGGTGGTGAAGCTTAATACAGTCCACAGAAAGAATATCCAGAGATAGTTCTGTGCCAGTAGAAGACTTGCACTGCAACGAAGTCGAAGAGCTGTTGAACGGTGGCATTTATGGGAAACTGTTGAGCTGTGCGTTGGCCATCATGTAGGCGGAACACGATCTGAGTGCGAGGTACTTCTGAATCTCCTGCTGCTGCTGCTGTGGCTGCTGCTGCTGCTGCTGCTGCTGCACGCGTTACGTCCACCGGCTCAGCGCGAATTGTGGAGCTGCCATCTCCTGAGAGGCTCTGTCCTTCGCCTCCAAACAACACATACTGCAGGCAGCAGCAGCGGCAGCAGCGCGCACACATCAATACACACATGCAATAGGTCGAAGCAGAAAACCTAAGGTGCGAAGTGGCTAGCCAATAGGCAAACGGGCAGACAGTAGAGAAGGCGAGGATCAGCCCGAAAAGAACAAACCTGAGAGGGAGGGGGAGGTGTGTATACTTCCCCATGACGGTCATCCAGCAGTACATGAACTTGCCTGCCTCCCTGCTGTAGCTCTCGTGGTGCCACTCTGCAGAACACCACCGTTGACAGTAGCCGCTCAAGAGCTGCCTGTGCACCGATTGTCTAAGACTTCTTTTGTATCTCTGCCAACTGCAAGCACTCATACCGTCGAGCAGCATGAAGAATTGCTTGTTGCAACGTCCCTCCCTGCCTCCCTCCCTGCCTCTGTCTTGCATACCCTGCCTTGAGTTCTTGCACGAACTGGTCATTGGCCTCAACTCCAAAGAGTCGGAATTCGCCTTCATCAACCCTAAAGCCATTTGCATACAGCGTGACGCGATGTGCTCCCGGAGGGGCTGTTCCTCGCCTGCAGAGGAGAAAGGACTTTGATGTATGATGAGATAGGTCCCTTGAAATGGCGACACTCTAGCCAAGGCAGCATAAAACATCATTTTTCAAGAAAAGATACACCCTTCTCCTCTGTCTCATGAATGAGAGTTCACGGACAGGAAAAGGCTTTTGTGCATGCAGTGCACAATAGCCTTTTCCCGCTATCTGTAGGGTAACACACAGCCAGCCTACACGGCGTGTGGAAAGGCAGCACTCGGATTCTGAATGGCCAAACCGGATCTCTCTCCCCCTGCAAAGGAAGAAGTCCCCCCACTGCTTTCGTTGGGGGCGTCATCGGCAGACCCCCTCAAATCGGCTAAGGATCTGCGGCAAAACGAAGAAGAGGCGAGAAACAGAGAGCGACGACTCGGCGACTTGAGGTGGTGAGATAACTGGAGAGCCAGCACATCGTGAGGGACTATTGGCTCTACGCTTAGGAACGGCCTCTTTCCTCTAATTCGCAGAGCTGCCGCCTGTCTTGCTCGTTGCCTGTGCGGCACTGCTCCGCCTTCCAAGGCTACCTAACCCCTCCCTCGTGCCCATGTTTACCCTTAATTTCGCCATTCCTCTCCTCATGACCAACTCTAGAGCCTTCACAGAAATCCCCTTGTCGCCAGCCCCCTTCATCCCCCTTCCCCCCTCCGGTCCCGTTGACTCTAAACAAAGGAGTAGGGGAGTATGAAGGATGCAGCCGAGAGTGTAGGGCAGTTCAATCACCTGATTGCCATCACGCCACCAATGAGGAACGCCACAAGGAAGGAAAAGATGGGAACTGTACACGGAGCAGTTCGCGTAGCTCGCCGTTGGCCAAGCCCGGCAGATACTCGGCTGTGCAGACGGGAGCTAAATCGTCAGATCCTCGGATATGAGGTGTGTTAATATGGAATCAGCAAGGGAAGGGCGATGATGAGGACATGCGCTGGATGCCTCAAAAGTGTGCCACACGGGGCCCCCTCTTGTGACGCTGAACGGCGGCTCAGAATTGCAGACAAGTTGCTCGCCTTTTCTTCTCTTCGCGACTCTCGCTCTTGTGTCTTTAGCTGCAAAGTGCATGTGCGCCTCATGCAGAGCTTGACGTACAGGTAAACAGCTAAGGGTCCCGCATGCCGCGATTGTGTTGCAGAAGCGACCGACCCTGCCCGCCTGCAGAGGGGGCGAAGCAGTGAGGTCGTACCGCCTTTTCTTCCATTTTGTTGGCATTTAAATCCTCTCTTTACTTCGCCTTCTTCACTTTATTAGCAACGCATGCAGCAGAAGGGCCACCACCAAGGATCGCTTGAAATTCTGCACTGCGGGGAGACCCCTGCGCCGTCGTCTACGGGCGCATAGACTCGTCGCAGAGGAGGCCCCTTCTACCGCGGCTGTCTCAGGTACAGCGCCAGGGGCCTCCGACAGTTAGGAACTATCTCTTAACAGCACGGAAGTTCTCATGACGCATGAATTCAGCGGCGCCGTCCGCCTAGGCGCTCTAGACGACTACCTGAGTCCGTCACAAGAATGCGTTCTTCCACTACTGCGGCCGACAACAGACACAGAACAAGGAAAGCCTCGGAAGGACGTAGCTGCTGCAGATACAGCGGGAGCATACACTGTAGGGACGGTGGGTACCAGATCAGCAACAGCCTCGAGGCGGCGCAGGGCAGACCAACGCAACACAGCAGCAAAGGCGACAACAGCGTCATCAGCGGCGTCAGCAGCAGGAGCGGGATCGGCATCTCTAGCCGAAAAAGATGACGTTGCAACCCCTAGTGCTGAGCCGCAGGCCCAAGCGCAAGCGCAGCCATCCCTCCCTCCAGACGACGAGGCAGCCGCAACACAACAGCAGCCAGTACAGGCCCAGGCACCACACTACTTCTCAGCGAGGACTCAACGAGACAGCGCCACAAAAGCAGCAGCCCCTTCCGATGTTACTGAGACCAGCCGTGTGGCGAAGATTTCACTATCGGACTGCCTAAGCTGCAGCGGCTGCCTCACGTCGGCAGAAGACATCCTGTTAAACCAGCAATCCACAGAACAGTTTTTTTCGTTGGTGTCCAAGAAACGCAGCCGAGGTATCTACACTTCACAGCTGGACGCATCTCATGGATGGGACCCTATTCCCAAGATCGTCGCCGTATCGCTCAGCTCCCAGTCGATTGCTGCAGTGTCTGTCCACTTTGGATGCTCCGCAGATATCGCGGCCGGCCGTCTCTCCTTCTTGTTTCGCTTGCTGGGTGCCGACTTTGTGTTCTCCATGGCCGTAGCGGAGTCTCTCGCACTTTTGGAAACGCAGAAGGAGCTTGCAGGGAGGCTGTACAGCCATCAAGTGCGTCTGGAAGAGGGGTTGCAGACAGCCAACGCGCACGGCTGCAGTGCAGAAGCTGAAGCGGCTCTTTCGCAGCTGCTGCCGAGCAGCGGCCCGCTGCCTCTCATCACTTCCTTCTGCCCTGGCTTCGTCTTGTATGCGGAAAAGAGTCTTGAAGCGCCTATGTTATCCTTCCTCTCGCGCGTCCGAAGCGCGCAGCAGATCCAAGGCTTGCTGTGCAAGTCGGCGGCTCGTACGGCGGTCGAAGCCGAGGCTTTCCTGCTCGCGATCAAGTCGCATGCATGGCCAGGAGCAGGCATTGCTGTTTTCTCTGCAGCCGACGGTGCTGGGGCTGAGGGAACGCCTCGCTTGGCGCGAACGGATCAACGAGTATCCCCGTGTAGTGCAGCAGCAGAGACGTTCAAGCCATGGGATCTGCTTCGATCCCTGCTGCGGCGATCGCCTTTCACCTGCTATGTCGCAAGCGGTACGGGGCCAGCAGCAGCAGCACCTGCAGCAGCACCTGCAGAGGCGGCAACCAAAAGAGGGGCAGGAAATGCATGTGCCAGACGGGCTGGATTGACTCCTGATGAGGTGGTGCATGTTTGCTTGATGCCCTGTTTCGACAAGAAGCTGGAGGCTGCGAGGCCTGTTTTCGAGCATCGCGAGCAACAGCAGCAACAGCAGCAACAGCAACAACAGCAACAGGAGCAACAACAGCAACAACAGCAACAGGAGCAACAACAGCAACAACAGCAACAACAACAACAACAGCAACAGGAGCAACAACAGCAACAGCAACAGGAGCATCAAGAAGTGGAGGCTGTGGACAGGCCTTTAGCTGCGTTTCCTGCATCGCGTCTGGCTTTTGGCACCCCTGGAGGCTCCTGGGCTGAAGTTGATTTGGTGCTGGCAACCTCTGAGTTGCCGTCGCTGTTGCAGGCAGCCAACAGATCCTTTGACACGCTGCCCTCTGCGCCTCTAGACTGTGTGGTGCCGCGAACGGCCCTGCGTCTTGCAGCGCGGAGTCTGCGGCGGGCAGCAGAAATCGCCAGCAGCAGCCGCAGCTGCGTGGCTGCAGAAACGGCAGTTGCACCAGGATGTGGCGCATGCGGCAGCAGTGTTGAGGAGCCTCGAATGCGTGCCGCAGCAGAGGCCGCACAGGCGGCAGAGGCAGCGGCGCGCTGGCTGCCTGCCTCTCCCTCTTGCCCCTCGGCTACCGTTTTTCAGGAGAAAGGGGCCCCCGGAATGCGAAATGCAGGGGGCCCCTTGCAGCCGTGCTGGATCTCGAGGCCTGCAGCAGTTCTGGCTGGCAGTGGGGGGTACCTGGAGTATCTCTTTCTGCAGACTGCCCGCGGTTTCTTTGGCCGCGACGTCTCTCCGGGGGCCCTTGAGTTCATTAGGGGCCCCAACGAGGAGCTGCAGTCGCTTGCCTTGTTCTCGGAGGAACGGGGCGTGTTGGTTTCTAAGCAGCGCGCTGCAGCAGCAGAAGCCGTCCAGGAAGGGGCCCCCCATCTACCCCGCAGCCTCGGGCGGGGGGGCAGGGGCCTCTGGAGTGACAGTGCGCCTGCGCTGCTGAGAGGCGCGTTTGCGTATGGCTTTAGAAACATCCAGAACATCGCGCAGCAGCTGCGCTTGCTGCTTCGGACAGCTGGCGATGAAGGCTTCGCAAGCAAGGAGGAGACACCGCAGCCGCCTTACGGCGAAAGGCTGGGGCCCCTGGCGACCAGGGGCAGAGTGAAGGGGTGCGCTGTGGGAGGAGGCGGGTTTAACTGCATTGGATCCGTTATTCCGCATGTGGTTGAAATCGGCGCATGCCCAGGAGGCTGTCTGAATGGGGGTGGCCAAGGGTTAGGTGCAGCCGCTGCAGGTCATCAGGGCGCTCCCTCAGCTCCCCGCACCATCTCGCGGAAGCGATCCTGGAATGTTTCGAAGGGAGAAAACGCGTTTGAGCCCAAGATTATTGGCAATACGCGCGAGCCATTGACGAGTTTGACGCAGCTGCTGCATCTCGAGTTTCAGCTAATACCTCCTCATAGGCACCCCTTGGTCCTGCCCGCCTATTTGTATCTCTTTGGGTGTTGCTACGGGGCAGAGGCAGGCCAGGACGCTGCAGCTGCCCTTACTGAATTTGAGGAGGCGCTACAGCACAGGGAAGCCATGCAGGTAGCGCAGAGCCTCTTCGGTGAAGAGGCTTCGTCTGCGCTACCCTTGCAGTTCTGGTTAGCCCCTAGCGTTACTGCAGCGTTCCGCACGGGCTTCAGGCCCACCAAAAAGGCGGCCAAAGGCGGCACTACGGTTTCTCTTTCAGACCTCAAGTGGTGACAACGGCTCCTGTACGCGGTACACTGGAGCGCATGCTTCTTTTGTGATCTCATTTCTCACGGAGAGCGCTCAGAGGTGCACTGTTCGATGCCAGCAACGAAGCGTTTACAGGGGCAGCAACTGCCGCTTCATCCTTTTGCTGCCTGAAGTTGAGGCGGCGGTTAGGGGAATTCACGTGGTCCACTACACCACGGAGTCCAACAGCACTGTACAGGAAACCTTCAAGGGGCCCTCGACTCCTGTACGGGCTTATATCCGCAGCTCCTCTCGAAGTACCATATCTTTTTCTTGGCAAGTGGGCGCCATTGCATGCTTTGTAGCAATCCGAGCAGCCCCATGCAAGAGAATCTTGCCATTTTCATCAAGCGGCGGGTAGCGTTGTACGCTCTAAGAGGGCTTCGAACATTTGGTATGCATCGCCTTCTCAGGCTGTGCTTTTCTCGCCTAATGCGGTAGCTGTAAGCACCGGGGGGCGATACATTCCGCTAAACATCGTCTGACTGCGATGCAACGCAGTTTGTTGGTGAGTACACCAAGGAACCATGAGTGATGCCTAAAGGAAAATTGTAACAGCAGGAGTAATCGAGTTACCCGCATTAACGCATCCCCTTCCGTGGGTGTTGCAACTATAAACTCAAAAGGGGCACGCCAAATATCTGGATCTTATTAAATAAGATAGAAACTTAGCTGCCCCGAAACAGCAGTCAAGTGCCAGTTGTACATGCTCTACCCGAATGTAGTCCTGCCGCTGCTGCCTAAAGCCCCCTGAATCACGAGAAATTTAATTAATTTCAGGTGGTTTCGTAGCGGTGATATCGCTACCCACTATGAGACATACACAAGTACAGAGGGAGTTTCAGGTTAAATATTGGTTGTACATACACCTGGACAGAGCGGTGGTGACATCTCCATCCTCGAATCCCAAAGCCCGTTTAGGCGTAATCGGAAAAATGGAGAGTAACCAGCAAGAATCTGCTTTGATTTTCGACCTTGTAACAAGTACTGAGAGAAACAGCTGTATTACGCAGCTGAGGCGCTTGATCGCCCATGAAGAAAGCCGTATTCGGGGAACTTCTATTGCAAAGGGCCTTCCTGACGAAACCTACGTGAACGGTGATGAAGCTCAAACCGGCCCCTCCTCAGATCTCACGCAGAGCCGTAAGGCCACAGAAAAACCCAGAGCATCATATTGGTTTTAGTACTAGAGGGTTTTCGGCTGACATGCGTATGTGTGGTCGTGCTGCAGATCTGGACTCAGTGGAAAGTGTCGAACGGCTGCTGAAAAATTGGGCGAAGCAAGAGCTAGATTACGAGGGCACAAAGGACAGGGAGCAAGTGTGGAAGGAGTGTTCAATACTGCGCAATGAGCTGCAGAAGCAAAAGGCGAGGTAATTCGCGTTGCAAGTGCTGCATCCTTATCTGTTGCCTGCAGCCGACTGAGAGGCTTTTGTCTCAGACATGAACTTGCAGCCCAACGCGTCTTAGAATTGGAAAAGGTAAGCAACAGATCAACAGAAACCGGCAGGCGCTGCTCGATGAGCATGAATTTTCAGTTTGTCGCGCGGCTGCGAGGCTCGCGGAAAGCTTTGGAGGATCGCACCATGGCCAGGAAAGCGGAGCTCTGGGCGCTCACGGAGAGCAACGAAAGAGTGAGCGTGTGCTTTTCGCCGCATTGACGAGCTGAATCGATGGATATTGCTCGAGTCGGTCTGCGTTTCTTCATCAGATTCAGAAATCCCATACCACCGCCTGAAACCCATGAAACTCCGGCCCCGGGGGACGGGGGGAGAGGGGGGAAGAGGCGGCGGGCCTCTCCAGACAGCTGGCACCGCGAGATCCTCTCAAAGATAGCTATGTTACGTCATTAACACCTTCATGCACTCGTGCCCTCATTTGGCGAGCGAGAAGGGGTCGAGTCGGGTAGGCCCCAGGGCCCCACACCACCGCCATGGGTGGCCTCAAACGCATAGAGAGAGCCACTGTCTTCCGCAGCTTTTTAGCTTCCTAGGATGCCTAGGTCTCGCGTATTTTTGCCTCTAGAGGCAACCGAGGCAGCCTTCCTGCCGGCCGGTGCGAACGTGCCTGGGGCTTCTTCCAGGGGGTTCCTGCGCGCGGGAAGGCCGCCACCTACCACCCGGTCCAGAGAAACTGCACACACTGCCGAGTCGCCTGCACAAATGTCTAGCTAGGCTTCATCAGATGAAGCCACAGAACCGAGACGCGAGGCGAATGAGCGGGCGCCACTGGGCAGGCCCGCAGGTGCCTGAATCGACACCAAACCCGGAAACAGCTCATGCAGGCCTAGCGACTCCGGTAAAAAGCCTCCCTCGCCTCTGCGGCTCTCTCCTGCGTGGCAAGTGCCCTTCATGGATGCGCGCAAAATGCATGTTCGCGGCGCTATGCGCTGGCGTGACCATGCTGCTTACTCTAAACTACGCAGCGGCTTTTGCCGTGCGGCGCAGTGACGGCTGCATTCCGGCGACATCCCGCGCGTCTGCCTTTCTGCACCACTCTTCTCCGCTTCACAGAGATGGGCGGTGCCATGAGCGGTCGGCTCTTCTACATGGAGGCACCCTGCAGCAGCTCCGCAAAGCTGCCCCGCCGAAAAACACCACGGCGGCGCATGCAGATCCGCGCATGTGTGGCGACACCGTGCAACTTGAGCGCTTTCGAAACATCGGCATCATGGCGCACATTGATGCTGGCAAGACAACGACAACTGAGCGCTTTCTTTTCTTCACGGGTGTGTCGCACAAGATCGGGGAAGTTCATGATGGCGAGGCGGCCATGGACTGGATGGAGCAAGAGCGAGAGCGGGGAATCACCATCACTGCCGCAGCCACTACGTGTTTCTGGTCAGGCTACAAGGGGAATCGCCCAAAGCATCGCATCAACATCATAGACACGCCGGGGCACGTCGATTTCACAGTCGAAGTGGAGCGCTCACTGCGGGTACTGGACGGAGCGATTGCGATCTTTGACGCCGTCGCTGGGGTGGAACCGCAGACCGAAACTGTTTGGCGCCAAGGCGACAAATTTAAAGTGCCACGTGTGGCGTACATTAATAAAATGGATCGTTTAGGGGCCGACTTCTTTAGATGTGTCGATCAGATAAAGGAAAGGCTGGGGGGAGATGCAGTGCCTGTTCAGCTTCCGATCGGCGCAGAGTCCGGATTTGAGGGCGTCGTGGACCTTATTCGGAATGTCGCTCTTGTGTGGGGTGAGAAGACACCGGAGGACCCCCTAGGGGCTTCTTTTAGGGAGGAGCCAGTGCCGGAGAGCATGAAAGAGGATGTTGAACGCTGGCGCGGCGAACTTATAGGCCGTGCAGCCGAAGCCTCAGAGGAGCTCATTGCAAAGTATCTAGACACTGGAACGTTAGAGCTCGACGATATCCTCCATGGGCTGCGGCACCAGACGCTGACGGCGAATTTGGTGCCCGTGCTTTGCGGCAGCTCCCTCAAGAATAAAGGGGTTCAGCCCTTATTGGATGCAGTCATTGATTTCCTACCGTCGCCGCTCGATAAGCCGCTGGTTCTGGCGCAGCAGTGCAACGGCCAGGGGGAACCCGTACAGCTGCCGCACTCCCCTGAGGGGCCTCTCGCAGCTTTGGCCTTCAAGATCGCCAGCGACGCCTTCCTAGGAGCTCAAACCTTCGTGCGTGTCTACTCTGGGACCTTAAGGCCGGGTCAGGAAGTGCACAATCCGCGAACTCGCCAGTCGGAGCGGCTGCAGCGTTTGGTATTGATCCACTCGAACGCGAGGAGGGATGTTAGGCAGCTGCAAGCGGGCGAGATCGGGGCGGTCCTTGGTCCGAAGAACTTTGCAACGGGTGACACGCTCTCCGAAAAAGCGCATCCCCTCGTTCTGGAGCCTATTGATCTTCCAGAGCCGACGCTGAGCGTCGCTATTGAGACCGCCAATAAGCACGAGGCCGAACGCCTCATCGCCGCTTTGCAGAAACTCGCGAAGGAAGACCCGTCAATTCGCGTGTCTCTACACCAGGAAACGAAACAGGTCATCTTGAGCGGCATGGGGGAGCTCCATTTGGAGATCGTCATGGACCGCCTCCGGCGCGAGCACAACATCAAGGCGACTACGGGGTCTCCCCAGGTCGCTTACCGAGAGACGTTCAAAGCGAAGGCCTCTGCACGCGGCCGCTACGTGAAGCAGTCCGGAGGAAGGGGGCAGTATGGAGAGGTGTGGCTATCGGTGGAGCCGCTGCCACCAGGCAGCGGCAACAAGTTTGTTGATGCAATTCGGGGGGGAGTGGTGCCTGGCCAGTTCATTCCGGCCGTCGAAGAAGGCGTAATGGAGCAGCTCGAGAAAGGTATCCTATCGGGATCGCCCGTAGTGGACGTGCTGGTAACGCTGTATGACGGCTCGCACCACCCCGTGGACAGCAGCGAACTCGCCTTCAAGATCGCAGGATCTATGGCCATCAAGGAGGCAGCGAAGACGGGGAAGCCGACGCTCCTAGAGCCCCTCATGCTGCTGCAGGTGACTACTCCTCAGGAGTACGTGGGAGACGTTGTTGCGAACATCACTACCCGGCGAGGGGTCATGCAGTCCATGCAGGATGTGGGCAGCGGGAGGGCGCCCATCAAAGAACTAATCGCTCATGTCCCTCTAGCCGAGCTGTCTCAGTACACTACCTGCCTCAGATCTCTAACGCAAGGCAGAGCCACGTCAAGTGCGCACCTGCTAAAATACGTGCCCGCGCCACCTCATATCCAGGAGGAAGTTGTTCGGAACCGCTCCGGAACCGTTAGTCCCAGATAATTAGACACCTACTCCTACGGCCACCATGCAAAGGCCGCCAGATCCTGCCTAAAACGAGGGCGCGACTGCGCATGCGCAGGCGTGCCCTTCTTACTGAAACAGAAACGAATTTCTGCAGGCACCGCGAGCTCGCTCGTCTGGCGGGTGCACACCTACTACAACACCCCTCTCACACCTCCAGTTGGAGGAGCGGCTCTCTGGCGACACATGCAAACAGTGCGGCGGTGCCGTCACACCCCCCCACCGCCTGTAGCACAGCGCTTGCGCTTCGGATACGCACGCAGGGCCTTTCCGTCTCATAGGCAAAGCCTCCTTTTGACAACCCACTAACTCTTGGTTTCGTCTCCGCCCTCTGCAGAGTCCCCTTCACGCCGTTCAGGCTGTACCGAGGGCGCGCCGCCCTCCTGCTGAGCCCCCTCACCCGGTAGCTCTGCGCTGTCGTTGCCGGTGCCACCTCCCTGGACTGCCTCTGCCTGCTGATTTGCAGCACCTCCGCTGCTGCCAGAGGCGGGAGGCTCTCCACAGTAGTCCTGTAACGAAAGCAAAACGGCCTGGCGTAGCTCCTCGTCCATGTCCTCTAGGCCTTCGATCTGCGCTGTTCCGGGCGGCAGCTCTGTTGCCCCTGCGCATGCATGCAGTGTGCCCCAGCCCCAAAGTGCGAAAATTCTGTGCCTATGAGTCGCGGAAGCGCGGCTCTTCGCCCTCAAAAGAAAACAACATAGGCATGTGCATATTTTGGAGGGCTTGCGGTGTGTTTCAGACGGGTAACCACAGGTGTGGCGCGAGTTCAAGGCTCCTGGCAGCGGCAGGAAGTCGGCCCAGACAACGGCCCCAGGGGTCTAGCTGCGCCTGCACGGGCTGTGCCTCTAATGCAATGCACGTGCTCACCTGCAGCTGCACTTTGCCCAGTGGCTGCTGCGGCTACCGCCGAGTCCTGTTGCTGCTGCTGCTGCTGCGCTTGTTGCTGTCGCGCCTCCTCAAGGGACATGCGGAGGACCATGTAGAGGTCGGGATCGACATTCGGATCAACGCCGAATTCGTTTACTGCTGCTGCTGTCGCTGCAGCGTCTGCAGTGCCCTCAGAGGCCACAGCGGCCTCTGGATCGTGCAGCAACATGGCCGACACTATGACATCACTCAGCAGGTTTGTGCTGCCCGCCGGGTACTCTACGAAGCGACTGGAACATGCACAGCAAACACATCCCTTGAAAAAACATGTATACATATACTTGCATATGTATAAACTTTATCTCAGGCCCGGAGAAGCTAATCGCAAAAGTGGCCGTCTACTGACCATCCATAGAAGCACGTACACTGCAACTTGTACGCCCCCCCACCCCGGGAGATGCTGTCCTTTGACCGCCCAAGGGTCGTCCCATAATGCCACGAAACACTTGCTCCAAGCAACTTTTAGAAAACTTTCTAGCACTGCGAAAAAGGGGAAGCATCTAGCGTGTTTCGTATAAAGTACCTGGTGTCGTTGCTGTTGACGGCCGCATGCATGGCCATTAGTTTGGCACGATTTTCTTCGACGTTCGCCAGACAAACAATATCTGCACAGCAGAAGGATGCCATCACCACAGATCCCTCGACCAGTCGGTTGCCCTCGCCTGTGCAAAAGCTCCGCCTCCCACCTCTTCCTCCCCATCTCTCCCTCTCTCCCGTTGCCTCCCTTGCCATCCCCCCATCCCCAAACCGTAGCACACAAAGACTTAGCTACTACCGAGGCCATAGTACATAGACACAGATGGCCAAGAGCCCTTCTTGGCTCGCCCCTCCGTTCCACGGCGCGCGACATACCAAGCGCAATGTTATTCTTTTTCAGCTGCCTCCCCACCTGAACAAGCTGTTTCTCGCTTGCCATCTGAGGCACAATGCCAAAAAAGGAATGAGGACATAAAGCAGTTGGCCCGCACTTTGGAACGAACACAGAAATCGTTTTGGTGATGTAGAGGCAGATCAACCCGCTTTACAAGACACGTGCAAAGGCGCTTTGGCCAGGCGCTAACGTACCACAGGGCTGCCGACAAACAGCAAGATCCGCTGTCTTTGAGTTTTGTTCATGCGACGCTTTAGAGCGAGCTGCACGGAAACCAAGCGCATGCAGAATGATGCATGCAGAAGCCGCATACGCGCTGCCTGTTCGCCATACAAATGCACTAAGAAGAGATAAGAGTCTCAGAACGCCGGAATAACAAAGAGCAATGAGCGGTGCATGCATTCACATGTGTACATGTATGAACGTTGGACACACATGTGTATCAGTGCACGAACAAGGACAAGCACGAGACGCAGCATCCATGCCCATTGGCGAAGACGCTATGTTTGGTGCAATATGCAGCTAGCTGCGTTGCCGGACTGCGAACGGCTAACCATCCATCATCGCCTCCCTCCGTCCAAAACGCATTGAGCAGACAATAAAATAATTCGTGCACATCGCCGCTGATTCGCCGCTGGAGTTTCCCTTGCAACTTGTCTATTATCGGCGAGCATTCGGTCATTGCTCACCTGCGCAACGAGAATCCCCCTAATGAAATCGGCATCTCCTTTGGCGGAGATATCGTGGAATGCTGAATGAATCCGCCCAAACTCCGAGGTAGGTGACACTGACACTCTCGCTCTGAGTTGGAAGAGACACAGCGCACAGGACCTACCGTAGACAGTCGAAGCTTTTGATGACAGGAAAAAGGGCAGCGGTGCATTCTGGCTTCGTCTCACGATATCGCACTGTCTCTTTCTCTATTTGCCTAGGAATTTACAGGGTATGCTTAAACAAAGCAAGGTGGACTGCACAGCGCGGCGGAAGAGAACATTTGGACACCAACTGACCCGTCGCCTCCCATTGTCACAATGCCAACGGCATTCTCTCGGTGCGCATTTAGCTTTGCGTTCGCCAGGAGACTTGTTGCATCAAGCTGTGCCGCCAGGCGCGTTGGATGCAGATCAGCATCGCGGGCGAACGCACTGCTGTCTACGCAAACTACACACGCCTCCAGGCTCATAGTGCATAAAGAAGCAGCGTGACAAAACTAGCCAAACGGCAGCAGATTCGCTAGACTAGAGCGAGAGATCTGTCAGGATGCAGCTTCCTTTACGATGAATAGGCCCCTGCGCAAATTGATGGGAGCGGAGTGGTATCCGAATACCTACGCAGCGGCGCAGGGCATGCACGGCTGCAGGGTAGGGGGCCGTGCTGTTGTTGCGACTGGCCAGTTGATCGCTCGCACGGTGTTGTAACGACGTGGTGTGGCTCTTCACAGGTAAAACAGCTTCACAAAGCCATGAATCTCTCAGTGTGCGAAAAAGACGGGGCTGGGCCGAAGACGCAAGGGAGGCAGCAGGATGTGCATGGAATGGCCTACATACGATGCATGGGCAGTTTTTACGAAGCATGTGTTTGAATTCACAAGAAAGGGCAATTGAATGCTTGGGAACTGTGTATTCAGCAATGCATCAGTGCTTGGGGAGAAGGGCCGCCGGGGCAGCCGCTGTCATGCAGTGGCTGCTATCTGACGCAGCAGGCAAGCAGTGGAGTGCTGTCCTCCCTTGTACCAATCTGCATGGATAAAGCCACCGGCTTAACTGCTGTCTTACGCGCAAGTAACTTGTGGGATGAAGCCAGCAGCAGTTTGGAGAGCCAAATACAATCAATGCGACGCGCTTCGTGCTCCTGCTTCTATAGGGCTACACAGCATATCTAAACCCAGAATAAAGCCTCAACTTTTATTCAGGATCACTAATCCATTGATTTGATTATTTGTGAAAATGTGGAGAATGATATTACCCATAGATGTGTAGTACGAGGAGGATGCGAATCCCATATACACCGCGGGTCTTGGAGGGGTCAGCCCGGCAGCATCTGCAGCGGGCATAAAGCAGTGCAGCTGGCTCAGTTGCCGCTTTTATCTGCTTTCTCGTTTATTCCTCCCGTTTCAACACCTAAGTAGTATTCTTTTTGAAACCCAAGTTGAAAACACAACACTGAATGCGCGTCAACAGCGCTCTTTGTGCGTCCATCACCCCTCCCCACGTCGCGTACTCTTCCTTCTAAGGGCGCAGACTCATTCCCTGTATTCCCCTATTGATACATATCTAGAGTTGTTCAGAGCTTTGTCCTCTCTTCCCAGACGCATCGATTCGCTTTCGAAACGGCAACGTTGGGCCCAACAGGGGGCAGTGAATTACAGAAGCGATGTGTCATCGCCTTCCCCGCGTCCGCCTTGCGCTACTGCAGTTTTGCCGTCGTCTTCGCATTTAATTTGCTCTTGGCTTGATGATCAGCTTGCTTATGTGTTTTTGAAATCAGCGGACGCGGAAATCTCGCAGCTGCTGACAAGCTTGAAAGGCAGACGGTGGCGGCCCTTCTGTCCTCCGCACATTTACTTTTTGTACAGAGCCCGATCGTCTAAGACCTTTTTACCGCGTTGAAACACTGTTTCTTTGCTTTTTCCTTGGAGCCAGGGTCAGTACAGTTCTCTGGTAGTCAAGCTGCGTTTGCAGGGTCAAACTATCAACCTGGGCTGCTTTAGAAGACCTGCTCCTCAAGCGTGCACCGCACAGTCCTTGCATAGACAGCAGTCATTTCGTATTTGCCTTACATACCGATACAGCGGCGTCGAACGGCGGAGTTCAGGAGAAGGGTGAAAAGGTGTGCCTGCGACCTCCCCTTGAGCACATGCGCAGACCAGCACGGCAGGCACGCCCTTCTCTCAAGAGCTGTGCTTTTATGCTCATCTGTTTTCCTGACCCGTAATGGCGTCTTATTCAGCCTCTGGATCGACGCTTGGATAGGCACAATCTGCGAAAGTTGTTCAGGGATCTGTTCTTGCTCGGCAAAGCAGTTGTGCGGTCGGTACCATAGAGGCTTTTTAAAGTTTGAACAGGGAACTTACTAGCACCTCTCCGGCCGCCGCGATCTAGCGTCGCTTTGGATACAGAATCTGAGTTGAGTCAGGGGTTGCATCACGTGCTTTGGTTAGAGAGACCTACAGCTCCTTTCTGGCCGTCTTTATGAAGTTGTAACTCAGCAGCATGTCGCTGACTGCCGACCAGTACCCTCAGAAACCACCACAGCGCAAATCGCTTTTCCGCAGCAGCTTGCTGTCTTTCTTGTCTCAATCATCGGGAGAACGGTCTCCGCCTGTGGCACCGCCCGCATCGGAGGAAAGCAGTTTCATGCTTCCCGCCAAACGATCTCTAGTGAATTTTGGATGGATTTCAGCTTCGGCTTCCACCATATCGCAGCCCGCCATGCAGACTGCGGCCTACTCAGCACCGTATCCGAGCAGCAGCCAGTGCTCGCTCAGTCACGGCAACAGCACCTCGGGAGGTCAGCGTATAAAGGGCTCGCTTGGCCGGGTTTGGGGAAAGCTGAGCAGCATGCAGCTCATGAACAGTTGCCGGATCGACAGCCTCGTTTCTGGAAGTACCCGACCGTCTGTAGCCGATGAAGCGGCCGCTAGCGAGGCTGCGGAAGAAGTTGAAAACTCTCAAAATGAGATCATACAGCTTGTGAGGAAGGATTTACATGGACGAGATCTGAAGATCGAGGACTTCGTCTTCTTCGGAACCGTGGGAACCGGCTCATTTGGGCGCGTCTGTATCGTGGATATCAAGGGGTCTCAAAGCTGGTATCCGGCAATGGCACTCAAGATTCTCAGTAAACACAAGGTTGTCACCATGAAACAAGTGGAGCATGTAAAGGATGAGAGGCGGATCTTGTCTCAGATCAGCCATCCATTCATCGTGAATCTGCTTGTAAGTTCAATGCCTACTTCGCTTACTTCAGTTTCCCTGCAAGGGCACACACACACACACACACACACACACACGCGCACACACACACACACACTTCACTGGATACCGTTTTCATGCCCTCTGCTCATTGAGTGCGTCCCTTGAATCTGCTTACTCTCTTGTCTTCGCAGGCATCGTTTCAAGATGAGAAGCGTCTGTTTTTGCTAATGGAGTATGTGAACGGGGGCGAGCTGTTCAGCTACCTGAGGAAACAGACCTTCATGCCGACAGACCAGGCGCGGTTATACGCCGCGGAGATAACGCTGGCTTTCCAGTATCTGCATGAACGGAGCATTGTGTACAGAGACTTGAAACCCGAGAATCTTTTGATTGATGCCCAGGGGCACATCAAGATCACGGATTTTGGGTTTGCCAAGGTTGTTACTGGCAGGACGTGGACCCTTTGTGGCACACATGAGTACTTGGCGCCTGAATCCATCACGCGGCGCGGTCATGGGCTGCAGGTTGATTGGTGGGCTCTCGGAATTCTACTCTTTGAAATGCTGGCGGGGCGCCCGCCTTTTGTCGATGACACTCCATTGGGCATCTACAAGAAAATCATTGCTGGCAAGATCGAGTTTCCTCCGCTGTTCGACTGTGCGGCGAAGTCGTTGGTGAAGCGTCTTTTAATCCATGAGCCAAATAAGAGATATGGGTGTCTGCGAGACGGTGCCGAAGACGTAAAGAATCACAAATTTTTTAGAGGCATCGACTGGAACTTGTGTTACCAGAGGAAAATTCGTCCGCTCTACAAGCCGAACATCCGGGGCCCGCGCGACAGTAGCATGTTCGACACATATGCGGAATCAACAGAGTCTTCTGCTCCTGTCATTGACGCCGCTACGCAACAGGCGCTGTTTCATAACTTTTGATTGGTTGTACCCTTCTCGACAGCTTTCGGGACGGTGCTGGAGGCGTATCACTCAATGCGGTATCGGCAATTTTTTGCCTATTATGTTTAGGGAATCCTGATTTTTTTGTAGTTTGACGAAACAGGAGCCCTGTCTGTATTGGATTGGTACGAGCTTCTGTTGCAGCGCTGCACAGGGGGAGCAGACCGATAACTATTTTAAACAGTGACCACGGGTCACCTGCTGGGTGCAGTTTTACTCATGCGTTGCTCTGTGTATCACAGAGGGATTCTGTGGAACACTGCAGAGCACCGTTGCTGTTTGCACGCTCGACTCACGGTGGAGCCGAGTTGCAATTTAGTGGTGGTGCGGGAATCTCGGCAAACTTTCATTAAATACATTTCGTAGTCCTAGGTAGTCCCACCTATGAGTGGCAGCATAAGATCGACTGTTTGTACATGCGTAGACGACCGGCTCTGCGTTATGGCCGGCTGGTTGCACGCTTTCTTTATGCGTTCCGTTTCATGGTTCTGCGGTTGGTTGCACATTCCTCCGGATTAGGGTAACTAATATGCTGCAGTTGCTTACTGTAGATGCGCTGGCTGCTAATGCCATAGAACGTTTCCCAGGACGCCGTGTTATGCGACCCTGGTGGCGTGCGGAGTAGGTCGGTGTGCACACTGCTACAGACAATCATGGCAGTCGTACGAGTAGTATTCCGAAGTGTGGTCGCCACGGCTGAGTGGCTGGCGGTGGCGTTTCTGCTTGTTCGGGGCCTGTGCCCTCTGGGGGAGCGGTTGTTACGGACGTGGTATCGCCCGGTTGAGCGCTGTTTCGCTCGTGCTTTGCATATGGTTCATCGGCTGTTTTCAGCACACCAACGTCCTCAATGTTTTCCTCCTGCAAATCGTGCAACTGGCGTACAGCTCCAACTCGCAGGCGTGCATCCTTCTTACTGAGTGATCACCCGCTGCACTGGACTGCCGAGTTGAGGGTATGCAAAAGGCCTCCCTACTGTGGGCCTGTGACCAAAAAGCAGTCTATCTACCTCACGGCTCTCTTTGATGTCTCACTTACGGCCGCATCTTTGCGCCATTGGGCGAGCTCTTGTTGCCTTCAGTGGTGAGTTCATTCACCATGAATATTCTGTGCCCGTCTTGGTTATCGCTCTATAGCTCACCTACAAAGTTCGCGGTCGATGTCTCCTTGGACAGATTCGTACTCTCTCTGCATTTCAAGGGTTGTTTGCCGTATTTCAAGTATCGCCGCTTGCAAAAGAAGTGCACGGGATAGTAGAGAATCGGTGGAGCGGCTAGTTTCCGCGATCTCTGCGTGATGCTCTCCATGAAAGTCCGAGTGAAGCTGGTTAGTTGGCTCGAATAGCTAACCCTTTCTCAGTTTTTGTGCCTCTTCTACCCGTTGGGTAAAAGATTCTATATCTTCCGCTGTTTTGTACACTTCTGTCAGCTTGTTTTCCACCTGAGCAAACTTTTCGAGCGCGCAGATAGCAGCTCGAGTGGCTGCCAGATCTCTCAAAACACCTCTAGCCACGTCCACAGCTTGGAATCGCGTTTCGCAGTCATCAACAAATGGCCCTTCGGGCAAAGTCTCCACCGCGACTGGGTCCTCCATATTCACAGAACTCCGCATGCGACAGCCTTGTCGCCTGATTGGCAAATTCGACAAGGAACTACATGTCAGTGCTTCATGAGTGACCAGAAAGCGCAGTGCGTACTCCCCAAACGATCACAATGCTGTAGTTGCTCAGTTGACCAAATAAAGAGTTCAATGCTGGCTGCTTGCCATCCAGATCATGCCGGGTGTACAAACATCTCGACTTGCTTACCCATCGCCCCTTCCCAAGACCGCCGATACCTGCATTTTACTGAAGCGACTCTTGACAGCGCAAGTCAATGTCCCCTAGTAATAATACCTTTATGCAAATAGAACGCTGCCACCGGTCTATAAGCATCCTGTGCACTTTGTTGGTCCACTTGCACCCATTGACACCGATAACCAACAAACATCCCAGTACTGTGGTCTGCTACGCCCTGCACTTGTCGTACTGCAAAGTATAGATCCTATACTCCCTACATTGGACTCCAATCTATTGTCATCTACTTCAACTACGCAAGGCCCCATTAACCTTTCCAGGTCACTGTAACGTCGCCAACCGACCAGGCGTTTCTGTAGCGGCATGGAAGCCGCGCTAATGCAAGCTACCGCAGCAATTCGCCGCGACAAAAACGTCCGAGACGCGCTTTCACGTATGCCCGCACGTGACTTGGAGAGCCACTCGTGAAAGCGCACGACACCGAGGAGATAATATGCATCACAAAGGACGCAGTGCGCATAATGGGCGCTTATGACCTCGGCTTTTCCTTCTTTTCCTTGAAAAGAGCAATCAAAGACACTCCAGAAACCTTCACAATCTTGAAACGGACACCGGGAATATCACCAACGGCGTGGCCAGAACGCCCGAACCCAGCGACCAAAACTTCGTCATTTTCATCAACGTAGTTCAGGCAACCGTCGCCCGGCACGAAAGCCGTAATCCTCTTGCCATTCTTGATGAGTTGGACGCGCACGCACTTTCGAATGGCGGAGTTGGGCTGTGCGGGAAGTAGACACAGATGACCGGATTGTACACCATATGAGTAGAATGAAACAGCCTCACAAACTGTGTCACTAGGCGAACAATCCGATAGCCATTCACTCTTAGCATATCTCAAACACATACCTGCTTCGCTTCAATGCCAAGCTTCTCGACAACAATGCCCTTAGCGTGCGAGCTGCCTCCGAAGGGATTGGCCTTCCACCTAGTGCCAAGGTGCGCCTTCTTGTACTGCTTGTCCGCCCATTTCTGGACGCGCCTGCGATTGCGCAGTTTGCGCGCCGTGCGCATACCACGAGGCTTGCCTGAACAAACAAGTACGAGCAGCAGCACATGAAACGAGTGAAAGTCGGCCTTTTACAAGCCACAAGATGTGGGTACCTCACGGCCCCAAAAGCCCGGAGACACAAAACGCCGCGCTCTAGGCAACAATACGCATCACTTCGAGCGCGAGCGACCGTAGACGGCTGCATGACGAATATCATATCTTTGGGAGCCCACCGCACGCGCATGCAGGCAGGAGAGCTACGCTTCGGAAGGCATGGAACGGCTGCCTGCCAGTCTCACGCCACCGAAGGCCCCAAAATACAAAGCATGTGTCACACGAGCCTTGAAGAAGCCCAGATGCCGCAGCCCCCATGCACAAGTGCGCTAATGAACACCAATATATCCTTCACTCCTCCGCTTGCATGCACTCAGACGGCCAAGGGGCCTGAACTGGATAGTTAACGGTCGCAAAACGGGAGCAGCGGCAAACTAAATGTGCTCTGTCATAGAGTAACAACAAGAGCAAACTGTGAAGTGCAGAGGCAGCTTCCCAAGAAGGCCCCAGCTGCACCGCGAGCGCCCCACTACAAAGATCCCTGCCCCACCGCTTCAAAAAGCAAGAACAAATAAGCTGAGTTACGCAAGTCTCAAATCACAATATCCGACAGATATCAAACTACGGCAGGACCAACGGCAGAAACAGGGTGGCACAGGGCATCTGATGATGAAATCTGCATGGGGTGCCTGTGGGTTCATGCAAGAGGTCGAGGGGAGTGCCGTTACTGCTTGAATTCCTTGCTGCTTACACGCTCCCATTTTGAAGGACTTCTTCGCAATGGATAAAGAAAGGCGCAGAAGAAACGGATGAGAAGACCTTCTCCCTTTGATGATCCCTATGCTGCAGCAGCAGCCGCTACCGGCAAGGCTGCTGCAGCAGCTGAGGGGCAGTGCTGTTGCTCAATCCCATGCACAAAGTATGTATGTAACTGCTCACGAGGCCACCACCCATTACAGCCACACAATATCCAGAAAATCGTCCGTTTAATGCATAATACCATACTTCTAGTCCATGTCTTTCGCCAATCTGCGAGTAGAGAATATTACTTGTTTGCTTTCCTCACCCCGAGTACACTGGTCGGCAGCCCTATTGGCTGCAGCGCAGCGGCGGCTGCGAGACACTCCAGTCAAGAGTATCAGTCGCCGGGCTACAAAAATCCTCAGCATCAGCATGCAGCGCAAAACACTATCTGTGCTTCTTATGGGCGTCTGGCAACTGTGGCTGACGGAGCGTCTCAGCTTCCCCTGCAACTGCAGACACCACTGAGGCCTGCGCAGCAAGTTAATGAACGGCTTTTTCCGTCACTTGCCTCCTTTCCCTAAATTCGCAAGCCATAGGAACTTAGAATCCCGTCGCTGCACGGACGGGAGTAGGGGCTCATTGTGTAGTGCTCCAACACTACCCCCAGAACCTCCAAAGCGCTGTAGCGGAAGAAGGCCTGCACTGCAGGCAGTATCGGATTCACGATGCAGCTCCACGTACAAGCTGTAGCAGCAGTCGCTGCTGCAGCTTTCTGCTACTTTTCCACTGCAGACTGGCACGCCCTGGCAGCCCAGCCATCGCACCAGGTGATTACCCCGGGGAGCACCATCAGCAATGCGAGGCAGCTCGATCGGCACTCTAAACGACTGCATCATCCTTGTCCTCTTTCTCTTTGTAATTTTAACCGAAAGAGCTAAAACTGTGTCTGCTGCGCGCATGCATGCGTGGTAATCTGCAGCTCCCTCAAACAGGGCCCACGTGATGTTTCTGCGAACCTCTGTATTGCGATCTGCTGCTGCAGCCTTCCTCTGCCGAATACATCCCATCAGACCCTGCAGTCGGGAGCGCGGCACCATCACCCCCGCAGCAGCAGCAGCAGCAGTATACCCCAAGCCCCCCCCCCCCACAGCAGCAGCAGCAGCAGCAGCAGCAGCCAACTGGCGGCTACGCTGTACCCCAAACTCCCCAGGGAAATCAGTACGGCTACTCTCAGGACGCCCAGCAGCAGCAACAGCCGCCACCACCACCCCCGCAACAGCAGGCCGCCTACTATGCAGCAGACCAGCGATATTCGCAACAGCAGCAACAGCAGCAGCAGCCTCCCAGCTACCAGCAGTCCCCCCCTACCTACCAACAGCAAGGCTACCAGGCACCTCCAGCATACCAGCAGCAGCAGCAGCCCTCGCCACCCTCCTATCAACCTCCCCCTTCCTCCCAGCAGTATGCGCAGCCGCCACCATCACCACAGGTGCCGCAGCAGCAGCAGCAACAGCAACAGCGGCAGCCTCCTCCACCCCAACAACAGCAGTATTACCAGCCACCTCCCCCGCCTCCGCAACAGCAGCAGCAACAGTATCAGCCCCCTGCACCACAGCAGCACGGTGCTAGAGCGCAGCAGCAGCAACAGGTCGGACAGCAGCAACAACAGCAGCCGAGCAGGGTAAGCGAGCAACAAGGAAAAAGACAGCAGCCCACGCAGGAGCGCCAGCAGCCTACAAGGGCAGAGCCATATCAGGATGAAACATCCAAGAAGAAGGACAGGCGGCAAAAAGAGAAGAAACAGAAGCAGCCGCGAGAGCCACAAGACCCCATTCCTTATGCCGACCCAGCGCTAAGCTCTAACGTCGACATGGCGCCTGAGTATCAGCCGAGACGCCAGGAAGAAGGAACGGTTAGATCTAGCTTTTCTCGTAATACTAAACAGTTGTGTTTTCTTCCTCGGTTGAAATGCGCGTTCTTCTGCTCATGTATGGGCTGCTGCCCGCAACGTCGGCAGCCGATGGCTGTTCTGGAGCAAGACTTCCCGCATACTCTTGCACACCTACTTCTGCGTGCCTCATAATTCTGCAAGCTATTATTCTGCTCCATTTTCTCGACCTCTGTATAAGCCTCCGAGAGCTGGCGCGTCTCTCCATTTTCGTACGCATTCTCCTTTTCTTTCAAATCGCGCGATTCGCTGCCTCGCTCGCTGTGGCAGGTGTCGGAGGCGGACCAACAGACGACCACGCTCATGGAGGAGTGGGAGAAGCACATGCAAAACTTTATCCCCGAGATGCTCGTACGTTGTTGATGGCCCCTTTCGTTGTTAATATTGCGTCAGCTTCGCCTATGTCTTTCGCGGCATGCGAGTTAGCCTCCCGCGCTATACGCTGCACGGGGTGGCAAGGGAGCAGGGGAAATAGCGGAGTTGCGCCGCTTGTATGCATCGGCTTAGAGCGCATGCCGAAGTTGTGCTGTGTATTCTGCCTTTTATGGTCCGCCGCCCCCCGTGGCTTTTTCTCTGATACACCCCAGGTCACTTTTTCCCTGCCGGCTCGATCTGACGAGTACTTTTACGAGACGATTGAAACAGAGGGCGTTTTTCTACGGGGTGGCTTTTTCGTCGGCGGCGAAGAGGGCGACAGCGCTGTGGAATTCTCCATTACAGACCCAGATGGTAGGGCTATGGGGGGAAGGTGGTACAGAAGGGATTTGGTTAATGGCGGAAGTATTTGGATGCATATGTATATACATATATATGTATGTATGTATATACATGCATGTATTGTGCACAAAGTCATCGTTTGCGGAGTTTAGCTTCTTACTGTGGGGCAGCCCCCCTCTGTTGACTTGTAGCTCTTTTCCCTTGCTGCGACAAAGCGCCGCATTGCAGCAAGGTCAAAAGGGCTGTTGATATAGCGGGGTGTGTTTCCTTAAAACCTTCCGGAGGTCTTGAAGGTCGGCGATTTAGTGGCGGCACTGCCTCTGTCGTGCGAAATTCATGGCTTGCGTATGCTGGCGTCCGATTTTGATTGTGCCTTTTCATCGGCTTGTGCCTTTGCGTCTAGGCGATCTGATCTACAAGAAGAACAAATCCGAGGGCCTGTTTTATTTCACTGCCAAGAAGAAGGGAACGTATTCCTTCATCCTTTCGAATCACAGGTTTGTGCAGTCTGCATGCACCGCAGCCCGTGGTGCCCCCCGTTCCTGTTTTGACGCCGCCTCTCCATACACGTATACCTCTATGTACAGTTTTGATTCTCGAAGTACTCATGTCAAGGGGAGCTCTGCATGCCACCATGATGAAATCTATTTTGTGGTCAAGGCGTGCGTGAAGGAGCTGCGGTTGCTGTTTTCATCCTTTTTGTGCGCTTTCCCCTTTTTCTGTGCGCTCTTCTGTCAACTTTCTTGTCTGACTCTACCAACGTCTCCCCGTTCGCTCTCCCTCACGGCTTCCTGCACTGTGCGCAACAGATTTGTGTTGTTTCCCTGGCGTCCTATGTTTTCCCACTTCTTTGAGCTGACTGCATTTGGGTTCGCATTTCAGGTGGATGGAATCAAAGACTGTTACCTTTGCCATCGGCCGCGGAGTTGAAACAGCACTGCTGCCGAAGCACCTGAGCAACGCTGAAGAAATGGTGGCACAACTGGAAAGGCAGCTCAGAGACATTCAAGTGTGTCGAAGGACCCTCGTTGTGCATGCACTTCAACTGCGCGGCTGCACACTTTGTCGAACATGCTAGACCTCAGGCCGCCACTTCAGGATGCATATTCTGTTCGCGTGGATTGGGCTACGCGCAGATGAGCAAATGTTTTTGTTAGACGCTCCAAGCTGTGTCTAAGCGATCATAGTGCCCCTTCGTTTCGGCGCATGCTGGTGAAGGGTGTTGGGGCTTCTTTTGCATGCCCTGTCAACAAATCTTGGTGTCAGTGCCGGAGATGTCATTTCGCGCTTTCGGGCGTCTATGCCTGTTTGTTCATGGCCTTGGTCCGAGGTTTCCGGGTCCGTTTATTGTGTGGCTTTTTTGGTACGCTTGTCGCGTTCTCTCTTTTTGTTTCAGGCAGAGTCCTCGTACTTGTGGATTCGTCAACGGTCTCTGAACGACGCGGCTCAAGGTTTCTTGCAGCGCCTGTCCTGGCTATCGGGAATCGAGTTTCTCATGCTTGTCGCAACGGCAGCGTTTCATGCACGGTACATAGTCGGCCTGGTCTCCGACAAGCGCATTCTTTAATGGCTTACCACAGGCAAGCAAATGCAAGGGCCTTCAGATGGAAGAAAATGCGATGGAGCACTGGGTTTTTAGCCGACTCTACAGAGCCGGATGAGCTGCCCTTTGCCACTTCCTCCGATCTAAAGAAAATATCACCTGCGACCATCGTTGCTGCTCATCAGTGGGTCGCGCCGTTCATGAGAAGGCGAATATCAAAAAGGCCTCAATCAGCCAACAGCAGATCTACTGAGCGTAGCTCTATAGCCCTTGGTTGCACACAAGGGCTACGGAGGGTAGGTGGAAGCTTGCAGCGTAACGCAATCGCGGATTGCGTCAGTCTTTTAAGCTACGCAGATGTTCAGACCTTTAGTTTTCGGCCCTTGCAACGGCTGTCTTATGTTTTGGTGTCTACCACTTTCCGCTGGCGGCGCCCTTTCACATGTGCACAAAATATTTCTTTATTGAATGGGATGAAGTGAAGTTCTCTTGTTTTAGAAAGAGCGAAAAACGAGCTGCGCTGCACAATGTCGCACTCAATGCAATGCAATTATAGCGGCACACCCGTGCGGCGGCACTCCGCAGTTGTAGTTGACATTGGGTGTAGTGGCAGCTACAGGGAGAAGCGTAGTGAAATCTTCAAGCTGGAAGACGGACAAGGTATGATGCCAACAAGCTACTGTAGGTCGTCCTGCCCGACAGTATTTGTGCAAAAAAACAGGAAAATAGCAGGTGGCACTGCGGGCTGCCAGATGGCACATTGATATATGCAGGCTCCGAGCTGCTACAGCCGGTACAGTGGGGCGGCTTTTCGGTCTCTAAAAGGGTTTTTCGACGGTTGCCTGAAAGCTATTTTCCTGCTATACAACTCTACCTGAGGGCCGCGGCACATATACGCGACCCTCCGGATATGTTGCAATACAAATCCCACGGCAACGCCCCCTCCCTCGATTGTGAACATAAGAAAATGGCCGGTGCATGTGCTGAGGAGCCCTAGAGCTCGTTGCTATGGGCTCGGACGGTTCCCTTGAGGCCCCAACCGCCTGGCTGATACTTGGCAGCAAGCAGTCCTCCTTCGTTCAGCATCGCAGCACCACCCCGTAATAGTTCAGGAGAATGCCCTAATAGACTTTGCCTGACGGAGCTCTAGCGGCGCAGCCCACGAAGAGGCCGCTGGATTGGCCTATGCCTCTAAAACGCCTTTCGCTTCAGACACGAAATGCCGTGCAAATGTGCACGTACGCTTCACGTGCCTCTAGGCCTCTCTTATCTAATGCTGGCTTTGATGCAGCAAGAAATCCTTCTTCAGAGCCTTCCGAGCGGCCTCCAAATCTGCTGCGACACTGCGCCTTCTCTCCGCACTAGGATACCTGAGGCGCTTTGTGGTGAAGAGACTCTCCAGGCACCTCGTCAGAAAGCGTTTGAGTCTCTGCTGCTCGGCCGACCCCTCCAGTGTTTGGCGGGAGTGCGGCAGGTATACGTTTGGCATGTCTGGGGGCGAAATGAATCGCTTCAAATAGTACGCGTCGCCTACGGGGCTGACGTGGACACGGGGGGCTCCACGGCCGTTCAGAACCTTTGTGTACGAATCTGCATATGAGGCGACCGCCAGCGAAACATCCGCGCAAGCACTGGTCAGAGGGAAGGGGTTCTCATGCGCACGCGGGCCCTCTGCTTTAGAACAGACAGATGTGGACAGGTCCGAGATGAGCTGCACATCGCGTGCTACCGCTCGCAGGTCTCCCTGCCCTTGTGAGAAGGAGTAGAGGTGGTAGATGAAGGCCTGCAGGAAAAAGCGGATTTGCGAGAGGAGGGGAGGAGCGTTCACGAGGACGAGGGCCTCGAGCCTATAGGCGAAAAAGCGAAGCTCATCCGCCACCTGAGGAAGCTGGCTCCAGGCGAGGGCCGTAAGGAAAGTCTCTGCAACCCGATCAGGAGCAAACAACTGAGCCACGCTATCGCCGTCCAGATGTAGGTTTACAACAAGTAGCGCCTTCGTTGTATACAATTGCTGAGCACCAACATTGCAGCGCAGCTGAACGGCAGCAATACCTTTCAAGTGGTTACTGCAGAGGCCCTTCTTCCGTACGACGAGAGAACCCCCCTAATGCCCCTCGCTTCCCCACTGTCCCCCCGCCTCCCTCCGCGCTCGAAAAGCAGCCCAAAATACCAGCATTTGGATAAATGCCCATGAGGCTGCGCACCGCTAAGGCGATGGAGAGCTGCAGGTTAGCTGCACGAAGGACGCGGGTCCATTCCTCAGGAGTCAGCAGCCTTCTTCCGAGACGAACGACTTCTCTGCCTAGAACATCCACGCTATATATATCCTCTTGCCGTCCGACGGATTGCGTATACACCGCAGCGGCCCCGCTAATGGCGTATGAGACAAAGTGCAACGAAGCCGAGACGTTCGCCACTGCCAAGTCCCCGTAAAAGCTATTAAGCGCAGACTCCACGTTAGCCTCGTAAGAGGACAACTCGGGTAAATTCGCCTCATGCGTCGGTATTTCAAGAAGACAGCTAGCTGTGAAGCCACAAGAAACGCAATGGTATAGCAGCCCTTCGTCTCAAACTGTCCTTGGTCCCACGAACCACCAGTGCCACGCTGTGCGAACTAGGGCCGCCGGACTTGCAGGAGGGATTTAGAGACTATAATTTTACACAGACAGAGAAGTGTGTCGAAACTCAAGCCTCAGCAGCACTCCTGCTTCCCGAGCAAACAATCAGAGGACGAAACCCTCGTTCTCTGTCTAGAAAAGGAACAAGAGGGTCGGCGTGGCACGCCTTTTGCATCTAGCTTACACCACAAGTCGTTAGCTGCACTGATCTTCTCAGAGGCCACTAAAGCGCTTGCCGCGAGGAGTTGCAGCGAAAGGACGACTGCCTGGCAGGTGACCTTCATTGCCTCTCAGCAGGTAGGCGGGACCTGACGGCCACGGAATTCCTTTTGGTGCGTCGCTTTGGCAGACTCTTGCGGATCGGCGTGCCCGTTGCACGCTCTTTCAGTGCCAATACACCAGAAGAGGGGGGCTGTGCAGCTGCTACAGGGTGTTGACTTCTTTCTAAGAGGGCGAGCGACACATTTAGCCGTAGAAACTGCACCACCCTTGTCGATTTGTTCCTGTCGTCTCCAAGGGTTTGCTGGCGGAAAACAGAACGCGACTGCGGGCCCTAAGCAGGAAAATCGGGGTCTGTAGGTGCGCAGCGCCTCCTTTGGGGTTTAAGGAGCCATTCATCAGGAGGGGTGGCGCTGCAAAGAGGATTACAAGAGATACTTGGGGAAGACTGCGCTTTCTTTTTAGAGAGGGTAGGGGAAAGGAGAGGAGGAGTTGGTGAGAGACCCTCCATGAATGGACAGGGGGTCGTCGGTGTAGGGCACATCGGCTTGCTGGTCGCCGATGCTCCAGCGGCTCATGGTCCTTTCAGGGAAACAGGGAGGTGGGATCTGAGAGAGATTTGTTATCCTGAGTTGTTTAATTCATGGCTGTAGCGTTCGCACGCTGTTGGGCTTGTTTGCGTCGAGCGCTTCCATACGACTTCACCGTTCCGGTGTGCGTCCGGGCCTCTCTCTCGCTGCTTAGTCCCTTCATCTTCTGATCGCCCCTCCACCTACGGTGTCTTCTGCTATTTGTTTCGACCAAAGCCTCTGATCTGAGCGCTGATGATCTGGGTGACGGAAGCCGCTGCATTCTTTTCTGTTTCCGCCACTGTTGGGGGTCCTCGGGAACTGTTGGCCACCCCCTTTCCCCTCCCCCCCTCCCGTTGCTCCCAGTGTCCAATGAAGTTGCATCGCACTACAAGCCCCCAAGAAGCACTTGTTCTTTAAATTTGCTGTAGGCGGCCACTGGCTGTGTCGAGGATTGTGCGCGTGTGCGCTTCCCACAGGGAGCTTCGCCTCCCTCTTCACCGCAGCCGTTCTCCTGCAGCCCTCTGCGACCTTCCTTTTGGCCCTTTCCGAAGCCACGGAGACGCAAGGGAAGGCTGAGAGAGCAAGATTCGCTTTGGCTCGCACGCAGCATAGCCCATTTCAACATAGCGACCACCCAGCGCAGGCGCCCTACGTGCGCTGCCACGCGCTCCCCTGGAGGCCCATTCCCTTGTATTGGGAAGGAAACGTGGCAGAAGCTCGCTGTCGCTCTCTATCCGAAACAACCATTTCCTAAAGGGAAGGCTGCTTCCGCCCCTTAATCTAGGTAGACATGACGGCTCCCCCGTTAAGGGCCCGCATTCTCATGGGGGCGGCTCTCACTGCACCGTCCCACAGGCTGAGGCCGCTCCATGCGCATCGGGAGTATATCAGGCGTCCACTGAGTCCAGCGACTCCTGAGCTCCAGCACCCGCGCTGCTTGCATCAGGCGACTTTCCTCATGGGAAGAGCCTCAGGCATCTGGGGGAGCGCTGGCAGTCGCCAGCCGCAGCAGCGGCAATTCCACGGAGGAGAGCTGCCCACCCCGATCTCGAGGGGCCAAAGGCTACGGCCTCAGAAAGACTGCTTCATTCCCACGCTGCGAGAAGGTAAGGAGAAACGGGAGCTCGGAGGCGCCCTTCACAAAACCAAGCATCCCTCCTAGTACCTGCCAAAGCGCAAGGGAGCGGACGCAATCCGCCTGGGATATACCTTTAGTCTACCTTACCCCATCAAAAGGTTGTAATAGGACTCTTGTACTCAACTAGCGCAGCACAGAACAGACTCCCCGCCTGTGGGAGCCCTCGAGCCCACAAAGACTTGCTCAAAGGCTGCCGCATGTACCCTCCCCCATGTCACTTTTGTTCTCTGATTACCGAGGCTGCCAACACCCTGAGGTTCGAATACAGCGCACTGCAAGGCACCTTCTTCGCAGGCAATGCGCTGTACGCGGGCTCCCACCACGCTCTTACACCCTTAACTGATGTATTTTTCGCGGAAGGGGGAGTCCTGAACGCAGGCCCATAAAACCCCTAGAATTCTATTTCCCCAAACAATGCGCAGGCGTCACATTCTTGTCATTCGCGCTTGCGTTCTGTCCTTGTCTAGGAGCGTTCGCAGTGATGCCCGCGCAAATAGTCCCTGACAGCATCAGGCGACCAGCGTACGCAGATGCAGCCGATGGGCGGCCGTTGCCACCTGGGGAAGGGGCCTCTCCAGTGCTGTCCAATGTTGACTCCGACCCCGAAGAGTGGGCTATAGACCCTGAAGGGGAAGTGCAGACACCTGAGGCCCTGCTGAAGATGAAGCGGGTTTGCAAGGTTGCAGCCACTGCGCTGAAGATCGCCATGGACGCTTCCAAACCGGGTCCGATGCGAGCGCGAAGGAGCATGAAGGGGGATAAGGGCACGACACGCATAGGCCGAGCGTTATATGGCACGCATGGCTAGTTATAGAGGCCGAGTCAGGCCTTCAAAGGCCTCATGAGACGCCTTTCTATGAAGGTCCCCTTCATGAAGGGCCTCCCATTTTTTTCTGGTGTGCCTTCTTCCCCCACGCGCGGCAATAGGGACACCTTACGCGATTACTTGGCGTCTCTTTCGGTTGCGTGCCCTATTGTTGAATCAGGCGTCACTACCGAGGAGATCGATGCAGCAGTGCACCGCTACTTGGTGTCGCAGGGGGCATATCCAGCCGCCATCAACTTCTTCGGCTTTCCTAAGGCAGTTTGCGCCTCGGTGAACGAAGGTATTGATACTGAAAGCAGCTCGCTTCTTGATTCTTCTTCGCCTGCCTGTGTCCCCGTGTTTCAAACGGTGTGTATGTGTGCGTGTATGTGTGTGTTGTGTCGCCTTCGCCTTCACCTTGCGTCTGGTCGTGCCCCGTTGCCGCTGCTCAGTACTGCATCTTCAGTTGCCTCTTCCTCTGTCTTCTCTTGTGCTCTTTCTTTCTTGCTGTCGTTGGCGTCAGCAGTCCGCGCTTTCCAGTAGCGTGTCTGGGCCTCCGGTTGTCTTGCGTCTGCCTCTCTCAGTGGCCTGCCACGGCATCCCAGATCTGCGACCCCTGCAGGAGGGCGATATCGTCTCTTATGATTGCACCGCGTACCTCGGCGGCTTCTTTGGTGAGTTTCTCGCCCTGCGCCTGCTCGCCGTGGCACTTAGGCCCCTGGCTCAGCCGCATTTTCCCCCTTATCCAGCATCAGGGGTTTTAAGCGCACTCGAACAGAGAAAGAGAGGCACTGCAGATACGGCGGAATCTGAGGCGCCGTCTTCGTGTCGTAGTGCGACGTGTATAGGCTTTCGCGATTTGCAAAGCTGCAGAGGAAGCAGTGGACAGGGGGCCCTCCTTTCTTCCTTACGGACTGCTGGGCCCGATAAGGGACCCGTTCACTTTGTCACATTTCCTCTCCTCATGCAAATTGCTTTCGCTGCAGGAGACTGCGCAGGGACAGTTGCACTGGTGCCCGTTGCTAAACACCACCAGGAACTTATCGCTGCAGCAAAGGCAAGGACATGTCAACCGCTCTCTTGCCTTTCTCCGTCTTAACGGGACGGAAGGCATGCTTAACCACTTTGCTCCCACACCCCGCGTCACCCAAAGACGCCCCTTCGTGTGCTCTTTGGTCTTTTTTTAGCTCATACCGCTGTTGGCCTGGGCCTCTTGAATGACGCATAGCTGGGTGGCTTAGCATAGGCCCTCCAGAGGAGGGCCTCAGGGGTCGCAATGCGCTTGCTGTTGGTGCTGCACAACCCTGCCACGCTGTGAACGGGCATTGCTTTTGTGCTGCTTGCGCCCTATCTGTAGGAATGCCTAAACGTCGCCATGCGCGCCGTAAAGCCCGGCGTGCCAATAGCAACCGTCGGAGAAATAATCCAGTATGGCCCCTTCCCTCCCCTGCCGTTCCCCCTTCTGTCCCGAGAACCGGGGTGCCCCAGGGATAGGGAGCCCGTATCTCTCTAGGCCCTGCATACTTTTCACGTTTGTGCGGTGGAATTGCTCATGGAAGAGTTGCTGTAGGTGATTTCTTCTTCCTGGTGGGCGCGAGCCCGAAGAACGTTTTACGTCTGGTGTTTGAATGCCATATAGTTCTCCCTTTCGCTCTACTTGCAGCTTGTGATAACCGACCCTCGCATTCTTCCGTGTCTGCCGCTTTGTATCAGGGCCTTTGCTAAATCCGAGGGCCTTTCCGTAGTTGCGGAGTTCTGCGGGCATTTCATTGGGCGGCGGCTGCACCTGCCTCCCCTTGTCCCTCACAACTTCCGTACGCCCCACCATCGACCCCGTTCATGCCTTAAAATTTAGTTGCTGCTCCTCCTTAGCCCGCGGTGTGCCCTGGATGCAGAGGCCTCAGGCCACTTGCGCTCGCGTTTGCTGTGTGAGACCTTGTGCACCGCAGCGAACGACGCAAGAGGAGAATTTCGTGCGGGCCAGACCTTCACCATCGGTAAGCTGCTGTACTGCTTTCTTGTGGACCTCGGCGTAACAATGTTTGCTTAGTCTAGCGAATTTCTAGTCTTTTCTGCCTTCTCTCCATCGACTGTTCCATCACCCCGTCTCTCCATTTCTGCCTCTGTGTCTGTCTCCGTACATTAGCGTTTTCAATCACCCACCTGCGAAGTTGCATGGCCCTTCAGCAGCCATGCGTCTAGCACGGCTTTCCAATATCAGTTTTTTGTATGCTCGTCCAGCTCTGTCTCTTCCTCTCGGAAGTGACAAGCAGATGCAAGCAAAAAACACAGAGGCACAAACACGTAGAAGCTCCTGCACTCAACGGGCGGGGCCAATGAGGGCAGAAGGCAGCCGCTTTACCAAGTTGGTAGCACTGCAAGTACTCAGAACTGACTGACTCCCCCCTCACATCCCAACGTCAGCTGGAGAAAGTGAATGCCTTACAGCAGAGCCTTTTCCCTGCATGCCACCTTCTCTGATTCTGCAATTGCAATTTTGACCTGAGAGAACTAACTGGGTTTGGGTACAAAAGGATGTTTAAGCATTGCAGTACCAAAAGGTTAAGTTTGGTGAAAAAGCACTGTGCGGTATGAGGGCATTGTGTAATTTATCAATGTATGTCGCTGGGCAAGGCGAACTGATTGTAATTTTCATGTTTGATGCTATGCAGAGCCCATTCTAACAGAAGGCAGTGGAGATGTTCGTTGCTGGGCGGATGGATGGACTGCCGTCACACAGGACTGCGGCCGCTGCGCTCAATTTGTATGGAAGCAGGCCATCCCTATGCTTGCTCCGCGGAGCCCCTCCTCCCTCTAGTGGTTTCCTCGAACGAGTTTTGCAGAGTGCACGCCTCAGTTACCGTCTTGGCCCTCTCGGCTCCCCCTTCCGATCAGGAGCATTCCCACCACTTCTCATGGGCCCTTCCAGTGTGCACCTTTGGCATTTGCGCATGCGCAGGAACACACTTTGCTGGTAACGGATGACGGTGCAGTAGCTCTGACCGTCCCTGATGAGTGAGAGGGCGCACGACTGCTCCACCCAGGGCACTGCTACATGCGCGGCTTGCTGTGCGCAGGCATTCCTGGTCATAACGCCTTGCGCAAGTGGTGCCTTCTCTGACCCTCTATAGGCAATGGAGTGCATGTCTAGAGGCTAGGAAAAGCCAAATAGCTTCGCCCCCTACAGTGGAGGGCGTGACCCCACACTGCACCAAAAACTCTTAATGCATGCTAGCAAAAAGTAGCGAAGCTGTTGCGCAAAGCATGAGCTCACACCAACAGCAGCCCACAACACACGAAATGCTCAGGGCACTGCTACATGCGCGGCTTGCTGTGCGCGGGCACTCCTGGTCATAACGCCTCGCGCAAGTATTGGCTTGTCTCTCCCTCGGCAGGCAACGCCAGTCCGCCAAGATTGTTAATCCTTTTTCGGGTGGGGCAGATAGCCCTATTGAAGTGAATGGCGGTGTTGCATGCCATTTTGCAACTTTTGGGGGGCATAGCGAAACCAGACGCCCCACACTCTCAGAGCTGCAGTGGCATAAATTGGAACGACAATGTGATAAAACCAATGCACGCGATCCACCTGTCGGTGCACGGGCACATCCCCTCTCCCACTCTCTAGCAGCTCGCCGATAGAAAATGCAAGAACAGGCAACGTTTATACGGATACCAAGACGAGTGTTACGCTGTGCAGCGGCCATAGCGACCCAGATACATACAGCCAGAGCCTCAGCTATTGGAACAAATGCAGGTGCTCCGATATTTAGGTCCACACCAGCCACTAGTGGCAAAAGCAATCCGTGAAGGATAAGGAAGGCGCAGAACAAGTCCGTGGTAACTTGCTAAATCCTTTTCTTCTAAACCATCAAGTTTTAGCCCTGCAGTCAGCTATTTTGTTTCCATTTCAAGTCTTGGCAAAAGTAGATTCTGTTGTGGGCGGGGTATGGGAAGGGGGTGCTTTGACGTCCGGTGCCCTCACGCACTCGATTGGTTGCTGCTAATAGGTGTGCGGGGTACCAAGAAGTTTCCCTTTGCCATGGTGGACAGACGCCATTTCGCGTCGGCATGCGCTGTACTCATTTAGTTTATCACGTTTTCATCTACTGTGCAGAAGCCTCCTACAAATGGGCTCAAACGCATATAGTGCTCGTTTAACACGACAGAATCGTCTGCCTTGGCAAAACGAATCCAAGCATTCTCCACTAGGCCTTGTCTGAGCTGCAGCTTGAAAAGCCTCCGAATTCCACACACAGACAACTGGGGCCGAGAGGATTAATCAGCTGATACTTATCCTCTTCAGTTGTAGCAACAAGCAGACTCTAGTTTCTAAAAAGTCACAAATATGGCTGAGCACAGTTCATGTGGCGCTAAAACAGTCGGGGGGTGGAGGTTGCAGGGTAGTACCACCAACAGCCAGTACACCTCAAAAGTTACCGCACATACAGCCGAAAAGACATTTGCAGGTGTCGTTCTCCAACACTTCCTGCTAGTTGAATTCCGGCAGACGCACGTCCACCTGACGGCGAGGCTCTCCAACACCGCGGGTGCGTTGGTAGAACTCAATGATCATCAGCAGCCCACTTATTTCTCAGCTTTCTCCACTAGGAAGCATGCGACTAACGCCCAAGAGGGGTGTCTGCCTGGCGATCCACACGGTTCACTGCATCCTCATTAGGGTAAATCACATAAATTGAAAACTTTATGGGTGCACCCGAAGCCAACACCACGAAAAGGGGCACGACAGGTACGCAGGCTTCCAGCTGTCTGTGGTGTATAGCTCACGAAAAGGTAGCTTCAACTAAAGCATGAGCGTTTACTAGGTAAGTGCTGTTGTGTGAAGGAATTTATAGGGACAAACGAAGCTTACTGTAGCAGGTCTCCCTGCCCTTTTGCCAATTCACTATCCGCGTGCCTTTGGATCACCTTTTTGACGTAGCATTCAATTTATGGCGCTCATGGAAGTAGTGGTGCATAATCCATACATGCGGTGCCCACCCTCCACGCAGTCCTGGAAAGTGCCAAATTACTGAAAAAATTCAGGAAGCTTCCAATGTGATGTTTTATCGGGTGTCCAGAACCAGACACTCGACTGCTGGCTCGATACATAGGGAAACAATCGACACCCCACTCTATGCAACCTCAATAGAAAATTACTTAGGAATCCTTAGACGAACCCCCTTCCCCCTCTGCCCAAGACCCTCAGAGTTCCGATATAAGAGAGAGGAACAACTGCGTGTGTGTGTGTGTGTGTGTGTGTTTGTGTGTGTGTAGCTGCACCCGCTAAGCACCAGGAGCATTCGCAACTAGTTGCAGGTTGCATCTAACGCAGTCGCACACAACAATTCGTCTTCTTGTATTGAGCCACCCGTCTCCAATAAATAACATAAATTGAGCGACAAACGAAGAAGTCAATTTCCCACATATTCCTATAAGTAGTGCAGTTGAAAGCATTTGATTGTAGTTGACCCCGCTGCATCGAGCGCAGGATGGACCGCTCAAGACTTGAAATCTTTATTCAGAAAACGGCGTCATTACTCTGCAATGGTATCCACGCACATGCACCACTCTTGACCATGAGAGAACGTTGTACTTCGTATACACGCATTTCCATAGATCCTCCAGTTGTACAGTGAGTAGGTTGAAGCACAAGACAAACGCCAAGCAGCTCGTGGTCATCGGTAGGGCACCTAGATGCATAGTGCTCTGAACCCATAGAGAAAATTTCACCCCCACACTTCATGGTTTCAGACTGTGGCAGTATAATAACTGCACGGGCATAGTATTTCAAAGACTACAACCAGTCTAGCTGCCTAGCGTTTTTGGTGGAGCTGCAAACGTGCATTCTACAGGTAGATCGGTGCATAAATCAGTGGGAAAATGAGTGCTTAAAGATAAAGCCACTCCGTCTTTACAAAACTTTAAATCAAAACACCGTAGAGTGGAGCTGACGGACCCTTTCTGGATGCAAAGGCTTCGATAACTGTGCCGAAGGCTGTCGGTTCGGCCCACGGACCACCGCTGGAAGATCTATGCTTCCCCTTTAAAGTGACACCATTCTCCATGTAAAACAGCATTTATCCTAGTTCAAAGAGCAAGTATTGTGTAGTATTGTGGTGAATTGTGTAAATCGCTGCAAGCCGCTTCCCATGCTCACAGTAGCGGAGTTTTACGGCGGGGCCGGCAATACGGAACTACGGACTGGATAAGTGGACCGCATTCATCCTCCCTAGCATGTACTTGTTTGTACTATGTCTTGAATAAGCCAGGTGTCTAGCTTGAAGCTGACAGCGGTACTGCGGCCAGACAAACCCAACCCAAGTTTCGCCATGACAAGCTTTCTTCGTGGACATCCCTGAAGCTGGTACTCGTGGTGCCCCGCAAGGACTGGCAATCTTCCATCTGGATCTCCAGAGTGCTCTTATGATTGCCTGAGCGAGCCTCATTCACAGACATGGGGCGATCTGCGGGCCAGGCAAAATGGCTTACCTCATGTAGGCGCTTCATGACGGATCACCCCAAGAGCCTCGTTCTACGAGTACGCTTCCTACTCCTGCTTGATTGTACCTTTATTGCTCTTGCAATTACCTCACTTAGTGCTCCATGGTACATGCAGGAGTGGAGGGTCGCCAACGGGGAGATTCTGGCATGGACACTGAACCTTGGAACAGCCAAATTCAGGGTTGACTGCTCCTCAGACTCTCCCGAGTTCTTGGATTTGTGCAAAAATCTATATGGAAGATTGGCCGGAGACCTCAGGGCTGTCACACGTTCCATTTGCAATGCTGGGGAGAAGGTGCGGGACACGGAGCTTCAGGCATATCTGGGAGATACATGCAGTGACATGCGACTCATTGAAAAGCTCTCAGTCTCAACGGGGGCGGGTGGTGGTATCTGCATATGTATGATGGCCTTCGGAATAGTTTGCTTCTTGTTACATGTCTGGTCGGGCTTTCGCAACAGGAGAGCGTGGAGAGCCGGTTTCGCCTGTCACGTACTGGCCACGATAGCGTTAATGACTTCTTGTGTTCTTTACACTATGGCAATCTTGAGAATAGAAGACCTCTTCCACTTCCAACCTCCTCTAAATGTGGCATTCGACCCTGCTGAAGCCGAGCCCATATCTCACGAGTTGCTTTACGGGTTTATTACGGCAATAACCTCGGCAGCGTTGCTGATCATTTACCTTCCCTTCTGGTGGAAGGCAGCACCCTTTGACCCAGACCCCTATTTCGTCAAAAATTTCGTTATCTGACGTCTACCTTGTGATTGATGGCGTGGTTTTACTCCGGTACTTTCCTGTGGCCAGCAGTCAGCGGAATCACTACAAGAAATAAGGTGCGAAAATTTACTTTGATGCCTGTTCCTTCAATTCCCTCCCACACTGGTAGTGTACGGACCCAGATCTACCGTTTTCATCCTTGAAGCTCAGTCCTGATGTAGTTTCCAAAATACAGCGTGCATAAGGTAACACTACAAGAGTGTAAGCATCTAGTTATAGTGAGCATTATAAAGCTTAGGGAAAGTTCGAAGTCCCTATTACAAAAAAGGGCCCTGAGGTTGAAAAGTCGTTGGCATGTTTAGCCATTGATACACGGGCCATAGACTGTCCACGAGTTGTATTTCACAGATGATACCATTATAACAACGCTTGCTCTGTTCCAAACAAAAGCATAATGGCGTCAATCGCAGTAAGGCAACAAGTGCTCACAGAGTTTCTACGGGCTATGTTCCTATTTAACAATTACAGGAGCGATGTGTGTACGCTTAGCCTCTTCTCGTTCCGGGAAGTTTTCTGCCAAGCGAACACTTTCAATGCAAACGAGCTATGTCTTCACTGGAGTATAAAACGCTTTCATTGGTGGTATGAACAGTTATCTGCCTTCGACTGCGTTCTTTCCAACTGCGTTCGGCCCCTGCATAGTCCAGTTCGCTTATTATGACCCTTCCACGTCACCGGAATTGCTTTTGGATGAGACATTTAGGTCGATTCAAAGCCGGTTAGGGTGATTCTTCCATTATACGGGTTTCTTGTACGCCAGCAGACTTTAATTCTGGCCAGCTTTATCACGCTCAAAGTATTCGCTAACCACGTCCTGTTTGCCGCTGACTCCATTAATAAGAACCGTTGACGGCTCTAAGAGCGTCTAAAGCCATCATATCTTGTCAGGAAGAAAGGCAAGAGTGGCGTGTGTCACCAGGTGCAGTTTATGGCCTCTCTGAGAGCACGCCACCACATTGCCTCTAAATGATTGCACCACCTTTGTTATCTTTCCTGTTGCATCACCTCTCACCTCCGAGAGAGCCATACTGCTTTTTTGCTACCCATATTGGCCTGCTTGAGTGCTTCTCGTGGTCGATGCACTGCATTTTATTTCTAATGCTGGTAGAATTGAGGAACAGCTCTGACTGGTCGCATGTCTGTAGTTAGCAGTGGGCAATTCCTTTGAACTAGTACACTTACAATAGCATTGATAATTATGTTGGTGCCTACAAAAGATGTTTTGTCCACGAGTGCCTCCTAGTCAAAATGTACGAGTCACCAACTCCACCAGCTGACCGCTTGGACGCTGCGCCTCGGTGCACCACTAGGTACCAGTGGCAATTGGCATTTTATGAAAATAGTCTTACCTCCATAAACATTGTTTTCTACAGCTTCAATGAGCAACTGGCTACATACGCCTTTTGGGTTTCATTCTTCACGGCGCCGACAGGCGTCGATTCAGGACAGCCGTCGGCACCGCCCGTGCGTGAGGGATCGGGAGGCCGGATATCATTACAGTCGATGCCTATGCAGTAATACTTCAGCGTAGGGTGAAATCCATACTACCGGCAAGCGCCTAGTTCAATCCAACGGCAGGGTCCTTCCTCACAGGACTTGTTTGCGGGCTTGGAAGAATGCGGTGGTACATGACGGCATGGCTAGGGGTGGGATCTGCTGCTCCCGCTGTACTTCCTTTTTGCACTGCAGCTCCTAGGCGCATAGGAGAAAACAAGGGGGGCCAATTAGAACCAGGGCAGCTTTCGCCGGAAGGTTCCACGTCCATCCAGCCTACAGGCATTCTGCAAGTGCCTGTCCAGCTTCCTAGCTACAAATCGGATGGCACCATGAATAGCACTTTTCATTACCACCCCTCTGGCAGGCAGGAACTGGCGGTAACGACGGGATCCCACTCCCCCATACACAAGGTGGTGGGGGTCCATGCGCTCCAGATACACGCGGAAGAGGACTCGCGGAGTACAGTGGACTCGGCAAGCTCTAAAATCTCATACTCACAAGACCATTCAACAACAGGATCCACTCACGTCAAGACTCGCTGGAAATTCAGTGATACCTCTTTCCTGCAAGAAATCCCCGTGCCAAGTACAGCAATCCTAGTTGTGGTGGGCACCTGCATTATTCTGGTCCTTACTGTTGTCGGCATTGTCACATATTATGCCCTTTTCAACCGAACTAAAGTGCGACGCCAAAGTGCCCGTGAAAGATTAAAATGCTATGGTGAGTACTCCAAGCATAGTAGCTCGAAAGCCCTAGACGGGCAAGCGCCTTTGTCAGGACCGCATGCATTACTAACTACGGACGTTTTCGCTCAGATGGGGAACAAAAGGCAATAGTCGCTCAACAAGGACATGACTGCTGCCTTCCTAATCCCCGCGCCCCCCGTGAATCCTTCAATTCCCTGTACAATTTGCCTTCGGGGTGAGCTGCGCGGAGTTTTGCACGGGCTGTGCCCGGCGCCTTCGTTCGTGCAGACCACTTTAACGTCAGCGCTGTACTTCCCATGCTGAAAGGCACTGCTTTCGCGATACTTACGATGCATCTGTTGATGGGAGATGCCAGTTATGCAGCACGAAGTACCAATCAAGCACCTTTAAGATAGCAACCGGCCCCCTATGCTGGTGCCAGTAACCTAAAAGTGCGCTTCGCTTCTTTGCTCAGATTCAACGAGAGGAAGACACCGAGTGATATAGAGTATGAAAGACAGGCCCTAAGCACTCGATTCGCTCAGTACTCGGAAACTGCAAGATCCCCGCGGGGACCTGGTCTAAAGCCACACCCAAAATACTCCTACCCTCCTGAAGTATAGAACGGCTCACGTGGCCTAAAGCCTATACACCCCTAAGTCGTGCCAGCTGGTCCTGGAGGTGCTACATTCAGAAGCTCTGTACAAGGCGAAACCTGGAACCGACGACTTGTAAATGCATTTCAAAATGTACTCTAGGATCCACTCTACTCTGACGGGAAAAACAGCTCATCCGGGAGCACGTTGCAGATCCATGAAAGCTGTTATGCACTGCTTTCCGTGGTAAGAGGTTTTAAGCAAAAATCTCTATCACACGGAACGGCCTTCCGGCCTTTCCACATCGCTTTAGACTGACAAGTCTCCCCGCGCGAAAGGCAATGTACTGGTGAAGCGCGGGGCATCAGCTACCAACAAACTTAAGCGCTGGTTTTATTCGACAGGAACGCCCCCCGTTCATCAAGACGTATCAACGGTATTTTTCAATTTCACTTCACCTAGACCTCTGCCTCATCTTTCTCCTCTTGCGCTGTAGCCTCCTGGTGCGTTTCTTCTTCCACTGCGAAAAACCCACAATACAATTTTCCAAAGACTTGTAGCAAACGGTTTTGCGTACCAAATAAGCCCACCCCAATCAGTATTTCCTAGTCTTGCGATTGGAACAACGAACCAACTTGCAAAACCCGACGCAGCATGCAAAGGCAGACGTATCTTGTAAGAATATCTACCTTATGTGCACACTGTAACAAGCGTGGAAGCATGCGATGCAACTGTCAACCATGGGCAAATGGGAACGGGTGCATAAGGACTCGAATTAAGCAATCACGCGTTGAAGCACGAGCTTCCGAGACGTCGCACGCAGAGCACCCCGCATGCGAAAACTACCTCGTTCCTGCCTCAATCCACAAATACCCAGGACGACTGATGGGGATTTCAGACATCTAAGGAGGTCGTCATGCGTTGCTACAGGCGCTTGTAGCATCGCATACGCAACACACTGCGAATGTGAAACGGCTTTCCTGAAATGTCATCAGCATATCCCCACAAAATACAACACTTGCACGTATGGATATGATTGTAAACACAGCAAAAGAAGGCGCAGCATTCTCAGACATCTAAGGAGGTCGTCATGCGTTGCTACAGGCGCTTGTAGCATCGCATACGCAACACACTGCGAATGTGAAACGGCTTTCCTGTATTATCATCATCCGCTGCACCCCCCCAATAGCACAAGATCATTCACTCAATGGCAAGCTGTAAGAACCGGCCAAGAGATGCAAATTGAAAGAACGGTGCACCCAAGCATGGACGATTGGGTCCTTAACGGCCAGGCCAAGCACAAAAAAGAATAATAGGCTGTCAACCACTCGAAGAAAAACGCCATCCACCACCACCAGACGCTTGAACAGGGAACCAACGGCACTCCATTAACAAAAGCTGAGCATTAATGCGGAACAATGCATGGATGTAAAAAGGTAAATCAAACAATCTGCGCAAACACGAACTGAGTCAGCGGAGGAGAGGACCAACAAGACTGTATATAGCAAGTCTTGCTGGCGCGAAGACCCACCTTCCACCTCATCTTCGCCCTAGACTTCTTATACCTACTAGCACCGTGCGCCATTTTCGAAAATATGGTTAAAAGCAGTGGAGATAAATATCCCGTCCATCATGCAGCACCGTCCAGAACTTGGCCGGGCCATGCAGACGCGCAGCTGCGGGGAGGGAGCGTGCCCCATTTTCGCTGCTGCCCCCACACCGATTGCATGCACATCTGCTGGAAAACGGCAGAGCGGCACACTTAGCACTTCTTGTTTCTCCTTCGGCCATTGTACGTTGGTTCAGCTTGTCAGGCCCTATTTTATTGCTAGTATTGGCTGGCCGTGGACCGACTGAGTCAACTTACGTTCTACCAGTGAGGCATAGCCAATGATGGCCACGTGCAACTGTGCCGAATCCGAGCACTTTAGTTTTGATAGACTGTTACACCATGCATTTGGTAAACCGAAGTGATTAGTTTCGTCTGATTTGCATTTAAAATGGTACTATACAAAGTTCCTGACTGCTCCTGAACTTTCTTCGCTCACCTTGTACCCTGCAAGCACATAGTAAACAGCAGCCCGGCTACGAGGTCTCCATAAGGAGACGCCTATATCCCGACGCAGCACGAGCATCTTGAAGAGTTATTAAGTATTTCCCACACGAAGCTCCTTTCTCCTCTGCCCGCAATCCTTAGAGCTCCAACATCAGAGGAGTCGACAGCTGGCTGCGTGAAGCTTCACCCGCAGAGCACTGAGCATTCACAACCAGTTGGACAATTCATCTAACGTGAATGCACAAACAATGCACCTTGTCATGCCAAAATAACATTATTGTGCAAAAGCTAAGATATACTGACAAAAAGTCCAATAGGTTAATACTTCAATAATCCTAACTTGAGTCAGTAGTGTTTGAGCGTGTTTGAGTGACGCTCTGCCCACTATCTTCCCCACCGATTTTAAACGCTTACACTCATGTTTCACACCTGTCTGTCAAGGCCAACTGCATGCAGAACAGTGGAAGACTTGCCACCCTATAATTTCCTCTCCTCAGGAAAGAAAAAACGCCAAAACCTGCACATGAGAGCAACAAAAGTTCGTGCATGTGCCGACACAGGTAAATC